AAAGTGTATTTGTGAGGTTTGATGGCTAATAACACCACTTTTTTTCTGGAGTTTCAAGATAATCCTATTCCACTGCTGGAATGGCCTAGCAATAGCCCAGATCTTCGTAACCCAATGGAAAATCTACGGAGCCGACTAAAGAAACTGGTTAGCCAGAAGCGACCCAGCAATCAAACCCAGTTAATCAAAGCCATCATTCAATCTTGGTTTCACATTAGAACTAAAAGACTTGGTTCCCTCCATGGGAAGACGTTGTAAGGCCGTCATTCATGCTAAAAGTTTACCCAATGAAGTATTAACTGACATGGGGATCATTTTTGCATATCTCCTTTTTTCCTATGGTGATCATTTTTGTATATCTCGTTTTTTTTCTACCTGTTTCGCTTTTCTTCTTTATGCTATAACTGCTATTCTAATAGCAAATCCTTCCTAAAAGTTATTTCATGACATTCTTGATTAAATTATCTTTCCATGGATATATCATTTTATGGTACTACTCCAAAAAAAAAAAAAAAGTGGTGTTATTAGCTAGTTTTTTAGAAAATACAGTTTTCCCAAAAGGTTTCCACAATTTTGGCCACTACTGTATATATATATATATTAGAAATAGCAACAGGAATGTCTTACACTGGTAGGAAAAATCTGTTTGCTCCAGGCTTAGGAACAAACAAACACTGTGAATCTTGGTTTCTGGCCTGGAAAACATTTCTAGAAAAGTGTATTTTGTGAGGATCCAATTTTGCATTTCTCCACGATTTGCTTTTGGCATCAGAGATGGCAAGATGGGGTTAATTTCCCCTGTTTTGTCATCTTTCCGATTGTGAATTTTCTGCACTTCTCTTTAACAGAGCTGTCCGTAGTCTTGAATCTCCTTCTGAAGCCCCAAGATTAGACTGGATCACCCAAAGCCCTGGTTCCTTTGATCTGTAATTGGAAAGAAGAGATCTCCCATCAGAGGATCCCTGGTTGAGAATCAATCCTGGGGAAGGGAAGGGAAAGGAAGTTGTGTGAGGAAAAAAAGGGAGGGAGGGAAGAGGAAGGGAGGAAGGAAGGAAGGAAGGAAGGAAGGAAGGAAGGAAAATTAGAAGAAAGTTCAAGGAAGGAAGGAAATTTCTAAGAAATATGTACATTGCAAGAAAGTTCAGGAGGGAAGGAAATTTCTAAGAATATGTAAATTATAAGAAAAAGGAAGGAAGGAAGGAAATTTCTAAGAAGTATGCAAACGATAAGGAAGAAGGAAGGAAGGAAGAAGTATGAAATTTCTAAAAGTATGCAAACTAAAAAAGGAAGGAAGGAAATTTCTAAGAATATGTAAATTATAAGAAAAAGGAAGGAAGGAAGAAAGGAAATGTCTAAGAAGTATGTAAATTATAAGAAGGAGGAAGGAAAAAGGAAACTATAAAAAGGAAGGAAGGAAATTTCTAAGAATATGTAAATTATAAGAAAAAGGAAGGAAGGAAGGAAGGAAATTCTAAGAAGTATGTAAACTATAAGAAAAAGGAAGGAAGAAGAAGGAAATTTCTAAGAAGTATGTAAATTATAAGGAAGGAAGGAAGGAAATTTCTAAGTATGTAAACTATAAAAAAAGGAAGGAAGGAAGGAAATTTCTAAGAAGTATGTAAATTATAAGAAGAAGGAAGGAAGGAAGGAAATTTCTAAGTATGTAAACTATAAAAAAAGGAAGGAAGGAAGAAGAAATTTCTAAGAAGTATGTAAATTATAAGGAAGGAAGGAAGGAAATTTCTAAGAAGTATGTAAACTATAAAAAGGAAGGAAGGAAGGAAATTTCTAAGAAGTATGTAAATTACGAGAAACAGGAAGGAAGGAAGGAAGGAAATTTCCAAGAAGTATGTAAATTATAAGCAACAGGAAAGAAGGAAGAAAGATGATTTTGTAAGAAGTATGTAAATTGCAAGAAAGCTCAAAGAAGGAAGGAAGATGGGAACGAGAAAAGTGGGAAGGAAGGGAAAAGGAAAAAAAAATCAGGTTCATGAGGACTAGACCCTTGTCCTTTTAAAAAAAAAAATAAGGTGTCACCCGAGGACAGAATCTGTTTCCTTGGGGCAAACAGGTTGAAATGAATGTGCAATGCCGACCTCTCCTTAAACCAGGTTTAAGCACTACTCATCGACGGCGTGCACCAAGCCTCTCATAAATCTTTCCTTCGTCGATAAGCCGAAACGTGCAAATCCGAGAAGGTGGATTTTTTTCCCCCTTCTTTTTGCCACCTACACGTTCTTTTTTCATTGCAACTCTCCTTCAGGAAGCTTCCTGGAGAAATAGTTAAAATTGTTTTCTCTCTCTCTTTTTTTTTTTTTTTGACCAAAATAATAATAAAAAAAATCTGGCGCTCGGTAGACAGGGAAGGGAGGGAAGAGAGAGAGAGAGAAAAAGAAATAGAAGTGAAGGCGGATTCAGGAAGGAGAGAGAGAGAGAGACACCCGTGGTGTGAAAATCGCTCCGGCTGGGCACACGGAAGTGAGCGTGTCAGCGTTGCTAGGCATTTTTTCCCGGGCTTCAGCGGGACTCAGCGTGATTTTGACAGGTGATGGATGCAATTTGTGCTTTGACTGTCACTGGAGCAAAAGAGGGGAGGGGGGCAGGAGAAGATAAAACGAAGGATGAATTTCCAAAGAAGCGGAGGGGTGGGTGGGTTTGAAACCCCCGACCCGAAATAGGCGAAGACGCGGCGGCTGTTGAAATTATACAAAGAAACTCATCCGATGTGGGTTGAATGGCAAGCAGTCGCTGGACTTAAAACGATCACAATCGAGCCTAGGTCGTTAAGTGAGACATTTGTTCAGTATGATTTGCCCCGTTTTGCAACTTTTTTTTTTGGCCTTATTTATTTATTTACTCATCCATCCATCCATTCGTTTGTTTCTTTATTTATTTATTCATTCATTCCTTTCTTCATTCATTCTTTCTTTTCTTTCTTTCTTCATTCCTTTCTTCATTCCTTTCTTTATTCATTCATTCCTTTATTCATTCATTTGTTTCTTTATTTATTCATTCCTTTATTCATTCCTTTATTCATTCATTCCTTTCTTTCTTCATTCATTCATTTCTTTATTCATTCATTCATTCATTCCTCTTTCTTCATTCATTCATTCATTCATTCATTCATTTCTTTATTCATTCATTCCTTTCTTTATGCCTTCATTCCTTTCTTTCTTTCTTCATTCATTCATTCATTCCTTTCTTTATTCATTCCTCCTTCCTTTCTTTATTCATTCATTCATTCCTTTCTTCATTCATTCATTCATTTTAGATAATTTATAATTATGTTCAATGAATCACTGCAGTTGTTAAATCGGTCACATGGTTCTTAAATGAATCTGGCTTCCTTCCACCCCCTGGACTTTTGCTCATCGCAGGAGGGGATCGCGTGACCCCAGGACTCTGCGACCGTCACAAATGTGAGCCGGGGATCAAACCGCCGAATGTTTAAATCACATGGGGTGGGGGTGGAGTTTGCTGCAACGACCCCCAAAAGTAAAAAAACGATCGCATAAGTCACTTTTTTCCAGTGACATCGTAACTTCTAACGGTCGCTAAACGAATTCTTGTAAGTGGAGGACTACGTATATTCAAAGAGAATTTTTTTAAAAAAGAAAAAAAAAACCAAAAGATCAGGTTCGTGAGGACTAGAAGCTTGTCCTTTTTAAAAATCTGGGTTCTCCCAAAGTTGCCAAATTGGTGAAAAATGTAAGAAGGATTTAATGCCATGAGAAGGAAGCTAATTTAATCCAGAATTTTGGATAAGGAATGGGGTTTTGGGACACAAGAAAGGGCCAAGCCATCGCAATCCAGATCTTAGCAGAGTATCAGAGTTAGAAGGGACCTTAGAGGTCTTCTAGTCCAACCCTCTGCTCAGGCAGAAGGCCCTGCACCATTTCAGACAAATATTTATCCAGTTCTCTTCTTAAAAACCTCCAGTGTTGAAGCACCCACAATTTCTGGAGGCAAGTCGTTCCACTGCTTAATTATTAGCTTAATTATTCTGTCTAATATTGTCTGGATTTTCTATACATTTGCCCTATACGGATCTTTTCAAAATCTGACCCAAACACCCCTCCATCTAGTGGCCGGGAGTTCCGTAGTCTCACTCTCCCCCATTCTGCACAGTTCTTCCTTTAAGCAGCCCCGGATTTCCCCCACCCACCCCTTAACTTGAGAAAAAAAGAGAATTCCATCTTTGATTTCCCACCGCAGGTGGTTTTACACCCATCCTCCTCCTCCTCCCTTTTCTGCCAACTCTGACCCCACGTAATTTACAGCCCTAATCATGACCCTGTTTTCCCCCTCCCGCCCCCAGGGTGTGTCATCAATCACATTCGCCAACGGAGCAATTTTGCGGGTTGTAGAGATCACTCCCCTTCAGGCCGCTGTGGGTCACCCTGGGAGACAGCCTTGGGAAAGATATGTCTGGAATGCGCTCCTGTCTTTGGCTGCCGTGTTGCTTCATCGGTTTCCGACCCCCCTTGCCTATGGCAACTCGAGAGCAGGCCAGGGATTCTTTGCGAGTTGACATGTCTCCCCACATGGAAAGATCCCCCAGTGGTGCCCTTTCCTCCCAGAAGACCCGCTCGCCCTCGTGAGCCGTCTCCGCTGTCCTTTTCTCGCCCCTGGCAAGTCAGTCTCTCTCTTTCTTTCTCTCTTGTCGTTTAACAGCAGCAGGCAAACGCTGCGTGGGCAGGGAAGCGCCTATTATGGGCTGGAGTAGAAAGATCCCTTCCAACGAAAGAATTTTTTTTTTTAAAAAAAATTATTATTATTTTGTCGTGCTGGGAGGCAGCGAAAGTTCAGCTTCTCCGCCGGCAGAGGACAAGGGACCTGGGGAGAGACGTGGGTGGTTCTGGAAAGGTTGTCAGCCGCGCTGGGCTCCCGTAGACTTCAGGGAAAGAAAAAAAGAAAATATGAAGCGGAAAAGAAAAAGAAAGAAAGAAAATTAAAATGTCTTTTTTTTTTTTCCTCCGGAGTGACGGCACCGGGAAAACGATCGTGTTTGACTCACCCAGCTTGGCAGGATTTTGCAAGCTGTTTTGTTCCCGAAAGAAGAAGATGCCACAATGGAGAACGGCAGATGGGCCTGTGCATTTGTGCCTCTGTATGTGTGTGTTAAGGATATTCTGGGCTCATAACCGATATTATGAGTTACTGAGCAGAGTATCCCTTGAGTATGCACATGAAAGCGGCTGAATAACCACAGTTAATATACTGACACACAGTTGTGGTAGTTTTTTACTTTTAGAAAAAAGTAAAGCAAAGTCCGATAACAATCCAAGTCATACACGGATAAGGCGATAGTTAAAATATCAATTCAGGGATATTCCAAGTACAAAGTCTTCTTACCAGTTGTTGTCATTACACAAGAAAACAGTTCTTCGTGCGTTTCAAACGAACAAGTTCAGTATTAAAACATTCAATAAATAGTAGAAAGCTACAAGTAGCAATGATCAAACAGTGATCATGCAGAGAGAACAGGTAGAGAGTAACAGCAAATAAGCAGATAAAATGGTGTAGTGTAATGGGGGGGTTGTATACACGCGGGCTCCTGTAGGAGAGTGAGAGCAAAGGCGAGAAAATGCCCAAGTTACAAAATTTGGCGGCCTTCCTTCTCACGGTAGAATCCGGGAAGAAAACTGTCCCCCCCCCCAAATTTCTCCCTTTTCCCGTGGAAAATCCCCGAGGGTTCGTTTAGTGACCAAAGTTACAACGGCACTGAAAAAAGAGCATTTTTCACACTTAACGACCGTTGCGGCAATCCCCTGATCGAAAATTCAGACGCTTGGCACCCGGTTCCCGTATTTATGACGGTGGTGTGGCGTTCCGGGATCGATGGATCCTCTTTTTCCCGACAAGCCAAATCAATGGGGAAGCCGGATTCATTTAACGATGTATCACTAAGTTAATGATGGCAGTGATTCACTTAACAGCAGTGGCCGGGAAGGTTGTCAGATGAGTCGAAACTCACTTAACAACTGTCTTGCTTAGCAACGGGGCTAAATTGCGGTCGTACATGGAGGAATGCCTAATATCTAGAAAGCTCTTTTCTAGAGCCTGGTTATTTGAGGGACAACTATATCGCCAATTTAGCCCTTATTAAGGTTTCTGTTTTTCCAGAAGCTGGTTTAGAAACGGTACGCTATTCCTGAGCATGGAGGTTCTATTAATTGTCACGACCCCCTAACTTTTTAAGCAGGGTCTGTTCCCTGTTGCATTTATTTATGCCTTTTAGGGTGGGATTATTCTTTCTTTATTTATTTTTAAAACTCCAGAGGAAATCCGGAGGCAATCAGTTCCTTAAAACGCAGATTTATTCAATGCAGGAATTTTCCTCTCTGCTTTTTAAAATTTATTTAATTTTGACTTTGGTACCTGGCAACATGCAAAGTTTAGCCTTGCGATAAAAGTGATAGTTGGAAATTACTTTGGCTGGGAGCAGCCAGAAGATAAAAAGAATAAACCCCCTTAAAAAAAAAAAAGATCGTTTTAATGAATAATAAACCCTTTTTTTAAAAAAAAAAAGATATTTTTTTTCCTTTTGTGAGAAGTGCTTCGATCCATCCGAGAGCCACAGATCGAGCCTGGAAGCTGATTTATTCCACGGATAAAAAACCCGAATTAGCTTCTCTTCAACATTTCATTCTTTATTGAACTTTTCGAATCCTTCTCGCTGTTTTGTGGGTTTTTTTCCCCTCCCTCTTTCGACGGTGAATAAGCAAAGGGGGGGAATAAATGAGAACGGCGCTAATCTTTCTAAATAGAAAGCTTATCGTGGTTTTGTTAAAAATAAAATAATCGTGTAAGCTAATGCTTTCTGCCAGCATCCAAAAAAAAAAAAACCCACGAGAATTGGGAGAGTATTAGAATTATAGCAATGTTTGATATCGGGCAGTCCTGGGCTTAACAATTGTTCAGAGTTGCAACGGCATTGCAAAAACGGGAGTTACGTCCGGTCCTCGGGTTTATGACCGTCATAGCATTCTCACCGTCATGTGATCCAAATTATGGTGCTTGGGAACTGATAACGTATTTATGGGGTGTCACGTGATCACGGAATTCCCAGCTGGCTTCCGACAAGCCAAATCAACGGGGGCGCGGGGAGGAGGAGCCAGATTTGCTTAACGACGGTGTGATGCGGTTAACAGCTGCAGTGATTCGCTGGCTTAACAACCGAGGCAAAAAAAAAAAAAAAGGAAAGGTTGTAACATTGGATGGGACTCATTTAACAACTGCCTTACTTAGCAACAGGAATTCTGGTCTCGGCTGTAGTTGTACTTTGAGGATTACCTGTGCATGATTAATGGGTAGATTGATAGATAGGTAGATAGGTAGATAGGTAGATAGATAGATAGATAGATAGATAGATAGATAGATGTTAGATAGAGAACCCGTTTCCCCCAAAATAATACCTCCCCTGATAATAAGCCCAATCGGGCTTTTGAGCGCATGGCAATAAGGCCAAGCGCTTATTTCAGGGTTCAAAAAAATATAAGACAGGGTCTTATTTTCGGGGAAACATGGTAGATAGATAGGTAGATATTAGATAGATGATAGATAGATATAGATTAGAGAGAGAGAGAGACAGAGATAGATAGAGATAGATAGATAGATAGATAGATAGATAGATAGATAGATAGATGATAGATAGATGATAGATAGATGAAAGATAGATAATAGACATAGAAAGAGTTATAGAAATCGATATAGAAAGATAGAGACATAGTGACATAGATGATAGATGATAGAGAAATGATAGGTAGATTAGATAGAGATAGAAAGAGAGATAGATGATAGATGAAAGTGAGGGAGGGAGGAAGGAGAGAAGAGGGAAGGAAGGAGGAAGGAAGGAAGAAAACATAGATAGATAGATAATAGACATAGACATAGAGAGAAAGATAGAGATATAGAAAGATAGAAAGAGACATAAAGACATAGATGATAGAAAGATGATAGAAATGATAGGTAGTTTAGATAGAGATAAAAGGATAGATAGATGATAGAAAGAGAGAGAGAGAGAGAGAGAGAGAGATAAATAGACAGACAGACATTCTGATGTATTCATTGTTTTATTTGTACATGAGATTATATCAGTCTAGGAATCTGCAAATTTCCAGTTGTCGCCAGAAACCTCAAAACCCATCCTCCTTACCGGCAGGGACTGATGGAAATTGGGTTCCATTCCAGGGCTAACTTCTGAACTCCAAAACATCTCAAAAGCAGATGCTCAGACCCATCTTGTCTGCGGTGTAAACCCCACGGATTTCAGATCCGGGTGCCAATTCTGCACCCTGATCTCTCTCTCTCTCTCTCTCTCTCTCTATATATATATATATATATATTAACCCTGTTTTTCTTTCCTTATGGAGCATCCGTGCAAGTCCTGGAATTATATAATTATATTTATTTATATTCTGTATAATTATAATTGGTGATTATAATGACTCGACCTGCCTGTGTGCTTTTTTTTCTCCTGGAGCAAGAACATTTTCTGAATTTGTTTCTCTCTCTCTCTCTCTCTCTCTTTCTTTCTTTCTCTGTCTCCCTCTCTCTTTCTTTTTTATTTAGATAATCGCCTTTGACGAATTGCACATAGATTTTAAGAATCCCATCGATCAGGGCAATCCAGCCAGGGCAGTAAGTCTAAACCTATCGTGTCTGAGGTTTGTGTGTCTCCATTTGTCTGTCTTCTCCCTCTCCTTCCCCGCTAGTCAAAAATTTCCTGCTTGGGGGCGGGGTTGGACTAGATGACCTAAAGGGGCCCCTTCAAACTCTGTTAATCTGCTTTAAACAGGCCAAAAAAGTTCATTTATTTCCTCTCTTCCGTATACGCTTAACGGCGCAAAACCATTCTTCTTTCCCCCCCCCTTTTTTTTATTGACGCAAGACAGTTTGCGTCACGGGCCTGCTGTATTTCTGTGGAGATTTACAGATAATCCTCGATTTACAATAGTTCATTTAGCGACCGTTTGAAGTCCCAGCGGCACCGAACAAAAGGGACTTGGGACTGTTTTGCACACTTACGACCATCACAGCTTCCCGGCTGTCAGAAACTCGAGACGCTTGGCAACAGATTTGTGACAGTCACTTAGGGGCGGTTGCATGAAACTGGATTCACTTAGCAGCCGTCTTACTAATTTAGTGATTTGCTTAACAGGCGTGGCCAGAAAATGGGGGCAAAACTCACTTGAGAACTGTCCCATTTAGCAACAGGTATGTCGGGCTCAATTGAGGTCGTAAGGCGAGGACTATACGTATACACCAATGGCAATGTCATTCTTTTTTTTTTTCCCCTTTTATATCAACCCAAATGCATTCAAGAGGATTTGCATCCTTATTTTGCTGTATTTCCGTGGAGGTGTAAATTATTTCTTTATAGACATTGCAATCACCTCCTTCTTTTGCAAGTCGTCCTCGATTTAATGGCCAGAATTGAGACCAGAATTTATGTTGCTAAGCGGAGAAATTTGTTACATGAGTTTGCTCCGTTTTACGCCTTTACTCGCCACGTTTGTTAAGTGAATCGCTGCCCTTCTTAAATCGGGGTCAACTCGTAAAGCATTCCTGGCCTGCTCTCGAGTTGCAGGAAAACCGACGGAGCCACACCAGCAACGAGAAGCACATTCCACGCATATCTTTCTCAAAGCTGCATCCTAGATTACCAGAGCCAGCCGGAGAGCGTGTTTTCTGCAGCCCGCAAAACTGCTCCATTGGAGAATGTGATTGATGACACACCCTGGGAAGAGGGGGGGGAAACAGGGTCATAGTTGGGATGTAAATTACGTGGGGCCAGAGCTGACTCCACTTGGGTATGTGCCGACATGTTGCTCCTAATAAATAACTGGATTTCTTTTGAATCTTGGCTCGAGGCTCATGAATTAATTAGGGCATCTGTCAGAACCCTGACAATCGGTAACACAGTTATTAAGTGAATCCGGCTCCCCACCCCCCCACCCCGTTGACCTGGCTTGTCAGAAGGTCGCAAAAGGGGATCACGTGACCCTGGGACACTGCCACCGTCATAAATACGAGTCAGTTCCCAAGCATCTGAATTTTGATCCGGTGACCACGGGGATACTGCAACGGTCGTAAGTGTGAAAAACAGTCCTAAGTCACTTTTTTTCAGTGCCGTCGTAACTTTGGACGGTCACTAAACGAACTGTTGTAAGTCCAGGACTCCCTTAGTATTGTGTCTGCTTCTTTTAAACAATTTAAATCCGAGTTAAATGAGCCAAAAGTTTATGAGAAGGAATTGGCAGTACACACGGTGTCAGATGCCGAAGAAAATTTTCTTGCGCTCCTTTTGCAAGCTACGTTGCGACACGGAAGTTGCAAAACGAAACCCCCTAAAAATACATATTTTTAAAAAGTTTTTATTTAATATTAAAAAAATCCCATTTTTACATAAACTGTGTTATTGTCCAAGTACAATTAATTTTGAGAAATCGTCATCATAACAATATTCATAACCTTAATATTGATCACATAACAGTAATAATATTTGCTTGCCCACTTTAATAAACCTTCCTTATAAAATTAATCCTTCTCTTATATTTCCACATTTCCGTTTTTATTGGCTAGCCATTGATAAAAATGAGTCCACAGGTTAAAAAGTATTCAAAAGTTTCTTCCTTTTCCTTGACTTTAAGCGTTAATCTATCCATTTCTGCACCTTCTAATATCTTTGGGATTACGTTTTCCTCTGTAGAGATCTCTTCACTTTTCCGTTGTTTATTTTATTTTATTTTATTTATTTTATTTTTATTTTATTTTTGATTTATATGCCACCCTTCTCCGGAGACTCAGGGCAGTTTACAATGCGCTAAACAAGTTGTTGCGCAAATAGAATTTTAGCTGCCGTTAGCACGTGTAAAATTAAGCATGTATTCCCTTTTCTTTTTTTGTGTGTGTGTTTTTCTACTTAATTCCTACTTAAATTTGCACCCTCACCTTCTTCATTACGAGAAAATATATCCAGTTGGTTCGGAGAAAAAGCACCCTTAAATAACTGGAGTGGTTTTCCACGCAATTTAATTGAATTTAATATCGTCTCCATGAAAATTAACATCAGCTCCGACTGCTTTACAAGCTGGTTTTCTCATTTTTTCTGCCCCATCGGTTGGACGGAAATTTGCAAATTGGAGGGGCTTGTCAAAGACGCTGCCCCTGCTGTTTAGGCTGTTTGCGTGTTTGCGTGTGTTTGTTGGTGCGTGTGTATGTGTGAGAGAGAGGGGGGGGGAGAGAGAGAGAGAGAGACGGGGCAAGCTTTGAACTGGAGGTAACAATTTTGTGGTTAATTAAACCGATTTAATTGCAGCCGCCCATCTTGTAAAACGGCGAATTCCGGGCGATGTAGAACCGAGATTTTAAAAAACGGTTCATACTGAAAAAAATCAATCAATCAATCAAGATTTCCTTGTAAAATTGAAGATGGAAAAAGTATAAAAGCCAGACTAACAGTAATGGACGAAAGAGGTGTTAAAAATGGCAGAGATTTTACTATTTTTAAAGGTTTTTAAGAAGAGATTGGACAGCCATGTGCCTGGAACGGTAGAGGGTCTCCTACTTGGATGGAGGAAGGAAGGAAGGAAGGAAGGATTATTATTATTATTATTATTATTTATTGAATTTATATACCGCCCTTCTCCCCGAAGGGACTCAAGGCGGTGAACAGCCGAAAATTAAAATAACATACAATATAAAAGTTAAGATAACTAAAAAATAAATTAAATTAATCGCCCTCCCAATTTAAAACCCCAAGCTATACAATTAAAAACTAACCCATAAAACCTAATAAACCGGATGAAGGGACCTTTGAGGTCATCTAGTCCAACCCCCCTTCTCAAGCAGGAGATCCTACACCATTTGAGAAAAGCGGTCGTCTAGTCTCTCCTTAAAAAAAACCTCCAGCGTTGGAGCACCCAACGCTTCTGGTGGCAAGTCGTTCCACTGATTTAATTGTCCTGTTAGCTGTTAGCCAAATTCCTCCTTTCATTTCCAGCTTGCTTCTCTCTCTCTCTCTCTCTCTCTCTCTCTCTCTCTCTCCTTGACGAGTTTCCACTCCGTCACTTCTCGTCCTGCCTTTCAGGTGCTTTGGAGAATAGCTTGACTCCCTCTTCTTTGGGGCAGCCCCTCCGAGGTATTTTTTTTTTCACGAGCTTTTCCATAGGCTCCGAAGCGTTTGAGAAATGCCCCTTTTTTAAACAAAAACAAAATAAAAATTCAGAATTCAGCTCCGTCTCCGAGGCGGGCCTGCGTAAACGGTTCCCTGCAGGCGAGGAAGCCCCCTTTGAGATCAAAACTAGAACATGTGAATCTCAAGATCAGCAAAGGACACGATGAAGAGTCCCAGATTTTTTTTTTGCAATTTGCCTTCTTAAATTGTGGCTGGCACTTCACCAAGAGTGTGTGATGTCTCTCAGCTGGCCCATCTCATCCTTAAGGTATAAATAGTACCGTCTGACCTCAATTTATTTTATTTTTTTCCACACACCCCCTACGATCCCGCCGGGCCGCAGAAACGAGGTGGATGCCCTGGATCAGGGCACATTTGCAAGCAGGTGGAAAATGAAAAGCTCTCGTCTTCCATCGCATGGAATCTCCAAGCAAAAACCCGCAAAAGAGCCCTGCGAAGTTTTGCATGCAAAGGCCCAAAACGAGGCCGAGTTTCGAACTAGAAATAAAGAGAGGGGTTCTCCTGAAGTCCTGGGCTTGCATTAACAGGTCACGTGAAGTGTCGGTAAAGGTAAAGGTTCCCCTCGCGCATACGTGCTAGCCGTTCCCGACTCTAGGGGGCGCTGCTCCTCTCCGTTTCAAAGCCGAAGAGCCAGCGCTGTCCGAAGATGTCTCCGGGGTCATGCGGCCGGCGTGACTCAACGCCAAAAGGCGCACGGAAAACGCTGTTCCCTTCCCACCAAAGGTGGCGCCTATTTTTCTACTTGCATTTTTTTTTTAACCTGCTTTCGAACTGCTAGGTTGGCAGAAGCTGGGACAAGTCACGGGAGCTCACTCCATCCCCACCAGGGATTCGAACCAATGAATTGCCGATCTTTCGATCGACAAGCTGAGCATCTTAGCCGCGGAGCGACTGTGTTATAAAATCTTAATACCACTTTATAAAACTTTATAAGACACCCCTCCCCTTGGAATATTGGTAGTCCTCGACGTCGAGCCCAAAATTTATGTCGCTGAAGGGAAACATTCGTTCAATAAATTCCGCCCCTTTTTTACGACTTTTCTTGCCATCGTTGTTAAGCGAATCACTGCTGTTGTTAAGTCAGTCGCACGGTCGTTAAGCCGATCTGGCCTCTTCCCCACCCCCCTCCCCTTGACTTTCCGCGCCAGGGGGTCGCAAAACGGGAGCACGTGACCCCAGGACGGTCATAAATAGGAGCCCGCTGGCAAGCGTCTTGACTTTTGATCACGTGACTGCGGAGAACGCTGCAACGGTCGTTAAGTGTGAGAAACGGTTACAAGTCACTTTTTTTTTTCAGTGCCGTTGTAACGGTCACTAAATGAAGTGTTGTAAGTTGAGGACTTTTTGGACTGTATCCAATTTTGGTCAGTCCGATATTTAAAAAAAACGATGAGACTCTGGAAAGAGTGCAGAGAAGAGCAGCGAAGAGGATTAGAGGCTAAAACATATGAAGAACGACTGCTGGAATTGGGGGTGTCTAGTTTATTTATTTTATTTATTTATTTAAATTTCTGTCCCGCCCTACTCCCGAAGGACTCAGGGCGGTGAACAGCCACAGGATAAAACGCATAAATACAAAAATTTAAAATAGAATAAAAACGAATTAAATAATTTGGCTGAACAAATTTAAAATACCCCATAATTTAAAAACAAATTAAAATTTACATTTAAAAAGGGGAGAAGATTTAGGTGTTTAGTTTGATGAAAAGAAGGACCAGGGGAGACATGATAGCAGCCTTCCAATATTTGAGGGGCTGCCCCCAAAGAAGAGGGGGTCCACCTGTTCTCCAAAGCACCTGAAGGCAGGACAAGAAGCGATTACCCAACTAGGTAACGTCATCAGCGCTACGGAGGGTGGAGTTTGCTCCCTGCAAATAAGCCCCTTGTATTATAAGCAGAGAGCAAAGCCATTCCGTTTTAGCACTGATAACGTTACCTAGTTGGGTCCTGAAACGTCGGCAAGAAAACTCCCCAGCTCAGAGAGCACCAAGGACACCCAGTCCTCCTCCTCCTCCTCCTCTTTCTCCTTCTCCTTTTCTCTTTCTTTCTTCTCCTCCTTCTCCTCCTCTTTCTCCTTCTCCTTTTCTCTTTCTTTCTTCTCCTTCTCCTTTTTTTTCTCCTTTCTCCTCCTCTTCTTTCTCCTCCTCCTCCTTTTCTTTCTCCTCCTCTTCTTTCTCTTTCTCCTCTTTTTCTTTCTTTCTTCTCCTTCTCTTTCTCTTCCTCCTCCTCCTCCTTTCTCCTCCTTCTCCTCCTCTTCTTTCTTTCTCCTCCTTTCTTTTGTCTCCTTCTCTTCTTTCTCCTCCTCCTCCTTTTCTTTCTCGTCCTCCTCTTCTTTTTCTCCTCCTTTTCTTTCTCCTCCTCCTCCTTTCTCCTCCTCCTCCTCCTTTTCTTTTTCTTTCTCCTCCTTTCTTTCTTCTCCTTCTCCTCTGTCTCCTCCTCCTCCTTTCTCCTCCGCCTCCCCCTCTTCTTTCTTCCCCTCCTCCTCCTCTTCTTTCTCTTTCTTCTCCTCCTCCTTTTCTTTCTCCTTTCTCCTCCTGCTCCTTCTTTCTTTCTCCTCTTTCTCCTCCTTTTCTTTCTCTTCCTCCTCCTCCTAGTACTGATGACGTTACCTAGTTGGCTCATGAAACCACCAAGCTCCTCAGAGAGCACCCAGGAACCCACAATCCTTTTTCTCCTCTCCATTAACCGCACTCCCTTCTAGCACTGATGACGTTACCTAACCAGCTTACGAAATGTCTTGCAAGATAACCACCCGAGCTCCAGAGAGACCCCCCCCCATCCATTCAACCCTGAGCCATAAATAGTCTCTTCTATTGATAGCATCCAAGGCTCTTTATGACTTTCTGTTCCTGAACAGTTAAAATTTGGACCTGCCAAATGCTTTTTGCAAGGCGCCCACTTCACAGCTCCCCGTCCTTGGCTGCGTTACGAAGATCTGGGAACTTCAGTTCTCGGCTCCCATCTGGAAGCCGTCATCTCCCTGTTCCGGGATTCTCCGCTAAAAAGAAACTTTGCCCATCCTTCACTCGGTCTTCCCCATCTGTAAAATGGGCTTCGGAGGCGGGATGTTTTTTTCCTTGGATTTCCCAGCGATTGTACCGCAGAGCAGGCCCGTTTCTGGGGACGCAGAGTCCCCCCCCTCCCAACTTTTCTCCACCCTCAAATGTGTGAAGAATAATAATAAAAAAAAAAATCTTGGGGGCCCATAGGACGAATACGAGGGTCTTTTTCGGTGGTTTTTTGCAAAAAACGGCGCAAACTTTTCGCAGCCCCTATTTGAGTCACCCCCCCCAACCCCTCTCTTCCCTCCATTGTATCCGTCTGTGCTGTAAGCGACGGTTTTCAACATCCATTTTATATTTCCCCGCAGAGAGAAAGGTTGAAAAATGTCGAACGCATCTGTTGCCTTTTGCGAAAGGTGAGTATGGTGTGCCTTTTGTTAAGTGGTGTTTTTTTTGTCCCCCTCCTCCGTGTTTAACCTTCTTTTTCTCCTAAGGTCGTGATGGGGAACCTATGGCACGCGGAGCCATATTGGTGGGCACGCGACTGTTGCCCTAGCTCAGCTCCAGCGCTGGCCAACTGATTTTCAGGCCTTCCGGTCCCACCGGAAGTCAGGAAACTGGCTGTTTCCGGCCTCCAGAAGGCCTCCGGGGGGGATGAGGAAGACTGTTTTTGCCCTCCCCAGGCTCCTAGGAAGCCTCTAGAGCCTGAGGAGGGGGGAAAACGGGCCTATCGCATGCCAAAAGCAGGGGGAAGTGTGGGGGAGTCATGTGCGGATGTGCGGGAGGGCGGGGCGCATTGAATTATGGACGTGGGCCCAGGCACCCACGCGCCCCCCCCCACTTGTGGCATGCGACGGCAAAAAGGTTAGCCATCACTGTCCTGAGGCAACCTTAAAACACTCAAAAGAGCCATTTGGAGAAGAGCCACAGAGATGATGAAGGGACTGGATGGAGGCTAAAACCTAGGAAGAAGGAACTGGGTATGTCTAGATATCTTATCATCTTTCTTATATTTTCTCTCTAGCCATCATCCATCCATCTTTTACCTTCTACGTTTCCTCCCTCCCTCCCCGGCTTTCCTTCCTTCCTTCCTTCCTTCCTTCCTTCCTTCCTTCCTTCCTTCCTTCTTCTCTTCCTCCCTCTCTCCCTTTCTTCCTCCTGCCCTCCTCTTTCTCTATTATTATTTATTAAACTTCTATACCGCCCTTCTCCCGAAGGACTCTCCCTTCCTTCCTGTTTTCTCTCTCCCCTTCCTTCCTTCTTTCCTCTCACCTCCCTTTCCTTCCCTCCCTTCAATCCTCCCTTCCTCTTCTCTTCCTCCTCCCTCCCTTTCTTCCTCCTGCCCTCCTCTTTCTCTCTCCCTCCCTTCCTGTTTTCTCTCTCCTTCCTTCCTTCTTTCCTCTCACCTCCCTTTCCTCCTCCCTCCCTCCCTTCAATCCTTCCTTCCTCTTCTCTTCCTCCCTCCCTCCCTTTCTTCCTCCTGCCCTCCTCTTTCTCTCTCCCTTCCTGTTTTCTCTCTCCTTCCTTCCTTCTTTCCTCTCACCTCCCTTTCCTCCTCCCTCCCTCCCTCCATTCCTTCCTCTTCTCTTCCTCCCTCCCTTTCTTCCTCCTGCCCTCCTCTTTCTCTCTCCCTCCCTTCCTTTCCTGTTCTTTCTCCTTCTTTCTTTCCTCTCACCTCCCTTTCCTCCTCTCTCCCTCCCTCCCTCCCTGTTCTCTTCCTCTCTTCCTCCTGTCCTCCTCTTTCTCTCTCCTCCCTCCCTCCTTCCTTCCTTCCTGTTCTCTCTCCTTCTTTCCTTCTTTCCTCCTGCCCTCCTCCTTTCTCTCTCCTCCCTCCCTCCCTCTCTCCCTCCCTTCCGTCTTTTCTGTCCATCTGTTCTAGCCATTTATCCATCCATCCATCTCCTATCTTTACCACTCTGTTTCTCTTTTTCTCTCTCTCTCCAGCCATCTATCCATCCATCTTGTACCTTCTCCCTCCCTCCCTCCTGCTCACGCTGTACAATATCCATCAGATCCAGCCTCACTCCCTTGTTCTTGACAAAGCTCTGATTTGCTAAAAAAAAAAAAAAAAACAAAAAAAAACCAACCGAGCTCTAAGCCATCAGGGTTTTGGGGGGCGCCCACCCCCAAGGGTTATTCTTGTCTGAAAAGTGTGGCTTTGTGCAAAGGCACGCACAGTACAAAGTGATGTCTGTTCCTCTCAAATCTGTTGCAGCTTGTTGCTGTCAGTCTAAATTAAACTGAAACGAAGGAAGGAAGCGGTTCTTCGCGCATTGGGGGGGGGTTATACAGATGGGAGAGATTCTCAGCTCTGCGCAATGGCCCCAAAGAGATTAGTTTTCTCAGGGGTAACGAAAGCCAAATGTTACCCCTTAATTTGACCTTCCTTCTATCTTGAAATGGCTGCCCCAGTCATCACCATCGTTGCGTTCTTATGTTATTGTATTACTTCGCCATCTTATATTGTATTATGTTGCATTATTATACATTATTGAATTGTGCATTCTTATATTGCATTCTTCTATTGTATTACGTTGCAAATATTATGTTGCATTATTATACATTATTCGAATTATGCATTCTTATATTGCATTCTTATATTGTATTATGTTGCAATATTATATTGCATTATTATACATTATTTGAATTATACATTCTTATATTGCATTGTATTGCATTCTTATATTGCATTCTTATATTGTATTACGTTGCAATATTATATTGCATTATTATACATTATTCAAATTATGCATTCTTATATTGCATTGTATTGCATTCTTATATTGCATTCTTGTATTAAGTTGCAATATTATATTTCATTATTACACATTATTTGAATTATGCATTCTTATATTGTATTACGTTGCAATATTATATTGCATTATTATACATTATTTGAATTATACATTCTTATATTGCATTGTATTGCATTTTTATATTGCATTCTTATATTGTATTATGTTGCAATATTATATTGCATTATTATACATTATTTGAATTATGCATTCTTATATTGCATTGTATTGCATTCTTATATTGCATTCTTATATTGTATTACGTTGCAATAGTATGTCACATTATTATACATTATTCGAATTATGCATTCTTACATTGCATTATTTTATTGCATTGTAATACATTATAATTCTGCGTTCTTATATTGCCTTAGGTTGCCTTATCTTATTGCGTTATTGTACATTGTTATGCCGCATTCTTATATTGCCGTATATTGCATTCTTACGTTGCCTTACTTGCGCTGCATTCTTTTAGTGCATTTTTTATACTGCATTAATCTACTGCAATATTATTTTTGCAATTATCGTATTGCATGATTCTTTCATTGCGATTTCTTTCTTGCAAAAGCAGATCGGGCTTTTGGGAACCAAATGTCAACTACTTCAGATTGCAATTTCTGATACCATTCCCATTTCAAACCCATCCAATCTTAGATTTATGGCAGGGATGTTGTGACACCTGACAATAAAACGTTGCGCTGATCACACAATTGTGATGAATTCATTAGTCAGCCAGTGACTATTAATAAATATAAAATCTAAGGTTGATTTCCTCTTTCTCTTTCTCTCTTTCTCTCTCCCTTCCTCCCTTCGTCCCTCCCTCCCTCTCTTCTCTCTCTCTCCCCCCTCCCTCTCTTTTTTCTTTTTCTTTCACTTTCTTCCTCTCCCTACCTTTCTCTCCCTTTCTCCCTCCCTCCCTCCCTTTTCTCTCTCCCCCTCTCCCTCTTTCTCTTTCTCCTTCCCTTTCTTTCTCCCTCTTTCTCCTTTCTCCCTCCCTCTCTCCCTCCCTCTCTTCCCCTCTCCCTTTCCCTTTCTCTTTCTCTTTCTCACTCTTTCGCCCTCTCTCCCTCCCTTTCTCTCTCCCCCTCTCCTTCTTTTTCTCACTTTCTCCGTCTCTCCCTCCCTCTCTCTCTCCTTTTCTCCCTCCCTTTCTCTCTCCCTCTCTTCCTCTCCCTTTCACTCTTTATTCACTTTTTCTTTCTCGCTTTCTCCCTCCCTTGCTCTCTCTTTCTCCCTCATTCTTTCTCCCTCTTTCTCCCTCCCCCCCTCCTCTCATCTTTTCTATCTGAGTTTGTTTTTTTAAGTAAGATTAAAGGTTGCCTCGCTAATTATGCGAACCCCAAATAAATAAATAAAACGAGGGGGAAAATAATCCTTTCTTTGGGGGGGGGGTTTGTCAAATGAGGCATCTTTGCAAAAATCCCTTCCACTGAGGTTTTCGAAATCGCTCCGATTAGAATCGTGAAAAACGGAGCATCGAATAAATCCGTTTATATATAACAAGAAAGGATTTTGTGCGGGAGAAAGGAGCAGTATTGTGGGGTGATTGTGCTGGGTGTGTATGTGTGTCCTGGTTGTGTTTTTTGTGCGAACCATAAGAATTGAACCAAACAATAAATTAAAAAAAAAATAATCATCTGTTTGTAATCTGATGGGAAAAGGGGGGGGGGGATTTGAATTTTCTTCTCTCCGACAGCTCGTGGTTCCGGAATATTCCATCCATGGCCTTTTCTGCCTGATGTTCCTCTGTGCAGCTGAATGGGTGACTCTGGGCCTCAACATCCCCCTCCTCTTTTATCACTTGTGGAGGTAAGAGGGTGGTGGGTTAGTGGAGTAGCAGTCTTTAAGGGCGATCTTCCTTCCTTCCTTCCTTCTCTTTCCCTCCCTCCCTTTTATCTCCTTCCTTCCCTTTTTCCTTTCCTTTCCTTCCTCTCTTCCTTCTTTCACTCTCCCTCCTTCCTCTCTCCCTCCCTCTTTCCTTTTTCTCCCTTCCTTCCTCCCTTCCTTTCTTCCCTCCCTCTTTCCTGCTTTTCCCCCTACCTACCTCTTTTCCTTTCTTCCTCCCTTTTTCCCTCCTTCCTTCCCTTCTGTTTCTCCCTTCCCCTCTTTTCCTTCCTTCCTATTTCCTTTCTTCCTCCCTCCCTCCCCCTTTCCTTCTTTTTCTTCCTTCCCTCCCTCCCTTCTTCCCTCCCCCTTTCCTTCTTTTTCTTCCCTTCCTCCCTCCCTTCTTCCCTCCCTCTTTCCTTCTTTTCCCCCACCTACCTCTTTTCCTTCCTCCCTTCTTCCCTCCCTTTCCTTCTTTTCCTCCCCCCCTTTTCCTTCCTTCCTATTTCCTTTCTTCCTCCCTCTCCCTTTCCTTCTTTTCCTTCCTTCCTTCCTTCCTGCCTCCCTCCCTCCCCCCTCCCTTTCCTAGTTTCTCCCTCCCTCCTTTCCTCCCTCCCTCCCTCTTTCCCTCCTTCTCTCCCTTTCCTTCTTTTCCTTCCTTCCTCCCTCCCCTTTTTCCTTCCTTCCTATTTCCTTTCTTCCTCCCTCTCCCTTTCTTTTCCTTCCTTCCTTCCTTCCTCCCCCTTTCCTTCTTTTCCTTCCTTCCTACCTCCTTTCCTCCCTCTTTTCTGCCCCGATGCCCCAAATCAAATGAGCCAGCATAGCTCTGAATCCATCCCATCTTGCTCCAAAAAAGAGCTTTTGCTTTGTCCGTTTGGGGCAAAGGGGGTTTCTAGGCGATTTGCAGGTCCAACTTCTCCCCCTCTCTGCTCTCATCCCTTTTGGGCGTCTGACATCTTAGGACTTGGGGTCCCTGTTTTAAGGCCGGGGGAGCAGGTGGGACGGGGTCTCGAGGAGGGGCTGTGAAGCCACAGAGGAAATCAGCAGCCAAATCATAAGAGAACAAAGTCAGATGGGAACAAAAAGGTGATTTAAAAAAAATAAAATAACAACCTAGGAAGAGACACTCTTATAATTTGGATTATAGAACTGATCCTCCTCGTTCCCTAAAGGGGGAAACTCAACCCTTTCAAGCTACTGTATGCATTAAAAATAATAAGCTCTTCTTTGTGAAGGTATTTAACCCAAAATCTCATTTTTAAATTTGCATTTTGTTAAGGATAAATCTCTTGCTGGGGGAATGCGGGAGGGGCTGAAAAGGGAAGGGAAGAGGAAGGAAAGAAGGAAGAGAAATAGGGAGGGAAGAAGGAAAGAAGCAAGGAAAAGGGAAGGAAAGAAGGAAAGAGGGAGAGAAGGAGGAATGAATAAAGGGAAGAAGGAAGGAGAGGAAGGAAGGAAGAAAAAAGAGAAAGGAAGGGGGGAGGAAGAGAAAAGAGGGAGGGAGGGAAGGAAGAAGCAGAGAAAGGGAGGAAGGAAAGAAGGAAGAAAAAAGAGAAAGGAAGGGGGAGATAGGAAGAAGAAAAAGGGAAGAAAAAAGAGAAAGGAAGGGGAGAGGAAGAGAAAGGAGGGAGGGAGGAAGGAAGGAAGAAAAAAGAAAAAGGAAAGAGAAGGAAGGAAGAAAAAAGGAAGGAAGAAGAAAGAGAAAGAAAGGAAGGAGAAAAAGAAAGGAGGGAGGAGAGGAAGAAGAAAAAGGAAGGAAGGAAGGAGAAAGAGGAGGGAGGAAAGGAAGGAAGAAAGAAGAGAAAGGAAGAAAGGAAAAAGAGGAGGAATGAAGGAAGGAAGGAAGGAAGGAAGGAAGGAAGGAAGGAAGGCATTCCAGTTGCCAATCACCTGAATTTTGATGTGCGATGGTCATAAGTAGAGGGCCAATTGTAATTCCCTTTCTTTTCCCAGTGCCATTGTAACTTCAGTCAGTAAACGAATTGTTGTAAAACGAGGACTTACCCTGTAGAAGTTTTATCTTCCCAAAAACTTGCACGCCTTAACCGAAAGTGAGAAAAAAGTTGGAAATTTTTCTTTTAACAGATGTTATTTGGTCGTTGATACGTCAGTTGGCAGTGTAGATGTCCTTGTTTGTTGCAATATGCAAAAATAGACCTTAGTGGGGTAAATATGCGTATATATTTATCTATACGTCGAAATAGCTAGTTTTGGTTCTAAAAAAAGGACAGCTGGGACACCCTTCCGATGTCTTTTTTGGACTGAGATTTCGAGCTGTGGAAGAGAAGCTCGGCATTATTAAACAGAAAATAGCAGGAATCCAATTAATTCCTCCATTTAAAAATTGTCCCTAAAAATCAACAGGTTTTTTTTTTTTTTTTTCTCGTCCTTCTGTCTGAGGGTTGGTGAGATTCAAACTCGTGACGGTGATGAGTTGCGGGAGTTCCAGCCTAATAAAATCTGGGCTGTTTCGTTTTAACTTGAAGGAAAGCGCCCCAAATTCCTGGGTTTCCTTTTGAGGTGGAAATCTTAGAATTGGCCATGTTGAGGTCACAATTGGTCATTCTGAGGATACAGATGGTCATTCTGAGGCCACAGTTGGTCATTCTGAGATCACAGTTGGTCATTTTGAGACACAATTGGTCATTCTGAGATCACAGTTGGTCATTCTGAGACACAATTGGTCATTCTGAGACACAATTGGTCATTCTGAGATACAGTTGGTCATTCTGAGGACAAATTGGTCATTCTGAGGCACAATTGGTCATTCTGAGGACAAATTGATCATTCTGAGACACTATTGGTCATTCTGAGGCAATTGGTCATTCTGAGGCCACAACTGATCATTCTGAGGCCACAACTGATCATTCTGAGGCCACAACTGTCATTTTGAGACACAATTGGTCATTCTGAGGACAAATTGATCATTCTGAGACACTATTGGTCATTCTGAGGCCACAACTGGTCATTCTGAGGCCACAACTGATCATTCTGAGGCCACAACTGGTCATTTCTGAGACACAATTGGTCATTCTGAGGACAAATTGATCATTCTGAGACACTATTGGTCATTCTGAGGCCACAACTGGTCATTCTGAGATACAATTGGTCAATCTGAGGCACAATTGGTCATCCTGAGGCACAATTGGTCATTCTGTGACACTATTGGTCATTCTGAGGCACAATTGGTCATTTTGAGGCCAAAATCGGCCATCTTGAGTTCACGATTAGCCATTTTGAGGTAAAAAAAATTGGCCAGTTGAGATCACCATTGGACATTTTACAAGCCCCTTATTTTTTTATTTTTATTTATTTTTTCCTGCCTTCCTTTCTTGCAGGTACTTTCACCGCCCGGCTGATGGCTCAGAAGTCATGTACGATGCCGTCTCTATCATGAATGCTGACATCTTAAATTATTGCCAGAAAGAATCATGGTGCAAACTGGCTTTTTATCTGTTGTCTTTCTTCTATTACCTGTACAGGTGAGCCCCGACTTTTACAGGTCTCCATAGTTGCTTAAATTTTACCCCGTTTTTCTCTCATTGGTTATCCCAAAGTAACCAGAAACACTGCCACAAATGAAGATAGCTCTTGACTTACCACAGGAAGGAAGGAAAAGAAGGAAGAAAAAGGGAGGGAGGGAAGGAGGGAGGGAGGAAGCAAGGAAAAGGGAGGGAAGGAGGGAGGAAAAGAGGGAAGGGAGGGAGGAAGGAAGGAAGGGATGGAGGAAGAAAGGAAGGAAGGAAAAGGGAGGGAGGGAGGAAAAGGGAGAGAAGGAGGGAGGAAGAAAGGAAGGAAAAGGGAGGGAAGGGAGGGAGGAAGGAAAAGAAGGAAGAAAAAGGGAGGGAGGGAAGGAGGGAGGAGGAAGCAAGGAAAAGGGAGGGAAGGAGGGAGGAAAAGAGGGAAGGGAGGAAGGAAGGAAGGGATGGAGGAAGGAAGGAAAAGGGAGGAGGAAAGGGAGAGAAGGAGGGAGGAAGAAAGGAAGGAAAAGGGAGGGAGGAAGAGGGAGGGAGGGAGGAAGGAAAATGATAGCTTTTGATTTACCGAAAGAAAGAGAGAGGGAGGGAGGGAAGAGGGAGGAGGAAAAGGGAGGGAGGAAGAAAGGCAGGGAAATGATAGCTCTTGACTTACCGAAGGAAGAGAGGAAGAAAGGGAGGAAGGAGGGAGAAGAAAGGAAGGAAAAGGGAAGAAGGGAGGGAGGGAGGAAGGAAAATGATAGCTTTTGATTTACTGAAAGAAGGAAGGAAAGAAAAGGGAGGGAGGGAAGGAGGAAGGGAGGGAGGAAGAAAGCCAGGGAAATGATAGCTCTTGACTTACCGAAGGAAGAGAGGGAGGGAGGGAGGAAGGAAGAAGGAAAGGAAGAAAAAGGGAGGGAGGGAAGGAGGAAGGAAGCAAGGAAAAGGGAGGGAGGAAAAGAAGGAAGGAAGGAGGAAAAGGGATGGAAGGAGGGAGATCCCCTTTTGCGACCTTATGACAAGCTAAGGGGGAAGCCAGATTAGACTCACTTAACGACCGTTTTACTAAATTTAACAACCTCAGTGTTTTCATTTAAACCACGGTGGGCAAGAAAGGCCCTACCTCTCCCTTAACCAATGCCTGGCTTAGCAGGAGAAACGTTGGGCTCGACGGTGGCCGTAAACCGAGGACTGACGGATCCGATAACAACCCCTTTTTCTTTCTCTTTTTCCGGCAGTATGGTTTATACCCTGGTGAGTTTCTAATCGCGCCAACCGAAGGGGCAGGACCCTCCGATCGACACCGCCGCTACCAACCCCCCCCTTGGTTCCTCCGGGATGAATCGAGACCCCCCACACACACACAAACCCACCCACCCAACATTCTTCCTGGAGGCTGAAACGCTAAGCCGAGATGGATCCACCCGTGCCTGACCAAAGCCGGAACCAGCCGGAAAAGCCGCCATCGCCGCCATCTTTTTTTTCTTTTCAGAGGGGTGGGCTGTCTTTCTGCTCTCCCCTCTTGTGCTCCGGATAACAACACACATTCACACAACACAGAAACACCGGTTCGGATTTGGAGAACGAAGCCAGCGTCCTCCTCCCCCCCCACCCCCCCCCCCCCCCCCCCCCCCCCGCCGGCCGCAGCCCCCCCGCCCCTCCCCCGCGGGGGAAAGTCGGCGGATGTTTGGGGGACGCAGAACACAACCCCCCCCCCCTTTTTTTCTCTCCCCTCCCCTCTCTGGGTTGGACCGATTCCTGCCGTAGCCCACTTTTGAGTTCCTCCTACCCCCACCCCATATTTTTTTGGGGGGGCCCAAAAACTCCCATTTCTCAAAAAACAACAACAACTGAGGAACGGAAAAGCACCAGGAAGGAAAATTTTCCGATATTTGGCAGCTATTTAATTGAGGAGGGATGTATATTCGGGGTGAGGGTGGGGGAAGAGATTTTTGAGGAGTGGGGGGGGGGGTTCTTCCCCCCTCTTTTTCTCCTCCCCACCCCCCCAGAGAAGCTCCATAGGGATTTTTTGAGGGGGAGAGGTGCAAAAAAAAAAACAAACCCCAGTCTTTTTTCTTTCCATCTTTTCTTTTTTTCTCTCTCTTCCTGGATCCTTTGAGACAGCAAAGCGATGCTGAGACCAGTATCTGTTGCTATGGCGATAGATCAACCTCTCTCTCCCCCCTCCCGTCTGCTTTTCTCTTTTTTTTTCCTTTTCCTTTTTCACACACTCCGTCCTTTTTCCCCCCCCCCTCCAAATTTTGATTATCTCTCCATTCAGGAAAGCCAGCCTCTTCTCTTAAGGTTGGGAGCGGTTCATATTTCTTACCGATATTTTCATATTAGAAAGCCCCCCCCCCCGCGATAATCAAATTAATTCGATTTTAATGGTTTTTTTAAAGCCAGTGGGCGGTGGGGGTGGGGGAGAACTAATGGATCCTGGCCCCAGATTTTCTCTTTAAAAAAAAAGAAGAGAGGCAGCTGGCTCAAAAGCAACAGCCTTAATCTGCTAGACTGCTCCTGGCTGTGGAGGCTTTTGCTTTCTTGATCCGGTGATGATCAGCCTTCCTTTTTCAAAAAAAAAAACAAAATCCCAGATATTTTTTTTTTTTTTTTTTTGCAGAATTTATTTTATTGATCAAGTTCCCTTTTGGTTTAATCTATAAACCGTAAGAAGCAGAGTTGATAAGTTTGTTCGGTAAAGCTTGCGTGCGCGCCGCTTTTATTTCATATTTATTTCTATTTTTTTAACTGCCTGTCCACCTCATAAGAAGAGTCTCTGGGGCAGCATACAAGATATACAAACGATAAAATGAAGATTAAAAATATTAAGATTTCCCAAAAAAAATTTTAAAATGACAAAACATAACCTTATAAAATTGCAAAAATATTTTATTTATTTGGGGTTTGTTTTTTTTTAAAAAAAGTTATTTATTCTGCATTTCGGCCTTTTCAGGAGGCTGCACGTTGTCTTAATTAAATCGTTTTTAAAATAGGTCTTGGTTGCTGATAGGGAGCAGGGGATCAAAGCCAAATGCCCTGCATGACTTAGAACATCTCGTCCACTCCCATCAAGATGCCCAGAAAATTTTTTAAAAATTTAGATTTTAATTTGGAAGCCGAAGAGGAAGATAAGGAGAGGAATGGGCCTGAGGATTTTGCAGTTTGGTAAATTTTATCTATCAGCCACTCATAGGATCCATGCAGTTTTAAATCCCCACCGAGCAAGAGATTTAACCCTTGTGCCAATCTAACATCCTCCAGGAAGGATGGCATCCACCAGGGCAAAGATGGAAAAAAAGAAAGTTTTTAAGAAGAGATTAGACAGCCATTTAAGCAGGGGGTTGGACTAGAAGACCTCTGAGGTCCCTCCCAACCCTAAGATTCTATGAAACCCCTTCCCAAAAAAATAAAGCCATGAATCTAAAGGTCCAAAGTAGAATGAAAATAATTTTAATTTCCTTTCTTCCCTGGGGAAATGATTCGTTTTTAATAGCAATTTGAATTTTAATCCTCATGGCATTGTTTAAACCACGGCCCTCCAAATTTGGCAACTTTTAAGACGTGTGGATTATAACTCCCAGAATTCCCCAGCCAGTATGGCGGGCTGAGGAATTCTGGGAGTTGAAGTCCACAAGTCTTAAAAGTTGTGTAATTTGCTGGCTGGGGAATTCTGGGAGTTGAAGTCCATAAGTTTTAAAAGTTCTGCAATTTGTTGGCTGGGGAATTCTGGGAGTTGAAGTCCACAAGTCTTAAAAGTTGCCAAGTTTGCAAACTCCTGCCTTAAGAGCCTTGTGGGGTTGCATTAACCCAAATTGGCCCAAACCCACCCAAAAAGTTGTCCACCCTGATTTCTTCCTTCCTTTTTTCCATATATTTTTTCCATTTATTTCTGTCTTTTCTTTTCTCCATCCTTCTCACTTCTGCACCTGGGGCTGGCTTGTTCGGCGAAGCAATGGGCTGACCAGTTTAAAAAAAACAATCACCCAAACGGAGCAGGCAGGAGCTGAAACTCTGGATTTTGGGGTGGGTGGGAGACCACCGGACCCCATTTCTACCCCTCTTGGGGGGGGGCGCTGTATAAAAACAAAGTCCTATTGGAAATAAAGACGATGATTTGATTGTGGCCAGGAGTTCCGCTGTCTTCTGTGGACGAAAAAAAGGCAGATTTCCTTCGCAGACGTCAGCTCACCTGGTCTTGACACCTGCCTCAATAGTCCTCGACTTACTCATTTAGAGACCGACGTTACAACAGAACCAATCCTCGCATTTACGACTGCCAGAGCACCTGCACGATTGCGTGGTCAGGATAATGAGAGAGAGAGATGGAAGGAAGGGAGAAAGGAAAGGGAAGGGAGGAAGGGAGGGAAGGAAAAGGGAGGGAGTGAAAGAAGGAAGGAAGGAAGGAAGAGAAGAAGAAAGCGAAGGAAAGGGAGAGGATGGAAAGATAGATGGGGAAGGAAGAGGGACTAAAGGAAAAGGGAGGAAGGGAGAGAAGGAAAAGGGAGGGAGTGAAAGAAGGGAGGGTGGGAAAGGAGGAAGAGAGGAAAAAGGGAGAGAAGGAAAAGGGAGGGAAGAAGAAGGGAGGGAAGGAAGAAAGGAATGGAGGGAGGAAGAAAGCAAGGAAGGGAAGAGGGAAGAAGGAGAGACAAGGAAAGGGAGGGAGTGAAAGAAGGAAAGGAGGAGAAAGGATGGAAGAGGAAGAAAGGAAAGGGAGGTGAAGGAAGGAAAGAGAGAAGAGCGGCTAAAGGAAAAGGGAGGAAGAGAGGAAGGAAGGAGGAAGAAAGCGAGGAAAGGGAGAGGATGGAAGAAGGAAAAGATAGATGGGAAAGGAAGAAGGACTAAAGAAAAAGGGAGGAGGATGGAGAGACAAGGAAAAGGAGGGAATAAGGAAAGGAGGAAGAGGAATGAAAGGGAGGAGAAAGCAAGGAAGGGAGAGGGAAGAAGGGAGAGAAGGAAGGGAAGTGAAAGAAGGAGGGTGGGAAAGGAGGGAAAGGAATGGAAGGGAAGAAAGCAAAGGAAAGAGGGTGAAGGAAGGAAAGATAGATGGGAAGGAAGAGTGACTAAAGGAAAAGGGAGTGGGAAAGGAGGAAGGAGGAAGGAAGAAGAAGGGGACGGATGGAAGGAAGGAAGAAAGGGACTAAAGGAGAAGGAGAAAGGAAAGAGGAGGGGAAGAAGAAAGAAAAGGGAAGGGAAGGGAAGGAGGAAGGAAAGGCGACTGGTGCTGGTATCTCTCTCCCCGCCACCTCCCAAATCCGAGTCTTGGGGCCCATCGGCTGCATCCAGGGAGCACGGGGCGTGTGGGCGAGGATGCCGTGTGTGCGCACATGCGGGAAGCGTGCAATATAAGCCGTGTCTGCCTCAGACGGAAGGCGCACAGACGGCAACCAGCCGCCCCCCACAGCACTGAGCTGTCTCTTTCCCCCCACCCCCCCAATGATGCTCTTTCAAAAGCTGTCAAGGGCTTTTTTGCAACCATCGTGACACACAACACAACGCAAACAACAACACAAAGCACACACAGAGCCTTCTGTCCCCGGGAGCCTAAACATAGCTAGTTCTTGGCTAGTTTTCCTTTCCTCCTTTTTTTTTTTTCACTAGTTTTTCCAGCCTTCCTTTTTTCCCCCCATCCTCCTCTCCTCCCACCCTCCCTTTTGGCATTATGAGACCCACAAACACACCGGGAAGGGGGGAAAACTGAGGCACAACCCGGGAGGGGGGGGGAGATGGACGACACTGAGGCAAGGATCGAACCCCTCCCCTCCAATCATCTTCTTTTAATGGCCCCATAATCCCTTGCGGGGTAGAGCCTAGGCAACTGAATGGAACAGTGTTTACTGGCCAGATGTCTTTCCTGTTGCCAGAGCGGAGTTTTGTTCAGCAGATTAATATTCTCATTGTGCCCAGAGAGAGAAATATCTGCCTCTACCTAGGATCGAACTCACAGCCTTCCGATTGTGAGGGGAGAGCTCCACACCACTTGACGCTCCCTCCCCTCCAATAATGAACATTATTTTAATGCACCTGGACTTCCATCTTAAGACAGCAAAGGCTCCCGATATGACACACAGACTTACAACTGTTTCGTTTAGTGACGGTTTGAAGTTACGGCGGCACTAAAAGAGCGACTGACGACTGTTTTTCTACACTTAACAGCCACTGCTGCATCCCTCCCGAAATTCAGACGCTCCCATTTACGATGGTCGCAGGGGGGGGGTCACACGTGATCCCCCTTTTGTGACCCGATGGGTGACTTATGACCATTTTTCCCACTTAACGATTCGTTTTTAAGACGGCCGCAGCGTCCCGGAGTCACGTCCTTCCCCTTTTGCGACCTTCCGACAAGCGAAGTCAACGGGGGAAGCCTGGATTCACTTCAACGACCGCATCCTTAACTTCACAACTGCAGCGATTCATTTAACAACTCGGACAAGGCAGGTCGCAAAACGGGGCAAAGGCAGGGGTGAAATCTACTTACCTTCCCAACCGGTTGGGAAGTGCGCGCGCAACTCACGGACCCTCTACGCATGCGCAAACCCTTCTGCGCATGCGCAGAGGGTTAAAAAAAACAGGTTACTTCCTGGTTAAAACCAGGAAGTAATGACCGGGCGGGTGGGCGGAGCCTCACGCCATCACTACCGGTTCTCCGAACCCCCGGCCGCCATCGCTACCGTTTCCCCCAACCACCCGCCGCGATCGCTACCGGTTCTCCCAACCACCCGCTGCTATCACTACCGGTTCCCCCAACCACCCACCGCGATCGCTACCGGTTCTCCCAACCACCCGCCGCGATCGCTACCGGCTTGCCTGAACCGGTCCGAACCGGGAGCATTTCACCCCTGGGCAAAAGTCTCCATTAGCAACCGAAACTCGGGGCTCAACTGCGGTCGCACGAGGATCGACCTGGAATAATAATTAGAATAAACCATCCTTTTTCTAAATTTGCAATTGCCAGCCATTTTAAAAGGCCCGGGGTTGCAAAGACTGACTCTCGTCCCAAAACAGGACAGTTAACAGTAACAGTCTTGGAAGGGACTTTGAAGGTCATCTAGTCCAACCCGCTGCTGACGCAGGAGACCTGAGATTCGAACCGCCGAACTCCCGACCTTTCTGATCGACGAGCTCAGTGTTTTAGCCACTGAGCCACCGAGCCACATTAAGATAATCTGGAGCAAAAAAAGAAAGGAAAAAAAAAAGGATGATTTATTGAAAATTATTTTGGGTGCGCCTGCGAAGAAACACCGTTTCCCAAATCCGGCGAAACAACCCGTCTTTTTGTCCTTTGTGTGTGTCCCCGTAGTTTTTTTTTTTTCCTTTTTTGGGGGGGACAGATGTTTGTTAAAATGCCTGCGGAGGTTGCCACCTAGCTTGCAAAAAATGAAATTATTTTTTTTTCCTTTTATCCACAACCTCTTCCTCTCCCCCCTCCGGAGCTGAGCAGGTGGCGGGAGCAATCTTTTCAAATTTCCATTTTCCGTGAAAATGCTATTGCCCTTAACGTCCACGAAGAAAAGGCTTCGTCCCTTTAGAAAAAGTCTCAAATCTGCAATTCAACCTAGTTTATTTTATTTTATTTTAAATTTGTAAGGGCTGCTGCCCTCTGCTGCCAACAAGCAGAGTTTTAATAATCTCAACCTGCAAGAGTAACAGAGTTGGAAGGGGCCTTCGAGGTCATCCAGTCCAACCCCCTGCTTACTCCTGCTGGAGTAAGATTAGATTAGAATAACAGAGTTGGAAGGGGCCCTTGTTGTTAAGCGAATCATGCGGCTGTTAAGCGAAGATGGCTTCCCTTCCCCCTCTGACTTTGCTTCCTGGGATGATCACAACGGTCGTAAAAAAAAGGGGGATCACGCGATCCCCTTTTGTGACGAGCAGAGTCAACGGGGAAGCCGGATTCACTTAACAACCGTGTGACTAACTTAAAACCATTTTGGTGCTTCGCTTAACAACGGTGGCCAGAAAGGTTCGCAAAATGGGACAAAACTCACTTAACACACACTTCTCGTTTAACGACAGGAATTTGGGGTTCAATGGTGGCCGTAAATCGAGGATTACCTGAATTCAGATCCCTTCGTGGGTGATCAACCATGGGGAAAATAGGAATCCTGCTTGGGAACGCTGGGGGAAAATTCAGCCGCTGCGGAAAAACTTTCTTAAAAACAAAATACATACAGAACACACCTTCACGAATTTTTGTTCTGCCCATCGCAGAGTTTTATAAACTTTTATCATGCTTGCAAGGAAACCCAAAATCTCTCCAGGAAGTGATCGTAGAAAAAAAAAAAATCGAAAACGGAATATCTTCCCATCCTCATCCCACTCAAAAAACTCTTTTTAACACTTCAAATTTTAAAATATTGTTTTTTTCGTCTCTACCGTTCCATCTTTTGTCGCTTTCCAGCAATGTAGAGCCAAACTGGATTTTAGCGCTTCTCAACTTTAGGCGCTTGGAAGATGAGTGGACTACAACTCCCAGAATTCCTCAGTCAGCATGGAATGCTGGGACTTGAAGTCCCACCCATCTTCAAGCACGCTGGCTGGGGCATCCTGGGAGTTGAAGTCCACTCATCTACAAGCGGGCGAGGTTGAGAAATGCTGGATTAGTTCTTGATCAATGCATCTCAATCTCAGCTGCTTGGAAAATAAGGGGACTTCAACTCCCAGAATTCCTCAGCCAGCGTGGAATTCTGGGAGTTGAAGTCCACCCATCTTCAAGTAACCAAGAATATTGAATATTTCAATATTGAAAAATATTTTTTCTAGATTGGTGCTTCTCAACCTTAAGCCGCTCCGAAGATGGGTGGACTACAACTCCCAGAATTCCTCCGTCAGCATGGAATGCTGGGACTTGGAAGTCCATCCATCTTCAAGCATGCTAGCCAGGGAATTCTGGGAGTTGAAGTCCACCCATCTTCAAACAGTCGAGGTTGAGAAATACTGGATTTGTTCTAGATCGGCCCTTCTCAACTTTAGGCGCTTGGGAGATGGGTGGACTACATCTCCCAGAATTCCTCCGTCAGCATGGAATGCTGGGACTTGAAGTCCATCCATCTTCAAGCATGCTGGCCACGGAATTCTGGGAGTTGAAGTCCACCCATCTTTAAGAACCCGAGGTTGAAAAATACTGGATTTGTTCTAGATCGTTCCTTCTCAACTTTAGGCGCTTGGGAGATGGGTGGACTACATCTCCCAGAATTCTTCCCAGTCAGCATGGAATGCTGGGACTTGAAGTCCATTCATCTAAGCATGCTGGCCGGAGAATCCTGGGAGTTGAAGTCCGCCCATGTTCAAGCAACAAAAAAACAACAACACCATTCTAAATACACAATCTTGGCAAGACCACCAGTGGAGACAGAAAATCCGTATTTTGTGCGAGAAAGGATCAAAACTCAACCAACTCAAGTTAAATCCCAAGTTGAAGAACTGTCTCTACAAGTTAAGACCCCCCAAATCTACCCCCCCCTTTTTTTTTTTTAAAAAAAAAGGGGGGGGATACACAGATTTCGGAGTTGTGGACAAGCGTCAACTCGGACAGCTGGCCGGCTTCCGCTGCTCCTGGGCGGGAAAGTCCCGAGTGCGAATGACCCACTGCCTTTCGCTTCATTCTTCCAAGGGGATGGATTCCCCGCTTGTCCTCCCCCGTGGAAAGCCCCCCCACGCTGGAATTTTGGGGGAGGGGGGCCTGGAAGAGACAGAACTCGGAGGAGTGGTGAAATTTGGGAGGGGGTGAGAAAACCAAAACTGGGAAAAAAGGAGGAACTGCGCCCCAAAGTCTCATCTCCGTTTAATGCACCAACTGGGCCGTCAACCAGTACAAAACTAACGGCTGGAAGGCAGCGGCACCTAGCGTGACGTACATCTGCGCCCGGCCGGTAGTCCGACTCAGTCCGTCTTGCACCACGGAAGTGAGGATCTTCATCCGTAAAGAGCGAACCTGGGTGGGCAAGACAATACACCGGAAGCATGTTTAGATGGGCACCTGATTCCTCAACTACAACTCTCGGCGCCTGGCTGACTTGAGCGTGGAATTCCCATGCGCCAAAGGGATGGGATATGACAGGGGTCGGCAACCTTAAACACTCAAAGTCCCACAAAGGTCCTAACTGGAATCCCCTCATTCAATTCAGGAGCCGACCGGAAGTCCGGTTTCCCCCACCATAGAGTCTCCTCCTAGTGTGGCGTCCTTTTTCCTCTACCTGTCCTAACCGAAAGCCCTATCAATTGTGGAGCCGACCAGCAACAGAGAGCCGCAGAAGAGGGATGAAAGAGCCACATGTGGCTCCAGAGCTGCGGGTTGCTGACCCCTGGAATATGAAATCCATCTCGGCTCGATTTTGGTTTTAACTTTGCGTTTATGATTTTTAAATAACTCAAGGCGACGGACCCATCTAATCTTCCTTCCTTCCTCCCTCCTCCTCCTTCCCCGGAACAACAACCCTGTGAAGTGGGTTGGGCTGAGAGAGAGGGGGGGACTGGCTCCCAAAGTCACCAAGTCATTGGCACCGCCCTGAACACGGCCGGACTCACCATGAAATACATAAGGGAACAGGAGGCCCACGCCAGAGCGATGTAGTAGCCGTTGAGACCAAAAACCAAGCCCCCGACCACAGTGAGGATCATCCTGGAGAGGAAAAACAAAGGATTGTGCATGTTTCTGTGTGCGATTAACACATCGTAACAAATTGGGCAGGAATTAACATTTACACCCAAGAGCAAAGAACGAGCATTTCTCCCAATGTTGAAATCACAGCAAGGAAATTACAGCAAGAACCTTTATTTAACGGACATCTGATTCAACGGACAAATCCTTCTGAAATAACGGACAGGTTTATTGTATCCGTAACGGTCTTTAATTTTTAATTTAATAAAGTTAATTTCTGCCATATTAAACGCCCACATCAATATGCAAGAAACGCTGTTGACGTTCTTGGCACAACAACATCTTGCCGCCAAGAGGTATTTTGGGGATTTAACGGACTCTCCTAATTAGTCCGTTAAATCAGGAACTTGCTGCTGGTTGGAAACAAGAGTCTAATTCAGGAAGCTTGAGTCCATGGGGGCTTCTGGGAAATAGAGTCTAATCCGTGAAACAGGGAGAACCCTCCCAACTCACCCAACATATTTGTAGCCGCAGTAAGCCAGAAGGTCAAACGTGCCCAAATCACTTTGGACCGTAGCAAGGTACAGACCCAGGAGAAGGGCGAGAACTTCGATCACCATCCACACGAAGGCCGTGCTGGCGCACATCCCAAGAACCTCCGGGGAAAATCTGGCAGAAAAAAAATGAAGCCTGAACGATTCCCAGTCTGGTTATTGTGACCTAGGCTTACTGAGTAATTACAATACACAATTAGTCCCAAAAATTGTAACATTTTACAAGTTTATTGTAGCAGCTGAGAATTACGTTCATTCCCAGCTGAGTCCCAATTAGTTGCAAAAAAAAAAAAAAGTCCTTCGGAAGAAGTCCTGCGGGGTAATCACCAACCTTTATCTTCTTTGACACATTGCCAAAGGCCTTACTTGGCAAAGCCCCACCGAGTTCAGAAACAAACAAGAGATGCCGACTGGAAACAGAGTTAGCAATGTTGCTATGCTGCAAAAGGCTCAAGTGCCTTTGTTTCTCTTTTAAACCTTATGGGAGGGTCCAATCATCTCCTGGCCTTACTCCCGAGTCGTCCCTTTTGCTTCCCCGCGAACTCCTTTTGCGACTTTCCGACGAGCAACGTCCGTGGGGGAAGCCAGATTCACTTCACAACCCTGTTACTAAGCAGGGACTTATTTAACGGTGGCAAGGTAGGTCGTAAAATGGGGTAAAACCCATTTAACAACTATCTCGCTTAGCGACATGAATTTTGGGCTCAGTTGTGGTCGTAAGTCGAGGACCACCTCTAATCTGTTCCCTGCCAAATTTTACATTGCGCCCAGCCTTAAATCCTGCACCCACAACTCAAATTCACACCTAATCTTCACCATTTACCGTTAAGATGCAAAAATGGGAAAGGAGAAGAATTTTCCTTACCGTTTCTGTATCCCGAGTGCCATTCCAGCCAGCAAAATATATGTAATGAAAGCCATACCTGTGAAGGAGAAAATATATATATATATTTTAAAAAAGGCTCCAGATTTTGGAGGTTGAAGGTTTTTGTTTTTTTAAATAGAAGAACTACAATATTGTGATTTTTTTTTTTTTTTAGAGCAATTCCATCAGTTTGATTTCCCAGACACTTTTATTAATTAAAAATACAAAGCGGTACCTTGCGGTAACTTTTTGTTCCATTAAACGGGTCGAGATTTTAAAAAAAGAAATAAAATTCCTCCCAGTGAAACCTGAACTAGCAATCTGATTCCTAAATTAAACCCATTTTATGCATTTATGTTCGAGAAGATTCAGGCTGCCCAACTCAAAACACTGCAGGTTGTATAGCCTTAAAAAAAAAGAAATGATAACTCAAAATGTAAAAAAAAAAAATTACATATATACTTCAATATATAATAAATAAATCTAATAATCATCAAAGTCTAATAAATATCTACATATTCCGTGACATATGACTGGTCCTTTAATGACTGTTCAGAGTTATGACAGCCTCAGAATAAATATAATGTAATATAATATAATAAAATAAAATAAAAATTCCTCATATACTTCAATATATAATACATAAATCTAATAATCACAAAAGTCTAATAAATATCTACTAGCCCATGACTTACAACTGGTCCTTCAATGTAGTTCAGAGTTATAACAGTCTCAGAATAAATAAAAATAATAAAATAAAATAAAATAAAATAAAATAAAAATAAAATAATAAAAATAATAATAAAATAAAATAAAATAAAATAAAATAAAAATTACTCATATACTTCAAAATATAATACATAAATCTAATAATCACAAAAGTCTAATAAATATCTACGTAGCCCGTGACTTATAAACTGGTCCTTTAATGTAGTTCAGAGTTATAACAGTCTCAGAATAAATAAAATAAAATAATAAAATAAAATAAAATAAAATAAAATAATAAAATAAAATAATAAAATAAAATGAAATGAAATAAATAAAAGAAAAGAAAATAAACAAAAGAAAAGAAAAGAAAAGAAATAAAAGAAAAGAAACAAAAGAAAAGAAAAGAAAAGAAAAGAAGAAAAGAAAGGAAAGGAAAAGAAAAGAAAATTCAACTCACTAGGAATATAAAGATCGGGAGCATTGACGTCCTGCCGAGGAGTCAGAGGAATATCGCGATGATAACGAACTTCCCAATTCTACAAAAAAGAATAATAATTATTATTATTTATGCATTTGCATTTCAGCAGTTTCTTGCAATCAAGTCCCGCTTGAAAATTTTGGTCTGAGGTCGTCCCCCCCCACCCTCCGCTCCCAAAATTTTACTCTTATCCAATCTAAGAGTTTTTTAGTTGAACTTTTCAGCCTGAATGTCTTTTCTTTCTTTCTTCAGATATTCGATTTGCACCCAACAGATTCCTCGGATGCGTTTATTTTCCCCCGATTTCTCTTTCCAGTGGCAATGAGTTCCCGGGGTTAACCAAGTTAAGTGAATAAATACGTATTTGCCGATTGAACCTGACGAGACTCGAACGCGGCAATAAAGGCGGATCACTTTGATTTTTGACATGCCTCCTACACAGACATAGTCCTCGATTTATAACCATTCACTTAGCGAGCGTTTGGAATTAAAAGAGCACTGAAAAACCTCACACTTACGACGACCACAGCATTCTTAAGCCACGTGTGATCAAAACTTGGTTGCTTGGCAACCTGCATGTCTTTACAAGGGCTGCAGCATCCAATGATCACCATTCGTGGCCTTCCCAGCACCAGCTTCCAATAAAAGCAATGGAGGAAGCCGGATTCGCTTAAGGACTGCATGATTCCCCTTAATGACGGCCTGTGATTTGCTAAACCACCATGACAATAAAAATCCCCGAACGACCGCCTGGCTTAACAATGGAAATTCTTTTTTTAAAAATCCACCAAAATTCAGACCAAGATCACTACTGCCAAATATTCTATCCTATTCTATTCTATTCTTTTTTTTTTCTTTCTTTACCTGGTGCACGTAAGGGAAGACTAATAAACCTAATTTTTTCATCACGTATGTGGTGTCCACCGCAAAGAAGTATTTAAGCTTGTTGATAGAAACAAATCTGTGAATCTGCAAGGGGAAAAAAAAAAGAAACCAGATTTATTTATTAAATTTACCTCTTTTATGCCTATTTTACTCGCTCAGTGTTGAATGTTATATGTCTATAATTTGTAGATGCTTCAAACACAAATAAAGAACATCCGTCCGTCCATCCGTTTATCCATCCATCTATCTATCATCTATCCATCTACCCATTCATCCATCTATCATCTATCCATCTACCACCTACCCATCCACTCAACCATCCATCTATCCATCCATCATCTATCTATCTATCCACCCATCATCTATCTACCTACCCAACTATTCACCTATCCATCCATCCATCCATCCATCCATCATCTATCATCTATCCACCTACCCATCCACCCAACCATTCATCCATGTCTATCATCTATCTATCCATCCATCATCTATCCACCTACCCAACTATCCACCCATCCATCCATCCATCCATCCATCATCTATCCATCTATCCACCTACCCATCCACCCAACCATTCATCCATGTCTATCATCTATCTATCCATCCATCATCTACCCACCTACCCAACTATTCACCTATCCATCCATCCATCCATCCATCCATCATCTATCCATCTATCCACCTACCCACACCCAACCATCCATCCATGTCTATCATCTATCTATCCATTCATCATCTATCCACCTACCCATCCATCATCCATCATATCTATCTATCTATCCACCTACCCATCGATCTATCCATCCATCAGTCTATCAGTCTATCATCTATCTATCCATCATCTATCCACCTACCCAACCACCCACCTACCCATCCACCCAACCATCCATCTATCCATCCATCATCTATCCATCATCTATCCACCTATCCATCCATCCATCTATCTCTTTTATTCTATTCTATTCTTTTATTCATATGTTTTCTATGTATTCCATGTATTTGCATGTATTCTATTATTACTTCTATTATTCCATGTTCTATACACATAATACGGGAAAGGACCAAAATAAAGGGCCAAAGGGAGATTTGGAAAAGTATATTATATAAATCTAAAAGAACGCTTTCTAAAATAAAGGATGTTTTGGTCACTGTAACCATTGTGACTCTCTCTCTCTCTTCCCTTCCCCAATTTTTTTTTTTAAAAAAAAGAATTCTCAATTTTATTCCTTTACCTCTTTATGGACGATGTCTTTCCCCTGGGACGCAATGGAGGAGCCATAAGCCATGGCGACGTTAGCAACCGGGTCAGCAAATATCTGGTTGAAGCTCATGTCAATCCCAGGTGGGGGATATCCCGCCTGGGGCACCCCGTAGCCCGAACTGGTGTCATCGAAAAGTTGGGGGGCATCTGGAGATTGTGGCACAGGGGGGTTCCTGGTCCTATGCTTGGAGCCTGTAAGGGGGGAAAAAAATTAGGAAGAAGTAGAAGAAGGGAACTACGTAGCCAACAGACCTCAACTAATAGGATACAACCCAGAATTCGCACTCGGTACAGGACGGAATATGTCTGTACAGGCAGTCCTCGGCTTACGGCCACAGTTGAGCCCAACATTTCCACTACTAAGCGAGGCTGTTATTAAGTGATGCTGCTTAAGGTGAGAAATCTGTCAAGCTGAGTTTCGTCCCGTTTTACGACCTATCTTGCCAGGGTTGTTAAGCGAAACACTGCAGTCGTTAAGCTGGTAACACGGTTGCTAAGCGAATCTGGCTTTTCCCCCATCGACTCGGCTTGTCAGAGGGTCGCAAATGTGACCTCAGGACACTGTCGTAAATACGAGCCAGTGGCCAAGCGTCCTAAATTTTCGATCAGGTGGGATCACGGGGATCCAGCAACGGTCGTTAAGTGTGAAAAACGGTCAAGTTCTTTTTTTTTCAGTGACGCCGTGACTCCGAACGGCCACTAAATGAACTATTGTAAGTCGAGGACTAGCTGTAAATAGGATACAATCAAGGATTCGCACTCGGCACAGGACCGAATGCGTCTTGTGTGGTTTACTAAATCGATTTGATAAAGTTTTTATTTATTAGTCAATCGATAAGCTGCCCGTTCACCCTCTCCGGGCGGCTCGCAAGGCAGGAAAAGAACAAATATTTTCATCTTTCTTTCAATAATGCATCTTATTTTTATTGATAAAATAATAAATTCTAGGCCACCTCCAGGCCTCCAAGCAACACCCAGCCACGTTAGAAAACCACCAATAAAAAAATCCAAAATGTAATCTGGCACCACCCCGGATGGGATTCCACCCCCCCCCCCCCCCCCCCCTGCCCCCCAAATTGGGGGTGCAAACTCCCCTCCCCCCAAAATTAATTAATATTAATTAATTCCCCCAAATGGTTGAAGTGGGCGGGGTTGATTGGATTCAAAAGCCCGGAGTTCAATCCCCACCCCCACCCCCCATAAAAAAGCACCCCCTTGCCTATTTGGGGGGGGCCCAGGAGGGTCTTGGGATCCTCGTGGATCCACTGGAATGGACGGGCCTCGATTTCAAGGCTCCCTCTTCAAAAGCAACAGGCGGGAAGGGGGGGGAGTTCATGCTGGATCTCCTCCCGGGGTTAAGAGCCCCTCCCCCCCAAAAAACCCCACATCTCCCCCATCAACCCCACCATGTCCGCCCCTAGGCACCCCCCCGCCCTCCCCCCCCCCCCCTTTCCCCCCCCTACCTGGACCCCCATATCCAGGGGGATAAGCCATGGCGCCCCCTTCAATCGCTTCCCACCGCCGGCGATCCACAGGATCCAAGGTCTTTAATAAAACAAATAAATTTTAAATAATAATAATAATAAATAAGCCAGAGCAGCAAAGTTGCGAAGAGGTCCAAAAAAAAAAAAAGAGAGAGAGAGAAGAGAAAGGTTCTAAGCCACGTCCTCAAAGGCGCCGGCGCGGCCACAAGCGGCCGCTCTGATTGGCTGCCGCTGTATCCTTTCCGCAGGCTCCGCGCTCTGATTGGCGGAGGATGTATCCATTTTCGGCCGAGGTTCCAAAGGGGCGGAGTTGGCTCGCTGGCGTTTCTTAAGGCCGTTCGGCGCACGCGCAGGAGGAGGGTTGGGGGGGAGGAAAAGAAAAAAAACAAAAACGATGTTGGAAGGCGTTCCCCGGCAGCTTGAGTGGCAGCCGAGGCTTCCAATTGCAAAGGCAGGCAGGCAGGCAGGCAAGGGATGATGGGAGTTGTGGTCTAGCTAGCCTTGCTGGGAGAGCGACAGGTAGGAAGAGGCGGTGGGATGCAAAAAAAAAAAAAGTGTGTTTTTGGAGTTTAGGGATTTTTTATTTTTTTAATTAGAAGCTCGCTCTGATTGGCTGAGCCACAGCTCCAGGAAATATGGCCGATCAGCGAGGGCTGCTGGGAGTTGTAGTTCAGCAAGGCCCATTATTCGCTAAGCCTTAGTCTTAAAACCAGGTATCTCCAAACTTGGCAACTTTTAAGACTCGTGGACTTCAACTCCCAGAATTCCCCACCCAGGGAATTCTGGGAGTTGAAGTTCATGAGCCATGCCGGTTGGGGAATTCTGGGAATTGAAGTCCACGAGTCTTAAAGTGGCCAATTTTGGAATCATCTTCTTCATTTAACGACCCCATAATCCTTTGTGGGATGGAGTCTGGGCAACTGAATGGAGCTAGTAGAGTGTTTTACTGGCTGGATGCCTTTCCTGTCACCAGTGCGGAGTTTTGTCCAGCAGATAATATTTTCATTGTGCCCAGAGAGAGAGAGAGGAATATCTGCCTCTACCTAGGATCGAACTCACAGCCAGATAGATAGATAGATAGATAGATAGATAGATAGATAGATAGATAGATAGATAGATAGATAGATAGATGATATAGATATAGATATACAGTAGATATAGATATAGATATAGATATATAGCTGTGAGTTTACATAGATAGATAGATAGATAGATAGATAGATAGATAGATAGATAGATAGATAGATAGATGTTAGATAGATAGATAGATGATAGATAGATGATAGATAGATAGATAGATAGATAGATAGATAGATAGATAGATAGATAGATGATAGATAGATGATAGATAGATGTTATGAATTGAAAAAAATAAAATGCACTGCTTGCTGAGATTCCATACCCAAACATTTAACATTAGACAATATGGATTGTTTCCCATTTATGGATGCCTTATGAAATTTGTTAGCTTTTGTCTCCTGATTTATTTATTTTTTTTAGCCATCCTAAACTCACTCAGTTCTCCTCCTCAATTAATTCATCCATTTCCAAATCTAAACCCAGGTTTGTTGGCAAACCGACATTGCCATCTATGGAAAGCTAGCTAGCAGGAATTCAGCTCTAGCTAGCTTTGATCCCATGATCCAAGAATTTGTGAATCTCCCCTGCTCGCCTTTCGCTTAAAAATCTTCCTTGCGTACTAGAATTAAGTCTGAGGCCTGGTTAAATTTATAAGCCAGGTCTGAACCATCAATAATATATATATATATATATATATATAAAAAATCCATTTTGTTGTAGTTTAAAAGCCTGCCCTCTTTTTAAACAATAACAAACTGGATCTTTTTTTGAAAAAAAAAATTACATTTTATTGATGATCTTCATTAAGTGTCCCCGGCGTAGAATTTCCCCCGAAGATCCACCAGAGGTCATCCTGAACGGAAATTGATCCCCTGAATTGATTCCCTGAAGATCCACCAGAGATCATCCTGAAGTGAAAAACAATTAGATTTATAACCAATTTTAATAGGGTTGTGTTTGCAGAAGATATCTAGCTTATTCTTCTTGCCCTCACAACTTTTAAGATGGCAGGACTTCAACTCCCAGAATTCTCTAGTTAGCATGCCGACTAGGGAATTCTGGGAGTTTTGCAGACAGCATGCTGGGAAATCCTTGGGGTTGAGGTTCGCCTATTTTAAAGTTGCCAAGGTTGAGAAATACGAGTCTAAGATTACATTTCCATGGACAAATAGGGGTTTATCTCTGGAATCAGTTGCCCCCAGAGATAAGGAGAATCCAAGACCTTAGTGCCTTCCGCCGTGCCCTTAAAACCCACTTTTTCCAGCAAGCCAGGCTGGCTTAAGAAGAAATTTTAAATGTTTTAATTGGTTTGTATTTTTAATTTTGGGCCAAATTTATATATATATTAATTGTTTTTAATATTTGTATTTCATGTTTTTTAATTCTGGCTGTACACCGCCCTGAGTCCTCAGGGAGAAGGGCGGTATATAAATTTAAAAATAAATAAATAAATAAAATAAAGCATACCAGTTGGAGAATTCTACGAGTTGAAGTCTCAAAGCATGGTGGTTGGGGAATTCTGGGAGTTGAAGTCTCAAGCATGGTGGTTGGGGAATTCTGGGAGTTGAAGTCCACATATCTCAAAGCATGATGGTTGGGGAATTCTGGGAGTTGAAGTCTCAAAGCATGGTGGTTGGGGAATTTTTGGGAGTTGAAGTCCTCATATCTCAAAGCATGATGGTTGGGGATTTTTTTGGGGGGGGGTCCTTAAATTTATATGCCGCCCTTCTCCGGAGACTCAGGGCGTCTTACAATGTGCTCAGCAATAGCCTTCATCCTTTTGTATATTTATACAAAGTCAGCTTATTGCCCCCATAATCTGGGTCCTCATTTTACCCACCTTAGAAAGGATGGAAGGCTGAGTCAACCTTGAGCCTTGGCGAGATTCGAACCTGCAGTAATTGCAGGCAGCTGATGTTAATAACAGTGCTTTAGTCCACTGTACTACAGGCTCTTGAAATGAAATGAAAAAAAAATTTCATTGATTTTATGTGAATGAGATTAAAAGAATCAGAAAAAGAATCTCTCTTTGGACCCAGGTTTGCATTCCGACGTGCAAGGGAAGAAGGGGAGGGAGGAGACACGTGGGGACCCAGCCTTCCCTCTCCTTCCCTGCCTGCCTGCCGAGTCATCGGGGCCGAAAGAAAGCGAGGGAAGGAGCCAGAGGAGCAGGGCGCGGAGCGTCGCCAAGGCAAGGCAGAGCATCTTCCTTACGGCTGCTGGACCACTCTGGGCAACCGGGAACGGGGCTGGGGTGGGGGGGCCGTGGGGCTTTGTGCTTTCCAGCCCCGCCGTGGAGGGCGGAGCTGCCGCCTCCGCCGCCTCTGCCCCCGCCGCCAAAAGTCCACGGGCGTCCGGGGCAGGTGGGCGCCAAGCTAGGGCGCGCCAAGGGTGACTGTCTCTCATGCAGCTCCGTTGCGGGGATTGCGGGAGGCGGCACAGCTGGAGCCTCTGCGGGGCCGGCCAGCCCCACGCCCGAGCCTAAGATGCGGCCGGGCCGTGCCACGCGTGAACTATGCCAGGCGTGGGGGCAGAAGACGGCGGGCAGCAGCCGGGCGCCGGGGAGCTGCCCACGCTCACTCCGGCTGGGGGACCCCCTCGGGAAGAGGTAAGTGACAAGTCCAACCTGCGTGGGGGGGTGAGTGGGTGGGTAGCTGGGGGTAGGAGTGGGGGAGGGGGGAGAGAAAGGGAGGAAGGGAGAAAGGGAAGGAGAAAGGGAAAAGGGAGATGGGAAAAGAAAGAAAGGGGAGGAAAGGAGGCTAGAAGAGGGAAAAAGAAGGGGAAGAGAAGGAGAGGAAAGGAAGGATAGAAAAGAAAAAAGGGAAGGAGAGGAGAAAACGGGGGAAAAGAAGGGGAGGAAAGGAAAGGGGAAGGATGGAAAAGAAAAAAAGGGAAGGAGAGGAAAGGAAAGGAAGGATAGAAAAGAAAAAAAGGGAAGGAGAGGAAAGGAAGGAGAGGAAAAAAAGGGGGAAGAGAAGGGGAGGAGAGGAAAGGAAAGGGGAAGGATGGAAAAGAAAAAAGGGGAAGAGGCAAGGAAAGGAAAGGGGAAGGATGGGAAAGAGAAAAGAAGGGAAAGAGAAGGGGAGAGGGGAAGAAAGGAAAAGAAGAACGGCAAGAAGGAAGCGAAGGGAAGGAAAAGAAGAAAAGGCAGCCAAGAGGAACGAAAGGAAGGAAGGAAAGAAGGAAAGACAGATTTAAAACAAACAAACAAAAACAAAACCCCGAACCGCTTTTGCGCTGCGCCCTGAGCGCACAGCTTTGGAGACGAGAGTCCCCCTTTCCAAGCGGCGCCTCCAAAATCCGGTGTGCCAGCTTTCGGGGTTTGAAAGCCGGGGTTCGGCCCTCTGCTTTTCTGTCCTCCCCCCCCCTTTTATTTATTTTTTTCCTAAAGGGGAGAGGAGGGGCGTGGAGAGAGTGATTTTGCTGCAGGGAACACGTGTCTCTTTGTGCATTATTAATAGCTCTACGGGGGTTAAAAATAAACCTGGGTTTCTGCGGGGGGGGGGGCCCCGGGGGGGGGGGGGGGGGGAGAAGGGGGGGGCTCGGGGGGGGGGGCTCTCCTTCGGGCCCCTTGCATCCTCCTCGTCCACCCACCCACCCCAAAAGGGGGGGTCCCTCTATTTGCAAGAAGGCGCCCGCGGGTGCGTAAAAGAGGGATTCCCAGGGAAAAGGAAAGAAAGGAAAAGGATCTGCAGGGGAAGCGGGGCGTTTTGCCACCGGCTGGTGTGTGTGTGTGTGTGTGTGTGTGTGCGTGTGTGTGCGCGCGTGGAAGGGAGGGCACGCGTGAAGTTCTGCATTGCACCACAGTCTGCCCGGCCGCGCGTCCTTCGCCACTCTCTCTCCGCTTGGATGCTCTTGGCGGCGGCAGATCCCCAGCTCGCTCGGTGTCAGCAGAGGAACAAAAAAGCCAGCAGGATCTAGGGAGTTGGGGGGGGGGCTGAAGTGGGAAGAGGTGTTTTTTGATGGGGGGAGCTGGAAATCATCCATTTCCCCCACATCTGGCAATTTTTAATTTTAGTTTTTGAAGCTGCATTTCCCTGCAGCTAAATAAAGGATATTTCTTTATATATCTCTATCTATCTATCTATCTATCTATCTATCTATCTATCTATCTATCTATCTATCTATCTATCTATCTATCTATCTATCTATCTATCTATAAAAGAATATATATATATATATATAGAAATATCCTTTATTTATATATATTTATAAATAAATATATATTTTTATTTATATATATTTATTTATATATACACACACCCCTTTCCAGCCCTCCTCGACCCGAAAAAAAGACTTTTAGGAACAAGGATAGGGGGTCTCCCCTCTTTTGCATGCCCCCCAAGACTCCCTTCTGCCAGCCTGGCTGGCAGGGGATGAAGGGAACTGTAGTCCAGCGGGGGCGCCAAGTTGGAAACAAGAAAGAAGCTTCTTGGGACAAAAGAAGCTGGGCCGAGCTTTGGAAGAAGGATATTGGGGAGGGGGGCTTTTGGGGGAGAGGGGAAGGGGAATTGGCAAGCCAAGCCACTTGGGAGTTGCCAGGGTTAAAAATCAGGGCCCATCTCCCCTCCCACCCCCCCACCCACCCCCAAGGGATTTTGATGGCCAAAAATGTCAGAGCTAGGAAAGATCAGTTCAGTGAATAGATAGATAGATAGATAGATAGATGATAGATAGATAGATAGATAGATAGATAGATAGATAGATAGATAGATAGATAGATAGATAGAGAGATAGAGAGATAGATAGATAGATAGATAGATAGATAAACCACCGCAGCATCTGGGGCTGCCTTGTTTTCTTCCTTGAAGTGCATTATTAAGGCAAGGGGAAGAGGGTGTCAGATTGAAAAAAAAACCCCCATGCTTTTAAAAAATTAAAAAAAAATCCCCCTCCCAATCTTAAAAGCCATTTGCTGTTTGGCAGCCTCCCAAAAAATCCCCTTGAGCAGAAACCCCTTTTGCAATGCTCTGGGGAGACATGAAAAGCGTGGGGAACTCCTTTCCAGCTGCCCCCCCCCCAACCACACCCCACCCCATAAGGCCAGATCCACTGGGAAGCTGCCTGGTATAATTTGTTTTATTCTTTATCCCTTCGATCGGGTTCTAAGGGTAGTTTAGCTCCACCAAAATAACCCTGAAATTCTAAAACCGTTTTTTTTAATATAATAAAATAATTTGATTTGATTTTATCGGGTTTTTAAATTTTGTGTATTTATGTATTTTATTGTTGGCTGTTCACCGCCCTGAGTCCTTCGGGAGTAGGGCGGTATACAAATCAAATAAACTAAACTAAACTAAACTAAACTTAAAAAAACATAAAACAGTAAAAGCATTCTCAAACAAAGAGTTGGAATTAAATAGTTGGAATTCCCTTGGACAGTCTTTCTTTCTTTTTTTCCCCTCTTTTTTTCTCTCTTTCTCTCTTTTTTCCCTTTCTTCTCTCTCTCTCTCTCTCTCTTTTTATCTGTCTCTCTCTTTCACCCTCTTTCTCTTTATTTCTCTCTTCTCTGTCTCTCTTTCTTTGTCTCTTTTTATTATTATTATTTATTATTATTTATTAAATTTGTATACCGTCCTTCTCCTTTCGGACTGAGGGCGGTGAACAGCCAAAATAAAAACATTTGGACAAAAGTTAAAATAATTATTTAAAACTAATTAAATAGAATTTGGCCCATAATTTAAAACGTATCAATTGAAATCAATATCAATATCTATCTCTCTGTCTTTTCCCCCCTTCTTTCTGTTTTCTCTCTTTTTCTTTCTTTCTCTTTTTCTTTCCTTTTCAATCTCTCTCTTGTTCTCTTTTTATGTCTCTCTTTCACCCTCTTTCTCTTTATCTCTATTTCTCTCTTTTCTCTGTCATTCTTTGTCTCTCTCTCCCTTTGTCTTTTTTCCTTTCTGTTTTTTCTATCTTTTTCTTTCTCTTTTTTATCTCTCTTTTTCTCTTTCCTTTTCCCTCTTTTCTCTCTCTTTTTATCTGTCTCTCTTTCACCCTCTTTCTCTTTATCTCTATTTCTCTTTCTTTTCTCTCTGTCTCTGTTTCTTTCTGTCTCTCTCTCTCTCTCTCTGTCTCTCTTTTTTCCTTTTTTCTGTTTTCTCTATCTCTTTTCCTTTCTCTTTTTTATCTCTCTTTTTCTTTCCTTTTCCCACTTTTCTCTCTCTTGTTCTTTTTATCTGTCTCTCTCTTTCACCCTCTTTCTCTTTATCTCTATTTCCCTCTTTCTTTTCTTTCTGTCTCTCTTTCTCTGCTTCTTTCTTTCTTTCTTTTTCTCTCTTTGCGTCTCTCTCTTTCTCTCTCTCTCTTTCTCAGCTAGAGGCCGGATACTTACAGGAAGTTAAATACAGGATATTCCTAACCCTTTCACTCAAGCTTGCTTACGGCTAAATACGTTTATATGGCAGGTGGTGGTCCCAGCAAAATGGAACCTCCCTATGCAGAAGCAGTCTATCCTGGCAGACCAGAGAGCTGTAGGCTTCCTCGGGAGTGCCTTTCGGCTTCCGTGGGAAACAGACGCCGAGCCTTATTTTGTCTGGCTTCGACGTCCTGTTTATATCCCTAAACTGTGACCGTCTTAGCGTCTGGACTCCACGCCCCCAGTGCGAACGGCGCGATGTGTGTGTCTGAAAGCACAATTGCAGGGTGTCTGGCATTTCAACCCCAAGCTGGTTGTTAAGTCGGGGGCTCCCCACCCACCCACCCCCCCGGTCAGCTGTGATCCTAGAATACTGAAAGGCCGAAGAAATTGGCACCATTGCAAAGCTTCAGTTTGGCATGCTATTTTTTTTTTCTTTCTTTCTTTCCGTCCTCTGTGTTAGAAACACGGGGGCAACCGTGAGATGGAATTAAGGTTAACAGGTAGTCCTCGATTTATGACGGTTCGCTTAGTGACCAAAGTGACAACGGCACTGGAAAAAAGTGGCCTTTTTTTAAAAAAACACTTACGAACCACGCGGTCACGAGATTTACATTCGGATGCTGGACCGCTGATCGCATTTATGACGGTTGCGGTATCCCTGGATCACGGGGTTCCCCCTTTTTGGCGACCTTCCGACAAGCACAGTCAACGGGGAAACCCGATTCACTTAACCGCCGGGTGACTCATTTAACAAGCGCGGCCGATTCACTTAACAAAGGAGGGGGGCAAAAAAAGTCGTAAAATGAGGCTTAACGAATTTCTCACATAAATTTGCGGTCGTACGTTGAGGACTACCTGTACTGGTTTGGCGGTGGTGGTGGGGTGATCTTAGATCTTTGTGGGAAGGGGCAGCTCTGTAACCGGTTGTTCTACCCTACTCTCTTCTCCATCCCTTTCTCTCCCTCGACCCGCAGCAACGTCCTCTCAAACAGTCTCTGAGCAGCTCACTGTGCCGGGAGTCCCATTGGAAATGTCTGGTGCTCACCCTCCTGATGTTCGGCTGCTTCGGCGTCATGGCCTGGTGCCGTATCTCGACGGTGACCCGTCTGAACTACGACAGCTCCTATCAAGGGGCGTCGCTGGTGTATCATGACAGCCCGTGCTCCAACGGATACATCTACATCCCGCTGGCCTTCTTGGGCATGTTGTACGTGGTGTACCTGGTGGAGTGCTGGCACCGGTTCGCCAAAGGGCAGATGCAGTATCGGGTAGACACGGCGAGCGTCTACGACAAAGTCCAGCGCATGCAACAGGCCACGCCTTGCATCTGGTGGAAGGCCGTCAGCTACCACTACATCCGCCGTACGAGGCAAGTCACACGTTATCGCAACGGGGACGCTTATACGACCACTCAGGTTTACCACGAGCGGGTCAACACGCACGTCTCGGAGACGGAGTTCGACTACTCGGGCCACGGGGTGAAGGACGTCTCCAAGGAGCTGTTGGGACTCTCGGATTACCCCGTGACCAAACTCCGGTTTACGAAATGCTTCAGTTTCGCCTCGGGGGAGGCGGAAGCCGCGTATCTGACTCAAAGGGCCCGGTTCTTCGGCGAGAACGAGGGCTTGGACGACTACATGGAGGCCCGCGAAGGGATGCACCTCAAAAACGTGGACTTTAAGGAACACATGTTAGTCTTCCCAGATCCGGGGCGTCCACCCTGGTACACCCGCCGAAGTGTCTTCTGGTTGGCCTCTTTCCTCCTGCTGTCCTGGCCACTGAGAGTCTTGTCCGAATACCGTACGGCCAATGTACATTATCACGTGGAGAAACTCTTTGGGGCAGACGACGGGCCCAGCCCGCTGGATGCCGCGGGGACATACGGGCGGCGAATCTCGCGCGTCAACACGGTGGACATGACTGAACTGGAATGGCACATCCGTTCCAACCAGCAGCTGGTGCCCAGCTACTCCGAGGCCGTGTTGATGGACACCACTACGGTGGCGGGCGCAGCGTACCTCCGCAGCTGCCAACGCTGTCGCCGGACTGTCAGCAGCAACTCCCTGCCCTCGCGGGGCACCCGGGCTCTCTACGCCCGCTTGCCGTTCAGCTGCAGCCGCTTCTCGCTGAGCGGCGCCCGGCGTTGCGGGGGGATTCTCCGGAGCCTGAGTGGGAGCCACGTGGGCAGCAACGTCGACACGGAGCCGTTGGAGAGTCCCCCGTGCTACCAGGATGCGTTATACTTTCCCGTGTTGATTGTACACGGAGGGGAGGGCTGTGAGCGCAATGGGCACAGGCCGGGGCTGGCAGGGAGGGGGCAAGGGACCCCCCTGTGAACTGGGAGGAGGGGAGGGATACTGGAAACTTAAGTTCCCTGGGAGAAACGCAGTACAAAACGTCTCTGGCTTGTTTCCCTGAGCCAAAACCGAACCCATTAACCCAACTGCAAAGGCTTTTTGGCTGACATTTCAGTCTTCTAAGGAAGTGTGTTTGGGGAAGGAGAGGCCCATTAAGCCCAGGTTCAGATATGGGATTCTTTTGCTCAACTCTTGGGTAGAGGGAGGAAGGAATAGAGAGGGATGGAAGAAAGAAAGGAAGGAAGGAATAGAGAGGGAAGGAAGGAATAGAGAGGGAAGGAAAGGAAGGAAGGACTAAAGGGATGGAAGAAAGAAAGGAGTGAATAAAGAGGGAAGGAAGGAATGGAGAGGGAAGGAAAGGAAGGAAGGAATAGAGGGATGGAAGAAAGAAAGAAAGAGAAAGAAAGAAAAAGAAAGAAAGAAAGAAAAGAAAGGAGGGAGTAAAGAGGGAAGGAATAGAGGGATGGAAGAAAAAGAAAGAAAGAAAGGAGGGAGTAAAGAGGGAAGGAAGGAATAGAGAGGGATGGAAAGGAAGTAATAGAGGGACGGAAGAAAGAAAGGAGGGAGTAAAGAGGGAAGGATGGAATAGAGAGGGAAGGAAGGGAGGAATAGAGGGGTGGAAGAAAGAAAGGGAGTAAAGAGGGCAGGAAAGAATAGAGAGGGAAGGAAAGGAAGGAATAGGGGGATGGAAGAAAGAAAGGAGGGAGTAAAGAAGGCAGGAAAGAATAGAGAGGGAAGGAAAGGAAGGAAGGAAGGAATAGAGAGATGGAAGGAAATGAAAAAGAAAAGAAAGAAAGAAGAAAGGAATAGAGAGGGAAGGAAAGAAGGAATAGAGAGGGAAGGAAAGAAAAAAGCAAGAAAAGAAGGGAAGAAAAGAAAGGAAGGAATAGAGAGGGAAGAAAGGAAAGAAAAGGAAGGAAGGAAGTCCCAGATTTTCAGAAAACACGAGTTTTCAAGTCAGTATTCTAATACAGAATTCTTTTGCTGAACTCTTCACTCGAAGAAGGAAGGAAAGGAAGAAAAATAATCCTGCAGAATGCGTGAGAGTTTTTCCCACAAGGGCTCAGGAACATTCTAAAACAAAACAAACAAAAAAAGAACAGAAATGGCATTTAACCGGGGAAGATCAAAGGCTCAGCTCAATGGAAACACAGAATAACAGGAGTTGGGAGGGACCTTAGAGGTCTTCTAGTCCAGCCCACAGCTTCTCCATTGTTCCTTTCAGTCCCGCTCACCCTGGTGCAGCAGCCACGAGAACGAAACCTGCGCCCTCAGAAAGTTGGATCGCTAAGGAGGGCCTGAAGCCATCCCACTTGGGCCTGTAAGGCACACGAGGAGGGGAGGCCACCCGGCGAAGCTCAAGTCGGAGAGATAACCTTTTAAATTCCCAGCGCTGGCAGAAACCCCCAATTTAAACCCCCCTCCCCATAGCCAGCCTCGTTTCCCTTCCCAACAACGCAGGTTTTTAAGAGGACGAAGCGTACAGGTAGCTGTTAGGCACTAAAATGGATCGATTGAACCTCCCTGCCTAGGAGCAGTCTACCTTAAACCCGAGAGACAAGCGGGGGGGGGGCTCCTCCAAGCATTTCCTTTACAATTCGGAATGTCAAAAATCAGTTTCTTCCAAAGTAGGTTGAGCCTGCTCTCCGTTTGAGGCTGCTTCAAATATCCAGTTTTAAAAAAAGAAAAAAGAAAGAAAGAAAGAATGAATAAATAAGAATTTCTATATCGGATCCATGAACTGGAAAAGGAGGTTCTGCGAAGGCAGGAGGAGGCCGAACAGCCGACCGTCTGATTGTCCCCGGGATCAAGCCGACATTTGAATTAAACTAGCATGGCAAACCTAGATGCGTGACATGTCCGTAGGAGCAGGGAGGGAGGGAGGGAAGGAGAACAAGTCGACGAAGGATCGAGGCAGTCCTTGTTTAGCGACCAAAATGGGACCGGCGATTTTTTAATAAGCAAAGCGGCCACTCTGTTGAAGTTATTGTATTAATTCATGTATTTATTGCATTTATATGGCACTCATCACACGATCCAGAGTGACTTTCTCTCTCTCTCTCTCTCTCTCTCTCTCTTTTTTTTTCTTTCTCTCTTTCTCTTTTTCTCTTTCTCTCCCTCCCTCCCTTTCTCCCTTTGTCTCTTTCCCTCTCTCTTTCTCTTTCTTTCTTTCTCTCTTCCTCTTTCTCTCTCTCTCTTTTTCTCTTTCTCACTTTCTTTCTCTTTTTCTTTCTATCCCTCCCTGTTTCTCTTTCCCTCTGTCTCTTTCCCTCTCTCTTTCTCTCTCTTTCTCTGTATCTATCATCTATCTATCTATCTATCTATCTATCTATCTATCTATCTATCTATCTATCATCTATCTATCTAAAAAAAAAGCAACTGAGTGGATGCCCTTCCTGTCGCCAATGCGGAGTTTTGTTCAGCAAATATACTCTCATTGTGCCCAGAGAGAGAAATATCTGCCTCTACCAAGAATTGAACTCACAGCCTCCTGATTGTGAGGTGAAAGCTCCACCTCTAGGCCATTGCACCTCTCCCTCTCCCTCTCCCTCTCTCCCTCCCTCTCTCTCTCCCTCCCTCCCTCTCTTTCTCTATATCATCTATCTATCTATCTATCTATCTATCTATCTATCTATCTATCTATCTATCTATCATCTCTCTCTCTCTCTCACACACACACACACACACACACACACACACACACTCGCTGTCTTTCTCTCTCCCTCCCTCCCTCTCTGTCTCTCTCTCTGTCTCTCTCTCTCTCTCTCTCTCTCTCTCTCTCTCTCTCATCTCTATATATAAAATTTCACATCTTTGCAGCTTTCCTTTACTTGTCAGATCTAGGAAAGTTGTAAAGGGCAATGACAGGTGGCAAAGAGACTATTTTCATCGACGTCGTGACGGCAAGGCGGTCGCTAAACAAGGACTGCCTGTGGGTGCCGTTTCCTCTCTGCTAGCTGAAGTAAGGTTCGCCCACTCTTTCAGAGTTGGGGTCTTTTTGATACCATGGATTTAGGTTGGCTTTGCCAAGTTTTGACAATGTAAGGTTGTTGGTATATATATACAGGTAGTCCTTGACTTATGACCATAATTTCCTGTTGTTAAGCAAATCTGGCTTCCTCCTCGACATTGCTTGCCAGAAGGTCTCAAAAAAGGGATTGTGTGACATACACACACCCCAGGACAGTGCAACCGTCATAAATGCAAGTCGGTTGCCAAGCGCCTGAATTTCGAACCCGTGACCAATCCCGGGGGTCATAAGTGTGAAAAAAAATGCTCCTAAGGTTTTTTTTCAGTGCCGTTGTCCCTTCGAACAGTCACTAAACGAGCCGTTGTAAGTCAAGGACTACCTGTAAGGAGCCACAAGTTCTCTAAATAAGGGCTAAGCAGGACTCAATCCTTTTCCCCTTGTGCCGGACCTCAAGAACGGAGACACAAAAGTGTGGGTTTTGCAACTGTGTGCAAAACAACACTTCCGGTGAGAAACCGAGCTGCTGCGTTCACACGACGGTCCAGTTTTTTCTTTCCTCGCTTAGCGTCGAACCCCGACTGTCTCTCCGGACACGAATGGCCGTTGAATCTCCCGCGTGAAGCCGGCGAATGGATCTAATTGGTCTCCACCCCAAATGTGTGAATTGATACAAAAGCAAGTCGGGCCCCACCGACACCAAGACTTTGTTCCCAGCCCTTGGGATCTGGCCAATACCGGATCCCTGGATCCCGTTCAAAACAGCTGGTGGATCCCCCACGAAGGATGCCTCTGAAGGAGACCTCCTCCTCCTCCTTTGGCTCTGGGAGGGGGTGGGTGGGAAAGAAAAAATAAATAAATCAGAATTTGCTCTGGATTTTGGCCGATCTGTTTTTCGGCCTTGCCTTGATCGTTTCCCGTCTCGTCCGGCGAGCGTGGAAAAGTGGATTTTGATCTGGGAGAAAGAGAAATCACTTCCGTGGCTTTGGGGAGGGGAGATCTGCTGCTGTTGAATGGGGTAGGGGGGGTCCTGCATCTTCGTGGTGCGAAATAATACAGATAATCCTCCCCTTACGACTGTAACCGAGCCCGAAATTTATGCTGCTCAGCGAGACGTTTCTTAAGCGAGTTTCGCCCCACCCTTGTGCGACCTTCCTCGCCGTGGTTGTTAAGCGAAACCCCAACAGTTTTTAAATCAGGAACACGGTTGTTAAGCGAATTTGCCTTCCCCGTGGACTTGGCTGGTCGCATCAGAGGATCACAGGACATGCCACCGTTCGTAAGGGCGAGTCGCTCGCTAAGCACTCGAATGTAAACCCCCTGCAACGGTGGCTAAGTGTGAAAAATGGTCATAAGTGTGAAGAACGGTCATCGATGCCGTCGTAACCTTCGAACGGTCGCTTAAGTGAAGCGTAAGGGGAGGATTACCTCTGAATTTTAATTCGTTTGCACGGCTCGGAGGACGAGAGGAATGCTCGCTAGACGAGTAAAAAAGGAAAGAGATAATTCGGGTCCCTCCTTCTATTTTTGGAAATTTTGGGGGCACCGTTTCAAATCTCGGTGACCGAACCATGGGGGGGGGGAAATCAAAGTGGGAAGCCCACCCACCATTGTCAAAATAAAAGGATTTCAAATCCCCGACTCGGCTGGCTCCTTGGTGCGGTGGGTGGGTGGGATACTGGGGGTCCTCGGCTTAACGACCACAGTTGAGAGTTGGTGCCAGGTGAGGCAGTTGCGAAAACATCCGCGCCCAATTTTTGCAAATTGGGTGAACAGTGAATCGGTGCCATTATTAAGTTGATTTAACCCACTGAAGGTCCAATGAATTAAATCCCGAGAAGATCAGGATCCCCATAATCAGAATTAAATCCTGATTAAGATCGTATCAAACCGTGATCTTTGTTTAATAACCTCCAGAGATGGAGAAACCACGGTCCTCTTTTGAGAGGTTATTCCATGAATGGCAGTAGCAGAGTGTTTGAATGGCCGGATGCCTTTCCCGACGCCAGTGCGGAGTTTTGTTCAGCAGATAATATTCTCATTGTGCCCAGAGAGAGAAATATCTGCCTCTACCTAGGATTGAACTCACCGCCTCCTGACTGTGAGGCAGGAACTCCACCTGTAGGCTCTCTCTCTCTCCCCCCGCTCGCTCATCTTCATTTAACGACCCCATAATCCCTTGTGGGGTGGAGTCTGGTCAACTGAATGGAGCTGAGTGTTTTAATGGCCGGATGCCCTTCGTGTTCGCCAACACGGAGTTTTGTTCAGCAGATATATTTCTCATTGTGCCCAGAGAGAGAGAGAAATATCTGCCTCTACCTAGGATCGAACTCACAGCCTCCCGACTGTGATGGCTGCCGATATCATCCAGCAAAATAATACGGTTCGAATCAACATTTGACGAACAGAAGCTATTCGTTTTTGCACCGAGTTTTAATCGGAGGGCGGACGGTCTCCAAAATCTGGCGGGGAGGGGGGGGGGCGAAAGGAGGCCCACAATTCTAACCGTGGAGAAAGAGTGTGAAGGAAAAAAAAAAGTGCGAAGAAGAAAAGAGCGATGGCAGAATACGAACGCATGATGCTCAACCCCTTCATTATTCATAACGGAAGGAGGGGGGCCGGGGGGAGAAAAAAAAAGCGAGCCTTCGCTCGGTAATCGATTCTCGCCAGTAGCCCGAGGACACCGGCCTGCGAACGAGCAGATGGGCCCAGTTATTTGGAAATAAGTAGTTTTCCCCTCAGATGGTGGCCGCCGGGGAGCTGGTGCTGTGATCCTCTGAAGGCCTCCGAGCATCCTTTCTTCCCGGGGTTGCCATGGCGATGGTTGCAAAGCAACAGGGAGGCAGACGTGGCCAGCTGGGGACCAAGGATGAGTTTTCGTAGCGGTCGTTTCTTTCAGGAAAAAATCCCAACTCCTGGCGACGTCGTTCCTCTGCAACCACGGCCGAATTTTTCCCCAGGATGCTTTGCTGCAATTTTCTGGGGGCGTCTCCCATCCAAAATTCAACCCCGTCTGGCCCTGCTTAGCTTTTTGCTTTGTTTTGTTTTATTTTGGCGACGTCGACTACGATGATGCAATAAATCCAGGCTGAAATGCGTATGGAGGAACAAAAATTTCACACACACATATATATATATATTTAAAATTAGTCTGTGCTCCCAGGGGGTTTTCCTGTTTACCTTTCAGCCCTATGTGGGTGGAAAGGGGGAAAGGGATGAATGCGTCAGAATAATAAGCGGAGGTGTGTAATGGAGACAAGACGCCTGTTGTTCCTTCTCAGGGGACGGTCAGTTGGTCTCTTATGGACAAAAATGCAGAGGATTTCCCGCTGCTAAAAGTTCTAGCGGAGGATTTAGCGTTCTGAGATAATCTCTTGGGGGATAATACAGAAGGTGAGAAGAGATGAGAACGGAAATTATATCTAAGCTTCTTTTCTAAAGCACCTCCTCCTGCATCTTGGAGAGACGGGGGGGAGGGGCGGTGTCTAAATTTAATTATATATCTTCTTTCTTTCCTTCCTTCCTTCCTTCCTATCTGTCATCTATCTGTCTATCTCTTCCTTCTTTCCTTATCTACCTACCTACCTCCTGTATGCCTGTCTCTGGCTCTTGTCTATCTTATTTACATTATATGTTTCCTTCCTTCCTTTGTTCCCTCCTTCCTCCCTTCTCCTCCCTCATCTCTGTCTATATGTTTTTTCTTTCTTTCTTCCCTCCCTCCCTGCCTTCCTTGCCGAATTTACCTACCTCATCAGCTACCTACCTACCTAACTATCATTATCAAATCCTATCTATCAATCTCTCTCTCTTTTTCTATCATCTATCTCTTTCTATCATCTCTCTCTCTCTATCATCTCTCTCTATCTCTCTATCATCTATCTATCTATCTATCTCTATCTATCTATCTATCTATCTATCTATCTATCTATCTATCTATCTATCAATCATCTAGCTAGCTACCTAATTACTTAGCTACCTAGCTAATTATCAATCTGTCAGTATCTCTATCTCTCCATCCATCCATCCATCTATCTATCCATCTCATCAGCTACCTACCTAGCTATCATTGTCTGACTGTCTACCGATCATCTAATCAATCTATCTATCTATCTATCTATCTATCTATCTATCTATCTATCTATCATTCCAACTATCTCATCAGCTACCTACCTACCTATCATTGTCTGTCTGTTTATCTATCATCTCATCTCATCCCTCTCTCTCTCTCTCTCTCTCTCTCTCTCTCTATCTATCTATCTGTCTGTCTGTCTATCATCTTTATTCCTCTCTCCCTCCATCTTTCTCTCCTCTCTCTCCTGTTCCAGCCTGATGCTCTTATAGCAAACAGCAGATTTAACCCTTACACCTCCTCCTTCTCCTCCGAGGCCTTTTCATCCTTGTAGTCCAGCTTTAAACCTTTCCCCGTGGGAATAACATTCCCACTGGAACCACCTTGCTAACCAGGATGGCTCCTCTTGGAAGAGAAGAACTAACTTCTACCTCTGATCAAAGCCAACATGGAAAAAAAGAAGTTTAACAGAGGGGGGGAAAAAAACCCTTCCTTTTGCAGCCTCACAAAGCCAAGCCGAAGAATTGGAAATAAAAGTTTTTCAACTATTCCTAGAAATTCTTTCTACGACGGTCCCGGAAGATGGATTGAATTCAAATTTTGTTGTTGTTGTTGTTTTAAGGGCTCCTTATGTGTATTTAATTGATCATTCAAGGTTGGGTTGGAAGCCAGACGGGAATTGTTCAGCCGGAGATCTGGTTCCAATAAATGAACAGTTGGCAAAATCGATTCCAGTCAATTTTATCCCATCGTTTTATCGACAGAGAAAAGTATCTCGCCATAGACATTTGGTATGTTTCAGTTTCTTTCTTTCTTCCTTTTATAATTTTGCATATTTTTTTTTAATCTCCTTTTCTTGCCCTTGGCTTATACTGAAATTTGGGGCGATCCTCTCCCCACCTCGCCCCTCGTCCGGAGACGGCTGTGCTTGGCAGAGGCCGCCCGATCCCTCTGCCGGCGATTCTTAAACCAGTTGCCCACCTGGGTGGCAGTAAGTCCAGTGGTCTGGGCCAGGTGCCTTTTTTGGGAAGGATTTGGGTAAGGGTCTTGCAGGTACCACTCTCTCAACAGTTTTTGGATCTTTTCCTGGGACGAGCGAAGAAGAAGAAGAAGAAGAGACAGCTGTTCAGCTATTGTTATTGCAATGAATTCGTCAATGCCAATCCGTCCTTGACTTACAACAGGTTGTTGAGCGAGTGTTCCGAGTTACAACGGCACAGAAAAAAGGACTTAGGAGTGTTTTTCACGCTTAGAACAAGCCAGTGGTGAAATTATTATTATTTTTTTTTACTACCGTGGGCGTGGTTTCGTGGGCATGGCAGGGGAAGGATATTGCAAAATCTCCATTCCCTCCCACTCCAGGGGGAAGGATATTGCAAAATCTCCATTCCCTCCCCACTCCTGGGTGAAGGATATTGCAAAATCCCCATTTCCTCCCCACTCCTGGGTGAAGGATATTGCAAAATCTCCATTCCCTCCCCACTCCCGGGGAAGGATATTGCAAAATCCCCATTTCCTCCCCACTCCTGGGGAAGGATATTGCAAAATCCCCATTCCCTCCCCACTCCTGGGGCAAGGATATTGCAAAATCTCCATTCCCTCCCCACTCCACGGGAAGGATCCTGCAAAATATGGTCACTAAATGAACTGCTATAAATCAAGGACTACCCTGTAGGTGAAGTTCAATTCCCAGAACTCGCCAGCCACCATATATAGACTTCAACTCCCAGAATCCCCCAGCCACCAAGTTTTAAGACGGGTGGACTTCAACTCCCAGAATTCTCCACTAGCAAGTTTTAAGAGGGGTAGACTTCAACTCCCAGAATCCCCCAGCCAGGATTGGAGGACTTTGACTCCCAGAATCCCCCAACCAGCAAGTTTTAAGATGGGTTGGACTTCAACTCCCAGGATTCCATCCATGCTGACTGGGGAATTCTGGGAGTTGAAGTCCACCCTTCAAAGTAGCTAAGAGACAGGGAAACAAAATCTGGATATTTTTCAAAACTCAAAAAATGTCACCTTGATTCAGAGGCCGCTTACCTTGATTCTGTTGGCTTTCTGTTTGCCGTATTGGGCCGAAGTTCCTGGCAGGTGAGAGCCACTTCTCCAGACAGGTGAGCCTTGGGATGGAAATTCAAGGAAGGGATCTCCAAGATGGATCGATCTTGGGTCTCCCAAGGGCTGGGAGCCCATCAGGGGCAGTTCCCGAAGGGATGGTGGGCCCAGGATCTCCAGCCCATGATCCCTGTTGGGAGAACATCTCAAGCGTTGGAGATGACCCGAGGTCAGCGAAGGTGGCAGAGCCCAGAGCAAACGGGACAGGTGCTCAAACGCACCGCTCTCCTGCAGAGCTTTGCAGATCAAGGCTACCTGCGAGGGGGAAAAAAGGGCCATGTCTGGGGACGATGGGTAGGGAGGTCAAAGGAGGAATGAAAAAAAAAAACCAAGATGACTGAAAGGGGCGATCAGATGGTCTTCTCCAATAAAGAGAATTTGCAAAAGGACAACAGGGAAAGGCAGGCGAGGTAGAATAACGGAATAACAGCGTTTGAAGGGACTTTGGAAGATCTTCTAGTCCAAACAACCCCCCACTCAAGTAGGAGACCCCTATACCATTACACACAAATGGTCATCCAATCTCTTCTTGAAAACCACCCAGTGATGGAGAAGGAAGGAAGGAAGGAAGGAGAAGGAAGGAAGGAAGGAAGAAGGAAGGAAGGAAGGATGGATGGATGGATTAGATAAATAGATGGATCGAGGGAAGGAAGGAAGGAAGATGAGTAGATAAGTAGATGAATCAAAGGGAAGGAAGGAAGGATTAGATAAATAGATGGATCAAAGGGAAGGAAGGAAGGATTAGATAAATAGATGGATATCGAAGGGAAGGAAGGAAGGAAGGAAGGAGGATGGATGGATGGATGGATGGATTAGATAAATAGATGGATCGAAGGGAAGGAAGGAAGGAAGGATTAGATAAATAGATGGATCGAAGGGAAGGAAGGAAGGAAGATGAGTAGATAAATAGATGAATCAAAGGGAAGGAAGGAAGGAAGGAAGGATTAGATAAATAGATGGATTGAAGGGAAGGAAGGAAGATGAGTAGATAAATAGATGAATCAAAAGGAAGGAAGGAAGGAAGGATTAGATAAATAGATGGATCGAAGGGAAGGAAGGAAGGAAGATGAGTAGATAAATAGATGGATTGAAGGGAAGGAAGGAAGGAAGATGAGTAGATAAATAGATGAATCAAAGGGAAGGAAGGAAGGAAGGATTAGATAAATAGATGGATCAAAGGGAAGGAAGGAAGGAAGGAAGAATAGCAGAATAAGAGAGCTGGAAGAGACCAGCAAGAGACAATACAATACAATATAAAATTAAATAAAATAAAAACAAGTAGATCAATCAATCAACGCTATACAATACAATACAACACGATATAAAACGGAACCAAATTGAAAAGAAATAAGTAGATCCATCAATCCATGCAATACAGTAATACAACACTTATCAAATGGAGCAAAAAAAGGGTAAAAGAAATAAGGTAGAAATAAGTGATCAATCCATGCAATACAGTACAAATACAACATAAAAACGGAACAAAATGTAAAAAATCGACAAACAGATCAACCCATCAATAAATTACAATGCGATGCAATCATACGACACAATCACGTATGGAGTTAAGTAAAAGGTAAAATAAACAAATAGGGAACTCGATCACTGCAATACAAAAACATCGTACAGTCCAGTAAAATATAAAATGAAATGTCAAGTAGAACAAAGTTAGCTTCCAGCTTTCGAATAGTTCAGGGAGATTTTGTTTTGAAGGCAAGCTTGCAAAAAGTCCAGTTATAATTTCAAATCACCTGGTTTACAAGCCATCGGATTTCTGTCCTTATTACCAGCTCCCAAAAATGGGCAATGTTGCTTTCCATGCAGATTTCCAAAAGAAATAAAAATTTAAAAAGTCAAGTTGTTAGATGAAGCTTTCTTGTGCATTTTTTTAAAAAAAGAGATATATAAACATCTTATCATATATATATATAAAATGTCTATTTTTGTCGGTCAATGTAAGCTACCAGAAAAATATGATTCGTGGCGACCCGAATTATAAAACAGTGCTAAATAAAATCAGGGGAAAATAATAATAATAATAATAATAATAATAATAATAATAATAATAATAACATATTATACCACCACCACCAAGCAACGCCCACAGAACTGGTAGTAACAAATTTTACATTTCACCACTGGTGTGGACGTCAATTCCAAAATTCCCCAGCCACCAGGGGAATTCTGGGGGTTGAAGTCCATGAATCCTGACAGGTTAAAGTCCACAGCTCATCTTAAAGTTGCTAAGCTTGAGAAACAGGGCTGTTGCCTCCAGAATTAATCTGGATCGTGAGGAGTTCTCCTCCTCCTCCGTCCAGGGGTCGGAGTTGGCTTGGCCTCCATCCCAGTTTACTGGGGAGAGTCCGGGGGGGATTGTGAGAAAATGGGACACGCTGTTCCCAGCAGACCCATCCCAGTTTCTGGGGAAGGTAGGAAAGAGCTGTCGAATGGAGAGACGCGTGATCCCTCCCATGGACACCATCTGACCAGATGGGTCTCCGAACCCCCCAATGATGAGCTGATGTTCCATAAGGCACGTCAATCCCCACGTCACCGGGAGGCCACGTCACCCAGAGCCACGAAAGCCCAGCCCCGGGAAAAAAATAAATAAATCCTGGAAAACACAAATGTTCCCTAGGCAGGAAAAATTACAGGAATTAATCGATGAAAATCCAAGCGACGGGAATGTCTAGGACTAGATGTTCTCCTTGTTTTGCAATGATGGTTGTATCTCCAAGAGGGATGTCTTGATTCCAAGTGTTTTTACGTGTTTTGGGGTCTGCGAGCTCACTTCTCTTTGTTGTAGGAGAGAAAAGGGGGTATTGGGAAAAGGAGAATGAGGGGGCCCCTATCCCCACCCCACCGAAAGCATATGGACACCCCAAAATGGCCCCCAGTGGTTCCCGCTGAAAAATCAAACTTTGAAACAGAGAACTTTCTCCTAGGAAGAGAAACCCTAAGACCACACCTCAGAACGTGGTCGTGATGGCCAACATCTGCCTTACAAACATCTGTGGACCTTGGTGGTGAAGAGGACACTGCTGACCAACCAAGCAGAAAAGATCTAAAAAAAAAAATGATGCGAAAGCTTTTCTAGGCGAACTCTTGTGGACTAGCAACTTAAAGAAAGGTGGGAGTTTTGCATCTTCCACCGGAGCAGATCCACAAGATTGCTTTACTTTTGAAAAAGAAAGAACGCTGAAAAAAAACGTCGATGGACGGAGGCAGGGAAGCTGAACTCCAGCCAATTCCAAGATTTCTCGCCCTTAAGAAACGGAAGATCAGACGAAAATGGCGATTAAGAAAATATTAGAATGTTCAGAAATGAATAGATTAACGCTTGCAGTGAAAGGAAAGGAAGAATCCGATTGCTATCATATGTAGGCTTTATTTTATCAATGGTTAGAGAATAAATACGAAAGCAACGTATTATATAAAGTTCAATAAATTAAGAAGAGAAATGTCACAATAATAGATACGTTAAGTATTAAGCATTGGTATTAAAATAAGAATAGATATACGTAACGAATATGGTGGGGAAGCTATAATTGACACAAAAAAAAACCCTGTACTCAGACGACACTCTGTTTAATGAATGATGAAATGTTTGTCGGAAAAGAAAACTTTATATTATATTAAGAGCCTTGGTGGCGCAGCAGACTAAAGTGCTGTTAAGTAGCACCAGCTGCCTGCAATTACTGCGAGTTCGAATCTCACCAGGCTCAAGGTTGACTCAGCCTTCCGTCCTTTCGAGGTAGGTAAAATGAGGACCCGGATTGCGGGGGCAATATAAAAAAAAGAACACCGCTTGGGGGGGGGCAAAAGCCCTACTAAGCAGGTATATACAAAAGTATGAAGGCTATTGCTTAACGCATTATAAGATGCCCTGAGTCTCCGGAGAAGGGCGGCATATAAATTGAACCAATAATAATAATAATAATAATAATAATAATAATAATAATAATAATAATAATAATAATAATAATATTAAAAAGAAAGAAAGAAAGAAACAGAAACAGGAGATCAGCATCTGTCCAGCGGGAAAATATATATATATATATATAAAATTAAAAAAGAAAAGGAAAATCCCCATTTACAATGTGTCACAATTCTGCCAACTCATCTGCAATCCCCCATCTTTAAATAATCCCGCAGAGATTATTGCTCAAGAGCATCTTTGATTTTGTTTTAAATTTAAAAAAAAAGAGGAAGAAAGTTTTAAAAGGGGGGGAAATCCCTCTTTCATCTCTTATTATTCATAGCATTACGTGTTTGGGTATCATCCTTTTTTTTTTTGTTTCGACTAAGCCAATGGAAAGACAGAGGAGGTGGAGTTAATTGCAGGGTAATTCAATATATACACACAGACGTGTGTATATATATATATGGGCATGCATGCATCCACACATCTTAAACTCAGAAAGGATTACAACAGAAGAGAAAACTAACTAACTGGGATCGAGTTTATTCCTTTTTTCTGTTCTTTTTTTCCTAACCGATTCTTTTATTCTACCCTCTTTGTTTCAAAACAGAAGAAAAGCCAGGAGTGAATATATATATATATATTTTCCTGGTGCTTTCTAAGATCTGGAAGGAAGAAACAGAAGCAGCCGGGCAAGTTAAACTTAAGTTTGCATCCCGCAGAAAACTCAAGTCAGCTGCAAGGAAGGGAGGAAAAGCTTTGGCAGCTTCAGGAAAAATAAAAGGAGAAAGAGAATATCTGTCAAAGCCCCCCTTTTTTTCCCCGATTATTTCTCTCGGCGACTTAAAAAGAAAAAGGAAAGAAAAGCGGAATCCCTTTTCATTTGATCTGAATCTTTTTTCCCCCTCTCCCACTTGGTTAAGTTTTTATCAACTTCAGAGTTGCAACCAGCAAAAAGAGAAGGAGGAATTCAGTGTTCGTTTTTATTTTATATTTGTCCCTGGGGAAACTTTACATGATCGGTTGCCTTTTTGGCTGCTGGGTGTAGGGGATTTTTTTAAAAAAAATTATCCCTGGTTTTCTCCGATAAGGGAGAGAAATTTTGGGGGTTACCCTTCCTTTTCTTCTTAAATTGACTGTCCCCCTCAAAAAAATATCCATGTTTCTTCTGTTGGTCATCGTCTGTTTTAACCTGGTTTGCTCGGCAACCCAAAGGGGTCCTTCAAGCAGATACGATGAAGAAATAATTTATCCTGAAAAATTGAATGCCACGTCGGTTTTGGGAGGTCAAGACCCATCCGGCACGCTTGAGAATGAAAATTCCCTCGATTACAACATGGATTCGGACCGACATCTGTCATTTCAACTCCAGATGTTTGGAGAAGAACTGATCCTCAATTTAGAGAAAGACCCTAGCTTTTTTTCAAAGGACTTGACCGTCCAATATTTGGGCAGATTGAAGCCGGTGGTGGACACTCTAACCGAACGGGGCAACTACTTCACCGGGACAATCAATTCGGATCCGGAATCGATCGTGGCAATCAACTTCGACGGGACCTCTTTGATTGGGGTGCTGCAATATCGGGGCACCGAATATCACATCCAGCCTCTGAGAGGGGGAACCCCGAACCAAGCAGGAGAAACCGAGGCCCACGTGGTGAGGAAGAAGATGTCGGACAAAGGGGATGGGCCAATGTGTGGGGTCGGCGCGCAGGCGCCGGAAGGCGCGCCCAGCGAGGAAGGAAAGCTGTGGGAGAAGATGGGCGCATCTCCCAGGAGAACCAAGGTAGGTTGATAAGTCCACCAGCTTCATGAAGGGGTGGTTGGTGAGGATGCTTAAGGTTTCTCAGGTGGGTTGGGGTCTTGGTTGGAATTTCTGAGGGAACATTCATTTTTAGAGAGTTTTCTCAGGTGGGTTGGGGTCTCAGTTGGATCTTCTGAGGGAGCATTTATTCTTAGAGAGTTTTCTCTGGTGGGTTGGGGTCTTGGTTGGAATTTCTGAGGGAACATTCACTTTTAGAGAGTTTTCTCAGGTGGGTTGGGATCTCGGTTGGATCTTCTGAGGGAACATTTATTCTTAGAGAGTTTTCTCTGGTGGGTTGGGGTCCTGGTTGGATCTTCTGAGAGAACATTCATTCTTAGACAGCTTTCTCTGGTCTAGAGTCCCACATTTGGGGAGCAAAAGGTTTCTTGGTGTCTCCTCCATCCCATGGACCCAATTTACCGTCTGTTCCTTCAACAGAGCACCAGGATCCTTTTCAGACCTGGTGGCCCATATCTGGTGCCAAGATTATCCCTCAGATCCAGCAGGAGCAGGGTCCTGCCCCAGAAGGCTGTCAATTATGGTCTAAGTAGGAGATAAAAACCTACAATAGCCAGAGTTAACAAGGACTAAACCGCAATATGTCGGAAAGGAAGTCTGACGCTAACTTCTCATCACCCAACTAGTTAACATTCAGAGAAGAGGGTTGGCACTGATAACGTTACCTAGTTGGGTCATGAGATGTCTGCTAGAAAACCACCAGGCTCAGATCAAGGACACCCCAGTAAAGACAGACAGCAAAAGTTCTCATTTCTGGAAAGCAGCAAAGAGAGAAGTCTAGTTCTCAACATTGACTTGAGTTTCCAGAACAAGAGGTGCGACAGACCAGATGAGGGCACCCCCCAAACCACGATTTGCAGTCACGGATGACTTGAACTGGGTTTACTAGCAAGGTGGACATCTAAAGCCGAAAACGGGGTCCTCTGATTTATTATGGTAATTATTAATATAAAAGAGTTTGATCGAAGGGTTCAGGTGCCTGGTTGTAAAGCAGGAGACAGTGAATTCTAGTCCTGCCTTAGATATGAAAGCCAGCTGGGTGTCTCTGGGATAATCACCAGGAGACAGTGAGTTCTAGTTCTGCTTTAAGCAGGAAAGATGATTGGGTGACTTTGGGCCAATCACCAGGGGACGGTGAGTTCTAGTCCCGCCTTAGATATGAAAGCCAGCTGGGTGTCTCTGGGATAATCACCAGGAGACAGTGAGTTCTAGTCCCGCCTTAGGCACGAAAGTCGGTTGGGTGACTTTGGGCCAATCACCAGGGGACAGTGAGTTCTAGTCCCACGTTAGGCACGAAAGCCGGCTGGGTGACTTTGGGCCAATCACCAGGGGACGGTGAGTTCTAATCCCGCCTTAGGCACGAAAGTCGGTTGGGTGACTCTGGGCCAATCACTAGGAGACGGTGAGTTCTAGTCCTGCAATCGTCACAAAAGCCACCCAGCTTTGACCCAGTCCCTCCCTCCCTCCCTCTCAGCCCAACCCACCTCACAGGGGTGTCGTTACAGGGGAAAACAAGAGGAGGATCAGCTACGTTCACCTCCTCGAACTGTTTACAAAAATCGTAGTGAAGGCACTCGGTTAAACAAACCCACCGATCCAAATTACAAAAAAATAAATAAATAAATGAAGATATACAAAGCCGGGGAAATGTTTTCCAGGCGGCGTGAGAGACCCCCAACCGTCTAACCCACCCACGATCCTCTCTAGCCCCACAGCCTGAACCCCACTTGCTGTAAGCTTTCGCTCCATTTTTTGGGGGGGTTCGGTTATTCTCCCTCTGAACCCCCCCAATACCCCAACAGTGTTGGACAGGGAAACGCAGCTGTCGAGAAAAAAAAAAACCCACCTCAGATTTGTCTTGGATGAAGGAACAACTGCCTCTGGTTTTAACAGTTGTGTGAATGTCGCCCCGAGTTCTGCCTGGCCCCAGCTACGCCCGGCTGTTAAAGCAGATTTTTTTTCTTTTTTTCTTTTTCCCCGAGGCAGGAATTTCCTCCCAAGTGAGCCAGAGACAACTGGAGGGTGTGTGGGGGGAGAGGAAAAAAAAAGGGGGTGGAATTAGGTTTTCCACGACAAACGACTGGTTTGAAACATCTGGGGTTTTTTTCCCCCCTCCTGGGTTTAGTCCAGCGTGGAAATTTGGGGTGTAAATGCAACCTTAAGGGATGCTTGGAGGGTGGGGGGGTTGGAAGAAAAGAGTTTGGGGGGCGAAATCTTGGGGGGAGGGGGGGCGCCCTGAGGGTGGGGGGGGGTGTTGGGGGATTGGTAGCCCAGGAAGTGGGGGGGGGGGGGGCGCGTTCCACATACAGCAAAGTATGTGGAAATGCAGCTGTGGCCATGCAATGCGATGCATGCGATGCTCTGGGGGTCTCAGCCCCACACCAAGCCTTCTGCTGGAGCATCTCCCGTGCCTGTTCTCCTTCTGTACCAAAGTTTGAAGGATTTTGGGGGGGCTTTGTGCCAGACTATGGGGGGCGGGGAGAGTGGTAGCAAAAGCAGCCAAATTTGGCTGCCCTGGAAAGCGACGGAAGAGAGTTTAACTCTCGCACGGCTAGACGGACGGATGGATGTTCAGGGAGCCCGGAGAAAAGCTTCCACAGGAGATTGCTTGGGCTGCTGGGAGACGAATCGAGTCGGTTTGTGGGTTTGAAACCGGCCACGTCGTCTCCCTCTTCTTGAAAAAGGCCTGAACTTTTTTTTAAAAAAAAAATCTCCTTCCTTCAAGCACTGATGATGTTACCTAGTTGGGTAATAAGACGTCTGCAGGAAAACAATCGCGCACAGAGGGCACCAAGGACCCCACGGTGCTCTTCTGACTACTTCTTCTCCTCTTCCTCCTCCCAGAATTCCTCAGCCAGCAATCTGGGACTTGGAAGTCCCCCCATCTTTTAAAGCATGCTGGCTGGGGAATTCTGGGAGTTAAGACTTCCTTTAAGAAGCGATGCCACAAGTTGGTGTCTTCCCTGCCTTCCTTTTTTTCCTTCCTCTGGTCTTTCCCAGGAAATAATAATTTTTTTTAAAAAAAATTCCATGTCTAATACGCCTTCTTCCTCCCATATTCCCCATGGCAACAACCTTGCGAGGCGGGCTGGGATGAGAGAAAGAGGGATTGGCTGAAAGTCACCTCAGTGGCTGTAGTGGCTAAGGCAGAACTAGAATTCCCAGTCTCCTGGTGATTGGGCCAAAGTCGCCTCCCTGGCTTTTGTTGTTAAAGCAGAACTAGAATTCCCAGTCACCTGGTGATTGGTCGAAAAGTCACCCAGCTGTCTTTTGTGGCTAAGGCAAAACTAGAACTCACTGTCTCCTAGGGATCGGTCCAAAGTTACAGGCCTCACCGTCTCCTGATGCTTGGCTCAAAGTCAACCCGCTAGCTTTTGTGGCTAAGGCAGAGCTAGAACTCACAGCCTCCTGGCGATCGACCCAAATCTAGCTTTCGTGGCTAAGACAGAACTAGAACTCACCGTCTCCTGATTTCTAGCCTAACCTTAATCCTTAACCACTAGGCCAGACTGCCTATACTCAACCTTGTGTGCCTCCCTTTCTCCCCGCAGCGCTTTGCTTCCATCCCACGCTACGTGGAAACCCTGGTCGTGGCCGACGAAGAAATGATGCGCTTTCACGGTGCAGGACTCAAGCCGTACCTGCTCACCATCATGGCGGCCGCCGCCAAGTTCTTCCGCCATCCGAGCGTCCGGAACCCCGTCAATTTGGTGGTGACCAGGCTGGTAGTGATCGGAGAAGCCAAGGACGGGCTGAGGGTCACCTCGAACGCGGCCGAGACCCTCCGCAACTTTTGCGCCTGGCAGAAAGGGCTGAACAAAGCCAGCGACAAAGACCCCGAGCATTTCGACACGGCCATCCTCTTCACCAGACAGGTGAGAAGATACACCTGTCCAGGGGTGGTATTTACTTACCTTCGCTACCGGTTCGCAAATGTGAGCGCGCGCATGCACAGAGCATCAGAAACGGGACGTGATGACGTCCGGGTAGGTGGGATTCGCCCGAACCGGATAGAACCGGCTGACTACGACGACTGCACCTTTCCCATCTCGCAGGCATCGGATTTGGATAAGAGACCTGAGTCTTTTGAGGGCCAGGGGCAACCTGGTGTGTGTGTGGGTGTCTTTAAGAGCATCTCGCGTGCACCTTCACAAAATGGAGAGCGCAAAAGATTGATTTCCTAGAAGGAAATTAGAACAAAAGCTACCTGAAGTTCCTTCGAGAATGGTGTTTCTCCACCTTGGGGATTTTTCAGACAGGTGGACTTCCACTCCCAACATGCCTCTGGGGAATTCTGGGAGTTGAAGTCCACTCACCATAAAGCATTTTTCTGGGGGATTCTGGGAGTTGAAGTCCACTCAACTTAAAGCATTTTTCTGGGGGATTCTGGGAGTTGAAGTCCATTCACCTTAAAGCATTTTTCTGGGGGATTCTGGGAGTTGAAGTCCACCCATCTTAAGGCAGGCTGGCTGGGGGATTCTGGGAGTCCAAGTTTTGAAGCCATCTTCAAGTATCCGATGGCACAAATGTTAGGAACTTTAAGCCTCGTGATTGAAGCGAGGGGAAAACAATAATTCACAATGCACGTTTCTCTATTTTTTTGGCAGGATCTCTGCGGACGCTCCAGCTGTGGTACTCTAGGCATGGCAGATGTGGGCACTGTCTGTGATCCAACCCGCAGTTGTTCCATAGTCGAGGATGATGGGCTCCAATCAGCCTTCACTGCGGCCCATGAATTGGGTAAGTGGGATCAAATCGAGAAGATACCCCTAATCTGAATAAACTAAGCAGCTTAACTCCGGTCAAATCAAACTGGGTTTTACTGGACAGTTCTCCAGCTTGAAATAAATCAGACAACTTAGAACTAAGGAGAAATTTCCTGACAATTAACCAGTGGAACTCCTTGCCTCCAGAAGTTGTGGGTGTGCTCCCCATTTGAAGAGGAAAATTGGGCAGTCATTTGTTCAGATTGGTGTAGGGTCTCCTGCTTGAGTGGAGGGGGGGGCACGGACTAGATGACCTCCAAGGTCCCTTCGGACTCTTGTTATTCTGACAAACGTCAACGAGATTTATTGTCAGGGAAAATGCCTATCGGATCACAGCTTTAGATGAGAGCGATAGCATCGGTTTTACTGTCCTTACCAGGCTGAGGTTCTCTCGATGCTGTTAAAGCTAGGTGGAAAAAGCAAGATCAATTTGTTTTGCTGAGGGAGAAAGAGGAGAATGAAAAAGAGGAAGGGGAAGATGAAAAAGGAGACGAGGAGGAGAGAGAGAAAGAGGGAAAGAGAAGGAAAAAGAGAGAGAGAAAGAGAGAGAGAAAGAAAGAGAGTGATAGAGAGGACGAGAAGGAAGAGAGAGAGGGAGAAGGAGAGAAAGAGAAGGAGAAAGAGAAGAAGAAAGAGAAGGAGAAAGGGAGAGAAAGAGAAGGGAGAGAGCGATAGAGAGAGGAAGAGGAGGGAGAGAGGAGAAGGAAAAGGAGAGAAAGAGAAAGAAAAAGAGAGAGAAAAAGGAGAAGGAGAGAGAGAAGAAGAAAGAGAGAGAAGGAAAAGGAGGAGAAGAAGGAGAAGGGAGGCACGGAGGGAGGGAGGGAGAGAGGGACAGAGAGAGGGGGGAGAGAGAGAGGAGAAGGAAAAGGAGGAGAGAAAGATAGAGAGAAACAATGAGAAAGAGAAAAAGAGGAGAAAGAGAGAAAAACAATGATAAGGAGAAAGAGAGAAGGAGAAGAAGAAAGAGAGAGAAGGAGAAGGAGAAGGGAGGGACGGAGGGACAGAGAGAGAGAGAGAGAGAGAGAGAGAGCAAATCTGCTAATATCAACACATGGATAATAATTCAAATATTTCCACATTCTTGTTTCTGCTCAGCAAAACTTGGTCTATTGTGTGTCCAATATATTTACAATTATACTTTGGTTCCCGGGTTTATTTGAATGTAATCTTTGTCAACCCCTTTCGAAAGGCCGCGAGAGGGACTAGAAACTTGAGTTGAAGGGCAGAAAGCCTCCCGTTAGTGAACGAACATAAACTAAGGGAATATCGCCCTGGTTGCCTCAGGAGGAGAGATCTGGAAGAAGCAAAATTAAAATAATCCTTCTCGACCCGCAGGTCACGTCTTCAATATGTTGCACGACGACGACAAGCACTGCAAGGAACTGAACCGTCACAGCAATAGCCGCCACATGATGGCCTCCGTCATGTCTCCGGTCAATCCCGACGAGATGTGGTCCCCGTGTAGCAGCCGTTTCATTACCGATTTCTTGGACAACGGCCACGGTACGATTCGGTCTCTCTTCTCGTCCATATCGCGTTCATTCTTGGCCCACGATTCTCCTTAACCCGCCTCTTCCTTTATAGGACCGTGTTTCCCCAAAAATAAGACTCTGACTTATATTTTTTTGAACCCCGAAATAAGCGCTTGGACTTATTTTTGGGGAGGTTTTATTATTTTGGGGCGCGTGGAGCAAGATGGGGCTCCTCTTACCGTCTTACCTGATTTCCGGCTCTTCGTTTAAATATTTTCGGGGAGGGCTTATTTTCGGCGGGAGGCTTATTTGAGCACATTCAAAAGCCCGATTGGGCTTATTTTCAGGGGATGTCTTATTTTCGGGGAAACAGGGTAGATTTTTGTAAAAAATAAAATAAAATACAGGTATTCCTCAACTTACGACCGCAACAGAGCCCGAAATTTATGTTGCTCGGCGAGAATTTTTTTAAGGGAGTTCTGTCATGCTTTACGACTTTTTCTTGCCACGTTCGTTAAGGAAATCGCCGCAGTGGTTAAATCAGTCATACGGTCATTAAATGAACAAGAGCTTCCCTATTGACTTTGCTCCTCCGAAGGTCACAAAAGGGGATCACTAGTGGTGGTATTCAGCCGGTTTTACCCGGTTCGCACGAACTGGTAGCGGCTGCTGCGGGAGGCTCCGCCCATCCGCTTTGATGTAATCACATCCCATTTTGGCCGCTCTGTGCATGCATGCTCTCACATTTGCAAACCGGTAGCGGAGGTAAGCGAATACCACCCACGTGACCCCGGGATGTTGTGACCGTCATAAAAATCAATCGCACATATGAAAAAATGGTCATAAGTCACCCAGAAGGTCGCAAAAGGGGATCCCTCGACTCCGGGACACTGTGGTCGTCATAAATATGAGTTGGCTGCCCAGCGTTTGAATTTTGATAATGTGACCTTGGGGAATGCTGCAACGGTCGTAAGTGTGAAAAACGGTCATAAGTAACTTGTTTCCCAGTGCCGTTGTGACTTCGGTGGCTCAACGAATGGTTCCAAGTCGAGAACTAGCTGTATTTCTAAATAATTCACGCCAGAGAAAAGAAAAGTTTGAAAAATTGAATTTTTGATACGCCAATCTCTAAAAAATTCAATTTTTTTCTTCCTCTCCGTCCAGGGTCCTGCCTCTTAGACAAGCCCCACGAACCCCTGAAACTGCCCGCCATCTTCCCCGGCAACAATTACAACGTGGACCAGCAATGCCAGCTGAGCTTCGGCACCGAATCCCGCCACTGCCCCAACATGCACCCGCCCTGCTCCTCCCTCTGGTGCACCGGCCAGATCAACGGACAGTTCATGTGCCAGACCAAATATTTCCCCTGGGCAGACGGGACGCCCTGCGGGGAAGGGAAGAGTTGCATGAGCGGTGAATGCATCAGCCACACGCAGCTGAAGGCCTACAATGTAAGTTCGATCACGTAAGATCGAAAACCGTACAGGTAGTCCGCGAGTTACGACTGGTTGTTTGGCCAAATAAAATATTGCATTCCATTTTATCCGGTCTATTCTATTCTATTCTATTCTATTCTATTCTATTCTATTCTATTCTTCTGTTCTAGTCTATTCTATTTTCTACTCTTATCTACTTCTCTATTCTATTCTATTGTTTTGTATTTTATTATCTATTTCTCTATTCTATCCTATCCTATTCTTATTCTATTCTTATTCTATTCTATTATCTATTTTGTCTACTTCTCTATTCTATTCTATTCTATTCTATTCTATTCTATTCTATTCTATTCTATCCTTATTCTATTCTATTCAATAGAATAGAAATTCTATTCTATTCTATTCTATCTACATTTACTATTCTATTCTATTCTATTTTCTATTCTATTCTATTCTATTTTCTATTCTTATCTACTTCTCTATTCTATTCTATTCTATCCTATCCTTATTCTATTCTATTCTATTCTTATTCTATTCTATTATCTATTTTGTCTACTTCCCTATACTATTCTATCCTATCCTATCCTTATTCTATTCTATTGAATAGAATAGAAATTCTATTCTATTCTATTCTATTCTATTCTATTCTATTCTATTCTATTCTATTCTATTCTATTCTATTCTATTCTATTCTATTCTTTCTATCCTCTATATTCTATTCAACCTGTATCTCCTCTCTGTGATTATGATTTAGAACGCAGGATCTGAGATTTTGGGGGGGGGGTCTTCTACATTTTGCACCGTCCTCATCACTCGATCCCTTCTAATCCTTGCAGATTCCCACAAATGGAGGTTGGGGCCCCTGGGGGCCATGGGGCGACTGTTCCCGCAGTTGTGGCGGTGGGGTTCAGTACTCGACCCGCGAATGCAACAAACCGGTTCCCCGAAATGGCGGCAAGTACTGCGAGGGGAAGCGAACTCAATTCCGTTCTTGCAACGTACAAGAGTGCCCAGACGGAAACGGTAAGCTCAGAGATATATTTCTATATATCTATATCTATATCTATCTTATCTATATCTATCTCTATCTCTACAGCTAGCTATCTCTATATATCTATCTCTAGATCTATCTATATCATCTGTCTATTTCTATATCTATTATATATCTCTCTATCCTTCCTATCTATCTATCTATCTATCTATCTATCTATCTATCTATCATCTATCCCCTCTCTCTCTCTCTCTCTCTCTCTCTCTCTCTCTATATATATATATATATATATATATCTATCTATCTATCTATCTATCCTCTCTCCTCTCTATATATATATATATTTACACCCCTCTCTCTCCTATCATCTCTATCCTCTCTCTCTCTCTCTCTACATATATATATATTAACACCCTCTCTCTATCCTATCTATCATCTATCTATCATCTATCTCTCTCTCTCTTCTATCTATCTATCTATCTATCTATCTATCTATCTATCTACCATCTATCTATCCTCTCTCTCTCTCTATATATATATTATATATATATATAATTATATATTTCTATATAAATATATATATATATATATATAAATATATATATAAAAATTATATTTCGCTGATAAAATAATAAAGGGAGACTATAGATCTATTTCAAGCTATTTAGATTATATATATAATCTATATCTATATCTATCTATCTATCTATAATCTATCTATCTCTATATATCTATTAACTCTCTCTCTCTCTCTCTCTCACACTCTCTCTCTATATATAATCTATTAACTCGCTCTGTCTATCCTATCTCTCTCTCTCTCTCTCTCTCTCTCTCTCTCTCTCTCTCTCTCTCTCTCTATCTATCTATCTACATTTTTTTTAATGGGCCCAACAGCGTCTCGTTCAAAAAAAATGTGAACAATGAGAGGATGCGAGCCAGGGAAAACAATTTCGAAGCACAAAGGGTCAGCGGAAGGGAGGGTCCCGTTTTTCTGATTTATGACCAGCCATGAATGCCAGACCGGAGCCAAACTATGCTCTGGCAACAGATGTTTGCCGGGAGGAATTTCAGAGCGAGATTCCAGAACGAAACACGCTTGGCTCGCTAGACTGAAAATAATAGATTTGTATTCTACAGTGGTTAGTATTCTAGAATCTGGAGGGGAAGAGATCTAAGATAAAACACAGGTAGTCCTCAAATTATGATGGTTTGTTTAGTGACCAAAGTTACAATGGCACAGAAAAGAGGGATTTACGACCGCTTTTCACACTTACGACCGTCCAGAATCCTCGTGGTGGCGTGATCAAAATTCAGACGCTTGGCAACTGACTCATATTTACGACGGTGGCAGTGTCCCGGGGTCACACAATCTTCTGACGGTCAAAGTCAGATTCGCTTAACAACCACATCGTTAACTCCACAACGGCGGTGGAGTTCCCTTAACAATTGTGGCAAGGAAGATGGTGAAAACGGAGCCAAAATTCTCTTTTAATAACTGTCTCGTTTAAGCCACAGAAAGTTTGGGCTCAATGGAGGTTGTAGGTCGAGGACCATCGGTAAAGTCCTCGACTTATGACGGCAAGAATGGTAATCCTCGGCGTACGACGGGGGAACTTTTGTTTTTTCCTTCCCAAAATTGATTCAAGGATGGGATTTTTTTTATATTTCTCCAGCTCTGACTTTCCGCGAGCAACAGTGTGCCGTATACAACCACCGAACGGACATGTTCAAAGATTATCCATCGCCCATGGACTGGGTGCCACGTTATAGCGGCGTGGCCAAGCGTGATCAATGCAAGCTGACTTGCCAATCCCATGCCTTGGGTTACTATTACGTGCTGGAGCCAAGGGTAAGTTTTATGCCAGGAAACCAGGACTTCGGTCTTTACCGTTAACGAGCGTTTGGGGATATCTTCCCTCAGATGTGCTCTGGTGGTCGCCAATTTCTCATCCGGCGGCCGCCATCATCTGGATACGCCGCAGATGGAGGGAACGGGTCTAAATTGGGATTGCTCCTTCATTTCAGGTGGCTGATGGGACGCCCTGCTCGCCGGACTCTACCTCAGTCTGTGTCCAGGGACGCTGTGTCCACGCCGGCTGCGACTGCATCATCGGGTCCAAGAAGAAGTTTGACAAATGCATGGTGTGCGGCGGAGACAACTCGCGATGCACCAAAGTCTATCGTTCTTTCACCAAGCCTCAGTAAGTGGCCTTCGGGCTTAAGATGTTGAAAAGATGGTTTTAAAAAAGGGATTGGAGAACCCTTGGTGTGAAATGGTGTAGGGTTTCCTGCTTGAGCAGGGAGTTGGACTAGAAGACCTCTAAATTCCCTTCTAACTCTGGCATTCTATTTTTTTCCTTCCTTCCTTCCTTCCTTCCTTCCTTCCTTCCTTCCTTCCTTCCTTCCTTCCTTCCTTCCTTTCCTTCCCCCCTCCCTCTACTTCCTTTCTCCCTCCCTTCCTTCCCCATCACTGGAGGTTTTCAATAAGAGATTGAATAGCCATTTGTCTGAAATGGTAGGGTTTCCTGCTTGAGCAGGGGGTTGGAATAGAGGACCTCTAAAGTCCCTTCCAACTGTGTTACTCTGTTTTTTTTTTTCTTTCTTTCTTTCCTTCCTTCCTTCCTTCCTTCTTTTCCCATCCCACTCTGGGGCCAGCCAGAGGTGGTATTTGCCAGTTCTCCGAACTACTCAAAATTTCCGCTACCGATTCTCCGAACTACTCAAAATTTCCGCTACTGGTTTGCCAGAACCTGCTGAATTTCACCCCTGAACTGACCCCCTCCTCTTTGTGGCAGCCTCTCAAATCCAAACCGAGTCTATCTTTCCCACTCTTTATGACCCAAGCCATTCATCGAAGCGTGCTTCCCCGAGAGGATTAATCAAGTTTCAAAGCGAATGGTTGGGAAGTTTTGCCCAAGCGAACCCATGCTGAAACATCTGGCTTTTCCAGATGTAACACGCTTGGATCCCCTGTGATTTCAAAGCCTCTTTTCTCTTTGGTTTCCCACCGCCCCCCCCCAAAAAAATCTCTTACAAATTGTAAATTATGAGTCACCTTCTCCTATATCCTACGAGGGTTTTTTGGTCCAGCGAGCTCGCCTGCCCGGCTGCCAAGCTAACCACTCCTTCTGTATATTTCTTATTTTTATAAAACTCGATGCCACGTGTACAAGGAGCTTGTAGGATTATTAACTTGCTTCGGGGGTTCGTGACACCGGGATATCTGGGCACGTTTGAAGAGTTGGATGGTCCCTCTTGAGATTTGAGAGGAAGGCATTGCGTTCGATCCCCGAAAGAGAGCTAAAACGTTAAATGTCGGGTCTTTTTTTTCAACCCGATTTTGACGTTGTAATTATTGTCAGCTCTATGATACCCGGTGATCGTACGGTGATACCCGTATGATACGATTGGGGTGGGCTATATAAATATGGCAAAAATAAACAGACGAAAAGGGGAAAGTCGATGCTTTTATTTATCGATTTATTTCAAATTTCTGCACCGCCGCGTCTCGCTGAATTTAGTTTGGAGCCAGGGAGGCCAGTTTAATGGGAGGGTGAAAATGCTGGCTTAAGAAACCAGGAGACGGGGAGTTCTAGTTCTGCCTTAGGTAGGAAAGCTGGCTGGGTGAGTTTGGAGCAATCACCAGGAGACTGGGAGTTCTAGTCCCGCCTTTGGAATAAAAGCCAGCTGGGTGACTGGGACAATCGCCAGGAGACCGGGAGTTCTAGTCCCACCTTAGATCTTAAAGCCAGCTGGGTGACTTTGGGCCAATCACCAGGAGTTGGTGAGTTCTAGTCCTGCCTTTAGGCAGGAAAGCCAATTGGGTGGCTTTGGGCCAATCACTAGGAGACTGTGAGTTCTAGTCCCGCCTTAGATAGGAAAGCCAACTGGGCCGATCCACCAGGACAGGGTGAGTTCTAGTCCCTCTTCCTCAGCTCAACCCGCAGGGTTGTTGTTCTGGGGAAAACAGGAGGAGGAAGGGATATATTATAGGTATGTCCACCATCTTGAGCGACTTATAAAGCAATAGACATCTTACTCAATCCCCCGTCCCTTTCAAGCTCAGCCTTTCACCTTCCTACATCTTATTTCTCCAACCCGCAGGTACGGCTACAACGACGTGGTCACCATCCCTGCCGGAGCCACCAGCATCCTGATCCGTCAGATCAGCAGCTCGGCCACGTCCAGCGACGGCATCTACCTGGCCCTCCGCCGGCAGGATGGCTCCTACGCCCTGAATGGCAATTATGTCTTGATCCCCTCCGAACAGGACATCCAACTTCGGGGCGGCGTCACTTTGCGCTACACCGGGGCCACCAAACCCATGGAGATGATCACCGGCCCGGGACCGTTGAAAGAGCCGCTCACCGTGCAAGCGTTGGTGGTGTCCGATCAGAAGACCCCTCGTCTGAAATATACCTTCTTCGTCCCCAAGCCTTCGAAACGCCTCTCCAACCAGTGGCTGAAGCAGAAAGCCCGAATTTTGGAGGTGCTACAGAGTCGGCGAGGACGTAAATAGGGCCTCTTGACACGAGGATGTGGGGCAGGGGTCTCAAACTCTTCCCGTCCCCCCCATCCCCACTTTGGAGAAGGACGGGAGCTCCCGGGGAGAGGTTCCCCCCTTGCCTGTCTTTGCAAAGAGGATCCCCCGTTGTGAGGGACTCGGAGCAGAAAGACTCGAATTGTTCGGCAAAGGCTGGTATTGGGGAGGGGTCTTTTCTGTTTCTCGGCTTGCCACGGACAATGCGCTTGGACGTTAAGCGAAGCAGGAGCCAGATCTGGGACCAGGGAGAGGGGAGGAAAGGCAACGAAGCAGCCAGGAATGGCCACGGCGGGGTTAAATTTAGCACTGGTTTGTTAGGTTGAATTCATTCTCTCCGGGGAGATTTGCGGGGGGAAGAACGTGGAAAAAACGGACGGAAAAGACGAACGAGAAAAATCTTTTGGGAAAAACCTAAAAGAAGGAAAATAAAGGGACTCGGTGGGAACAGAAATATGGAGAAGCCGAAGTAAACGGAGACCGAGCGTGGTCTCATGTACCACGGCTGGACTTGGGTTCGCGTCCGGCCGTACCTGTAGTATATTTATTATTTCATCTATTTATTGTGTTCTTTTTGGGGGGAAGCAAAGAGGAGTCGGGGAAGGGGGAAGATAGGCGATCGGCCACGCCCCCTTTTGAGACTCAAGCAGGCGGCCTCGCAGTTCCTTCGCTCGGTAGTCCTCGACTTACGACCGTGCCACCTGCGCGCCTAGGCAACGTCCAACGAATTTTACATCCGATTTTTACGGTCTTTTCGGCCGCGGCAGTTAAAGTTGATCCCTGCCAGTTCTTTAGTGAACCCGGTCGTTAAGCGAATCCGGCTTCCCGCCTGGAATTTTGCTCATGGGAGGGTCAAAAAATGGCGATCACGTCCCTCACACACACACAGCACCCGGGATGCCACAACCGTCGTAAAATACATCCCGGTTACCAAAAGAGCCCAAATTTTGACCATGGGAATACTGCACCTCATTAAGCGCGAGGACTGGTCATATGTCACTTCGTCTTCAGTTGATGTTAGGACTTGGAACCATCGTTAAACAAATGGTCGTAAGTTGAGGACTGCCTGTATTGTACGGCCACCGGTTTCTTGGGACAGCCAGGAAAGATATGTCCATCTACTGTGTCTACCTCATTCTTGGAGAGCTTCCTCCTCGGTTAATGTCTTCTCCTGCTTCTAAGAATGTTCTTCTGTCTTTGGTTGGTAGGAACCCATCTCTTCAAGGTCTAAATCCAACCTTCATCTAACTTTTTAAGATGAAATTGCAGACCTGGGGTAGGACAACCTACCTCATCCCATCCCATCCCTTTTGAGGAGCAAGGGTTTCAATCTCCGTTGCTAAGGTCCTTCCAACCCTACCTTGCTTCCAGATCTGGTTTCTCAACCTTGGTCCCTTGAACTTCAAGTCATCTCGCTTCAAGACTTCGCCTTCCAGAATTCCCCGCCCAACTCAAATGTCCTCTTCTGGGTCTCATAACCAGCTGGGCCTGGTTGACTCGGGAGACAACCCTGGAGATCAGCTTGGCAGAAACTCCATCCTGGGTCTACCTTGTTGACGTCCTCCAGGGAAATTTGGGGGAGTTGGAAGTCCGTCCTTTTTCAAGATGGTCAAGGTTGAGGAACATGGCTCCCGAAGCCACGGCGAGAGATCCTTTTTGCACCGTTGACCCAAAGGGTTGGGCCCTTGAAGGACCTCCAAATTGGGGTGGGGGAGCAAAGTAATGGAACATCTGGAGAAGATGACCTCGAATGGAGAAATCAGCTTTGCAGGCCAATGTCCTTCTTTGCTCGCATTAGAAGAGGTGGAAGTCCACATGTCAACCTTGGCAGCTAACCCTGCCTTATGTTGTCTACCTATTTCTCACCTCCTTCTCCAGGAGGTTGTCCTACCTAAACATCAGCTTGAACTTCTTCCTATGCTCCTCCTAAGGCCTTTCCAAGTTCTTCTCTTTTGCGAACCGCTCTTCAGCCTGGCTTGATCTTCTCATGGGGGTCCCCCATCCTAGAGAATCTCCCCCAAATTTCCCCCTGGAGGGGTGGATCTATTTAAACCCTCTGTAGAACCAGAGGGAACTCCTTCAATGCAACCCAACCCTCCCCTGTGGCCAAAGGGATCACCGACCGAAGTTAATTTAATTAAGTTATAATTTAACGGGCAACAGCAGAAGTCCAGGTCTCTCCTGAACTCCGAGGCGAGTCCCCCGGGGCCAGGAAGCAGGGGCCTGGGTATCCGTTGGGTTAATAAGCATTATGTTAATATTATTAATTATGGTTTATTAATGGTTTGTTTTCCGAAAAGCAATAAAAAAGCTGTTTTATTTATTTAAGGCTATTTATAAAGTCACTCCTGGTTCTTGCATGGTTCTTTATGGGGATGAAACCCAGGTTGAGGCAGGGGGCAGGGGGCGGAAAAGTCAGTCGGTCTGCTGGCTGGGGAATTCTGGGAATTGAAGTCCATACACCTTAACACACTGGGAATTCTGGGATTTGAAGTCTACTCATCTTAAAACAGGCTGGCTGGGGAATTCTGGAAGTCCATACACCTTAACACACTGGGAATTCTGGGATTTGAAGTCTACTCATCTTAAAGCCGGCTGGCTGGGGAATTCTGGAAGTCCATACACCTTAACACACTGGGAATTCTGGGATTTGAAGTCTACTCATTTTAAAGCCGGCTGGCTGGGGAATTCTGGATGTCCATACACCTTAACACACTGGGAATTCTGGGATTTGAGGCCCACCCATCTTAAAGAAGGCTGACTGGAGAACTCTGGGGTTTGAAGTCCACATACCTTAACGCAGTCTTGCTGAGGAATCTGGGAGTTGTAGTCCATCCACCTTAAAGCATGCTGGCTGGGGAATCCGGGAGTTGAAATCCACTCATCTTAAAAAAGGCTGGGTGGGAAATTCTGGGAGTTGAAGTCCACACACCTTAACACACTGGGAATTCTGGGAGTTGAAGTCCACTCATCTTAAAGCAGGCTGCCTGAGGAATCCTGGGAGGTGAAGTCCACCCATCTTAAAGTGTGCTGTCTGGGGAATCCTGGAAGTTGAAGTCCACACACCTTAACACACTGGGAATTCTGGGACTTGAGTCCCACCCTTCTTAAAAGAAGGCTGACTGGGGAATTCTGGGAGGTGAAGTCCACACATCTTAAAGCAGTCTTGCTGAGGAATCTGGGAGTTGTAGTCCACCCACCTTAAAGCATGCTAGCTGGGGAATCTGGGAGTTGAAATCCACCCAACTTAAAAGACAGTTGGTTGGGGAATTCTGGGAGCTGAAGTCCACATACCTTAAGGCAGTCTTGCTGAGGAATCTGGGAGTTGTAGTCCAAACATCTTAAAAGCAGGCTGGCTGGGGAATTCTGGGGGATTGAAGTGAACACGGCCTTCTTAAAGCCGTGTTGAGAAACCAAAGAGCCTTGGTAGTACAGTAGTCTAAGGCACCCTGTTATTAAGCTGGTTATTAAGACCAACTGCCTGCAATTACTGCAGGTTCGAATCTCGCCAAGGCTCAAGGTTGACTCAGCCTTCCATCCTTTCTAAGGTAGGTAAAATGAGGACCCAGTTTGTGGGGGCAATAAACTGACTTTGTACAAATATACAAAAGGATGAAGGCTATTGCTTAACGCATTGTAAGCCGCCCTGAGTCTCCGGAGAAGGGCGGCATCTAAATCAAAAATAAAATAAAATAAATAAATAAAAAAAAAAGAAACACCGATATAGGGAAAGCAGAGAGACCCACAAAAAGAGGCGACACATAATCCTACTAAAATGGGGAGCCTTGACATTTGAGGATCTTCTGCCTAGCCCAATCTGGAATTTCGTTTTTTTTTTTGGGGGGGGGGGACATTCAAGGAACAGAGATCAGTTACAAAAACAGCTGTTGGCCAGGAAGGATGCTTGGAAAAGACGACGTTGATGGGATCAACAGCTGGTCTCTGCAGCCGGGAAGGGTGGGGAAATCTACTGCCTGCTTTATGGCTTCTTCAGATCCTTCCTCAGTCCAAGCGGGACGGCTGACGCCCCGCCATTTTGGCTTTTCCCACAATGCCCCAGCGGTACCCCCCCCCCCAAATGGGTTCTGGGAAATTTGTCTTTTTTGCTCGGTTCCTGCTCAGTCAGGATTGCCCTCCATCCCACGGACAGGATCCCAAAGTCCGCCGGATCTTTTTTTAAGACGGCGGAGCGAGACCTGGGAAGGATCGGACGATGCATTCCCACGTTATCTACTTGCAAGAAATCAACGTTTTCCTGTCCTCTCCCCCTCCGCCCTCCGATAGTTACAACAGGTATCATTTATGCCAAAAAATTTCTAGCTTTTCTTGAGTTTCTCTTCCCCACGCAGAGATGCCAAAGATAAGAGACACGGAGACGGAGATACATGTTTATAGGTATGTACTGTTCAGCTCCACCCATCCAACGGCGGACTCTGAGAAATGCACCTGGATTTTCCCACGAGCAAAACATTCCCAAATTCAGTGTCTTTGGAGATTCTCCATCATCTGTTTGTTTGTTTGTTTTCTTCCCAAACATTTAACGGGATTTTCTTGTTTTTTTCCTTGAAAACATCTCGCTTTCGCATCCAAGAAACGAAGCGAAGAAGCTCCTCGGAGGAGAAGCGAAAGGTTTTCAAAGGAAAAAACAAAAAAGTCCAGTTGATTATTTTAGGAGGGGAAAAAAAAATACATTTTTGGGTCCCCAAATTAACCACCCCAAAATACACGTGAGGCACCGATGTTCAGCAAGGCCTCTCCAATTGTCCAAACGGATGAGGTGGGTGAGAAGGGCCACTGAGGCAAATACAGATAGTCCTCGACTTACAATGGTTCGTTTAGTGACCGTTTGAAATGACAACGGCATGCGAAAATGATTTTTCACGCTTACGACGGTTGCCGCGTCCTCACAGCCACGGGATCAAAATTCGGAGGCTTGGCGACAGACGGTGGCGGTGTCCCGAGGTCAGGCGGTAAGCGAGGCAGATTCGCTTAACGACCATGTGACTAACTTAACGGCCAGCGATTCGCTTAACAACGGCAGCGGGGGGGGGAAATCGTAAAATGGTGCAAAACTCGCTTAACGAAAGTTTCTCGCTTAGAGAAACAGGAATCGGAGGCTCAATTGTGGATCTTAAGTCGAGGATTAGCCGTACACTGAATTCTTTTCGGAAGCATCCGAGTTAATTTGAGATCCCGATAGCTGAATTCATTCATTTTCTGGGTTTCACAAGATGCCAAACCGGGAAGTAACAACACGGGGCAAGTTTGCGCAATGCGCTAAGCACCCCCAGCACGATCTATCCATGCAGCTGTTGCCTCCGACAGATGTTTCTGCAAGTTTAGATCTGCTTTCGCAACGTACAAATTGGATAAGCCTGCTTTTAAAAAAAAATAAACAAACTCTCTTTGCTCCAAAATCTTTTCCATCTGAGCTCTTCCAGCCCATTTTTTTTTTTTTTAAATCTGCAAATAAGGTTTCTCAAGGAAAGGAAGGGCGAGATTCTTAACTCGGAACATTATCGATGTTTATCTCAGGTGTTTACTCGGAGGAGTAAAAAGCAGGTGTAGTTTGCACATTCGAAGTCCGCGTTTTTGGTGGGTTGGTGGGTTTTCGGGGTTTTTTTTTTAATGAATTGTCAGTTTTGCAAATTTGCGCCCGTGGGATGGTGGTTCTGGATGCGACTCAGAGGGGGTGTCGTGAAATTTGCATGGAATTAGAGTCTTCTTAAAGCTTACTGACTGAGGAATTCTGGGAGTTGAAGTCCATCCATCATAAAGCATTCTGACTAGGGAATTCTGGGAGTTGAAGTCCATCCATCTTAAAGCTTTCTGACTGGAGAATTCTGGGAGTTGAAGTCCACCCATCTTAAACCATTCTGACTGGGAATTCTGGGAGTTAAAGTCCACCTATCTTAAAGCATTCTGACTGGGGAATTCTGGGAGTTGAAGTCCATCCATCATAAAGCATTCTAACTGAGGAATTCTGGGAGTTGAAGTCCATCCATCATAAAGCATTCTGACTGGGGAATTCTGGGAGTTGAAGTCCATCCATCATAAAGCATTCTACTGAGGAATTCTGGGAGTTGAAGTCCATCCATCATAAAGCATTCTAACTGAGGAATTCTGGGAGTTGAAGTCCATCCATCATAAAGCATTCTAACTGAGGAATTCTGGGAGTTGAAGTCCATCCATCATAAAGCATTCTAACTGAGGAATTTCTGGGAGTTGAAGTCCATCCATCATAAAGCATTCTGACTGGGGAATTCTGGGAGTTGAAGTCCATCCATCATAAAGCATTCTAACTGAGGAATTCTGGGAGTTGAAGTCCATCCATCATAAAGCATTCTAACTGAGGAATTCTGGGAGTTGAAGTCCATCCATCATAAAGCATTCTAACTGAGGAATTCTGGGAGTTGAAGTCCATCCATCTTAAACCATTCTGACTGGGGAATTCTGGGAGTTGAAGTCCATCCATCATAAAGCATTCTAACTGAGGAATTCTGGGAGTTGAAGTCCACCCATCTTAAAGCATTCTAACTGGGGAATTCTGGGAGTTGAAGTCCACCCATCTTAAAGCATGCTAGCTTGGGAATTCTGGGAGTTGAAGTCCACCCATCTTAAAGTGGCCAAGGATGAGAAATACTGATCTAGCCAGAACAGATCCCAGCTTCTATCAGCCCCAGGGATCCGAAACAGGGAAGGAAGAGCCAGCCGTCGCCCGATTTGAGCACCGACGGTGAAGTTCATTCCCGGAAGTTCATCCATCTGCTGATGGAACTGCTACCCGTTTGTCTGTTTTTTTAAAACCGCCGATGAGGCAGCCTCAATAAATAAAGTTAATAAATAAAGTCTATTTACAGGTAAACAGGGGGCCAGGGGACGGGTTTGGAGGAGGCAGGAGAGAAAATTCTGGGTAAAAAAAGGAATCTTATGCCTTGTTTTGCCAGGAAGGGTGAGGTCGAGGGGGGACACTCTGCCCACCCCCCCCAGCAGTGAAAAAAATAGGGTGGTGAATGTGTTTCGCGGCTCATCGCCGTGAAACAAGGAGACAAACTGAGTAGGTAAAAATGTACGTTTCTTTAACCAGGTCTCTCGGGAGAGGTAAGTAGGATCTGAACCCAGGACCTGAAAGGAGCTGGAGTGGAAGAGTTGGGGGTGGGGGGCTTGCAAAGCAAAAAGGGATCACACTCACAACGAAGAGGGACGCTGAGCTTTTGTGTTCGGGAAGGCGTGGTCCCTATTTTTCGGGACTGACCTGGCTGTTTTCTGGAACGAGGGGGATAGAAGTGTACCTCCCGCAAATGCTAGAGCGGGAGATCCAAAGCTCCCCGATTTAAATACGGTAGGTCCTTCGCTTACAACCATTTGTTCGAAGTTACGACGGGACCAGAAAAAAACGGTTGGAGGGGGGTGGGGGAATCCAGATTTGCTTATGGATGGTGCGATTCGCTTAACAGCTGCAGCGATGGACTTAAAAAAAAATAAAATTAAAAAAAAAGTTCGTCAAATCGAACTGCGGGTCGCCGAACGAGCGCCTCGCTTAGCGACGGAAAGCACCGCTGGTTTCCCCACCGTGGTCGTAAGTGGAGGAGCAGCTGTATTTAATCAAGCTGGGGGCGTGGGGCAAGCCGAAAGGGACGTCAATTTTAGGCCTTCCCTACCTGCTGAACTCCTGTCTGGGGGCCCAACGGGCTTCGTAAGGGAAGGTCAGGATTAAGAGTAATCGACTGATCTACCAATGACAGAAACGATTCCGGCTTCACCCCGGGGATTTCTCGTTTCTTGGACGTCGGGAGATCTGGTCTCTCGGGAAGAGTTTACGAGTCACACGTCCCATTTCTGTTTTGCGGTCCAAGCTATTCGTCCAAAAACTCTCTCGTGCCGGCTATAAGCACGGACGGCTGTTCGAAGAAGTGCACCATGGGCCAGGAGTTCAGGAGTGGTACTCACTTACCTTCGCTACTGGTTTGCATTTGCACATGCGAGCGAGCGCACATGTGCAGAGCGTCAAAAGCAGGACATGATGACGTCCGGGCAGGTGGAGCCTCCTGCAGTCGCTGCTACCGATTCGCCCGAACCGGCTGAATACCACCACTGCAGGAGTTCAAAGGAAGAGGTAAGACGGTGCCGAGATTCGAAGGCCAGCCAATCCGCCGAGCCCCTTTCGGCCTTTGAAGCGAGCCGTTCCAGTTTAGGGTCACCTCGCCGGGTGGTCTTCTTTTGCTGAAGCTGATGAATTGGGGGGGGGCATGCCTCGGTTCTTTCCCCCCCGCCACAAAAAGAGAAAGAGAAGCGAGCGGAGAGAAGGACGGCGGGCCAGAGGACGTTCAGACGTCGTAGTTGGGCAAGTAGCTGTAAGCCGGCCCGCTGGTGGACGGCGTGGTGAAGTTGCAGGGGAAAAACCAGCAGATGACAAAACCTGGGTGGGAGAAGAGCGGAGGAGGGATTTGGGGTGGGTGGGGGCTTGGTTTTTGTACCTCCCTCCACACCCAAGCATAAGAGAGGAAGAGGAAGAGGAGGAGGAGGAGGAGGAGAAAGTGAAGGAGCAGGAGAGGCAAAGGAGAAGAGGAGCAGGTGGAAGAGGAGGAGGAGATGGAGAAAAGGAGGAGGTGGTGTAGGAGGAGGAAAAGAAGAGAAGGAGGAGGAGGAGAGGAACAGGAGGGGAGGGAGCAGGAGAAGAGGAGGAAAAGGAGAAAAGGAGGAGGAGGTGGAGGAGGAGGAGGAAAAGAAGAGGAGGAGGAGGAGGAGAGGAAAAGGGGGAGGAGAAGAGGAGGAAGAAGAAAAGGAGATGACAGAAGGAGGAGAAGAGGAGGAGGGAAAAAAAGGAGAAAAAGCAGAAGAGGCGAAGGAGAAGAGGAGCAGGTGGAGGAGGAGAGAGGAACAGGAGGTGAGGGAGCAGGAGAAGAGGAGGAAAAGGAGGAGGAGGAGGAGAAAAGGAAAAGGGGGAGAAGAGGAGGAAGAAGAAGAAAAGGAGAAGATGACTGAGAAGGAGGAGGAAGGGAAAAAAGGAGAAAAAGCAGAAGAGGAGAAGAGGAGGAGGAGGTGTAGGAATAAGAAAAGGAGGAGAATAGGAGGAGAAAGAAGAAAAGGAAAAGGAAAAGGAGAAGAGGAGGAGGAAGAGGTGGAGGAGAAAGAGGTAGAAGAAGAAGAAAAGGAGAAGAGGAGGAGGAAAAGAAAAGGAGAAAAAGCAGGAGAAGAGGAGAGGGAGGAGAAGAGGAAAAGGAGAAAATGATGGAGAAGGAGAAGAAGAGGAGGAGGTGTAGGAAAAGAAGGAGGAGGAGAAAGAAGAAAAGGAGAAGAGGGAAAAGGAGAAGAGAAGGAGGAAGAAGGGGACGAGGCAGAAGAAGAGGAGGAGAAAGAGGAAGAGGAAGCAAAGCCATGGAAAGGAAGGACCTCTGTCCCGGAGTACCAATGCACCTCGGCCGAAGACCTCGCGCAGGAGGGCTATTTTGGGTTTGCGTGTGTGGCTCCCTCCCCGGTGACCCTCTTTCTGAAACCGGTTGCGCAGCTGCTCGATGGGGGTCTCGTCGGTGATGATGGAGACCACCTGCAAGGCAAACCAGAGGGGGGGGGGGGGAGGTAGAGGAAAGGGTTGAGGTGACCTCGGGCGATGACGTCCTCCCACCGGCTAGTAGAGGGACCCACGGCCTCTGGAGGCTTTCTCCAGGCCCCTTATCCCGAGTTACAACCTCACCTGGTCGTAAAATATCACAGTGACAAAGAGGCCGAAGATGATGGACTCCACCAGCAAGATGATCCGGTGAGCACTGGGATAGGGAGTGGGGGGGAAGAGGGGCAGAAAAGCAGAAAATCGGTGATCGGTCGACCGGCCCGGCCTTAAGCCCCTTTTTTTCAGCGCTGTTCTAACTTCGCTCGCTAAACGAGGACAGCAGAGGTGGTATTCAGCTGGTTCATACCGGTTCGTGCGAACCGATTGCAGAGATCACGGGTTGGCCCGCCCACCAGCCCTGGCTCTATGATGTCCTATTTAGGCACGTTTTCGAGGCCGGGAGCATCAGAGATGGTATTCAGCCGGTTCGTACCGGTTCGTGCGAATTGGTAGCGGAGATCACGGGTTGGCCCGCCCACAGCCCTGGCTCTATGATGTCCTATTTAGGCACATTTTTGAGGCCGGGAGCATCAGAGATGGTATTCAGCCGGTTCGTACCGGTTCGAGCGAACCGATTGCAGAAATCGTGGGTGGGCCTGTCCACCGGCCCTGGCTCTATGATGTCCTATTTAGGCACCTTTCGAGGCCGGGAGCATCAGAGATGGTATTCAGCCGGTTCGTGCGAATTGGTAGCGGAGATCACGGGTTGGCCCGCCCACCAGCCCTGGCTCTATGATGTCCTATTTAGGCACATTTTTGAGGCCGGGAGCATCAGAGATGGTATTCAGCCAGTTCGTACCGGTTCGAGCGAACCGACTGCAGAAATCGTGGGTGGGCCTGTCCACCGGCCCTGGCTCTATGATGTCCTATTTAGGCAGATTTTTGAGGCCAGGAGCATCAGAGATGGCATTCAGCCGGTTCGTGCGAATTGGTAGCGGAGATTGAGTGTTGGCCCGCCCACCCACTCTGGCTTTATGATGTCCTATTTAGGCACATTTTCGTGGCCGGGAGCATCAGAGATGGTATTCAGCCGGTTTGTATCGGTTCGAGTGAACCGATAGCAGAGATCGCAGGTGGGCTTGCCCACCGGCTCTTGATCTATGTCCTATTTAGGCACATTTTCGAGGCCGGGCGCATGCGTGGAAGGCCGAAGGCATGTGCGGAGTGCGCGTGAAGGGAGCGTGTGCATGCGGGGCCAACCGATAGTAAGAATATTGGAGAAAAGCCTGCGGTTTGGGACCCGAACGGCCCCCAAAAAGCAAAGTCCGGTTTCGTCCACTTTCCCGCCACCCACCCCCCAAATTCGAATGAGAGAGAAATTGAAACCCAAAACCCTCCAATACCCCCCCTCCTTTCTTCTTCTGCTCCCATCAAACGAGAGATCGTCCGTTTCCCCGTCGGTGCCAAATTGGCCGATCTTCCCCTCCCTTCCCCGAATCGGTGCCAAAAATCTGGCTTTCCAGTTGTTCTTGGCAAGGACTGGGTGACATGGCAAATTTCTCTTGACTGTACTTCTATTTTTTTTTCCCCCTTTCTTTCTTTTTAAGGGCCGAGGGAAGGAAAGCGCAAGAGCTCTGCAACGCACCGTTTTTTCGGAGGGTTGAAATAAAAAATAAAGATATTTTTGTGGGGGAGGAAAGCCTGCAGGGGGACTTACATTTGGATCGGGGTGCCGGCAACGCCGCCTTCGTAGCCTTCAGCTCTGCTGGCTGAGATCCTGTCCAGGGGCCACACCCAGGTGGCCAAAACCAGCCCCATGGCATAGAGACTCGCCAAGCCTGTGGCCGGGAGAATTAGGTCAGCCGACGCCAAGGAAAATTGAAGAGGGAAGTGGGGGGGAAGGAAGTCTCCAAGCCAATTCTTTCTCTCTCTGGATCCCTCGTTAATCCTACAGGCTCCTTCTCGTCCGTTCCCACAACCGAGTGGAAAAAAACAAGGGGTTCCCCCTGCAGGGGTGTTCTTTTGGGGGTGGGGGGTGGGGAGAGGATTTCCAGTTTTACGTTTCAGGAGTTTTTTTTCTAACCCTCGTCGGAAAAATCGGTGGGATCAGCGGAAAGGTTTGCCTTCAGATGTTGTGGGGGCTTCAACAACTGGAAGAAGAGATTGGACGACCTACAAGGTCCCTTCCAACTCTGTTAATCTAATCTAATCTAATCTAATCAGATTGGACGACCATTTGTCTGGAATGAGATGGGGGCTCATGGTAGGACGGGGGGTTGGACTACATGACCTACAAGGTCCCTTCCAACTCTTAATCTAATCTAATCTAATCTAATCTAATCTAATCTAATCTAATCTAATCTAATCTAAAGAGATTGGACAACCATTTGTCTGGCTTCCCCACTGACTCTTGCCCGTCAGAAGGCCGCAAAAGGGGATCCCGTGATCCCGGGGACACTGCAACGGTCGTAAATACGAGTCACTTGCCGAGCGTTAGAACTTCCGAGCAACATGACCACGGGGCCTGTGCAACGGTCGTAAATATGAAACCCGGTCTTAAGTCCCTTTTTTTTTCCCTCACCGCCGTCGTAACCTCGACCGGTCGTAAGTCGAAGACTACCCCTTACTATGAAGTGTAAACCGATGGTAGGTTTTGGAGGATAGGGAAATAAATAAGGGGGAAAAAAAGTGGGGTCAGAGCAGCCTCTAGTGGACGAAGGCTGCAAGTGCACCTTCCCAAAAGCAAAAATTTCTCATTCGGCGTCTTCGCCTCCTTTAAGTGGCTTTTTGACAGGGCCGTCGTAACTTCGAACGGTCGCTAAATGAATTGTCGTAAGTGGAGGACGACCTGTACTTTCTCTTATCCTTGATGGCGATGGGGGAGCAGTTGTGGGAATTTCATCACCGGAAGCTTCCAAGGAGAGACTGGACTGCCATCTGTCAGAAATGGTGTAGGGTCTCTGGCTTGGGCGGGGACTGGGGGGCTGGACTAGATGACCACCAAGGTCCCTTCCGACTCTGTTAAATATGTATCTGATCTGATTCTCTCACTCCCTTCCCGTGATCCTTCCTGGGATCCCAGCAGGTGGATCCCACCACTTCTTAAAACAATACCTGTGTAGAAAAGGAACTGGATGAAGTATTTCTGATTAAGTTCTCCCACGCAGTTGTTGATCCTGTGAAGAAAGAGAACATATATATATATATATGTAGGTCTTTGGTTATTCGAGTTTTCTCCCGCGTAAAATTGGAGGTTTCTTGGCAATGTTTCGACGAAGGCTCATTCGTCATCTTCAGGCTGGTGTCTTCGGCTTTGTGCTTCTAGGAGCAATGTGTGTGATCGCAGCTGTTTCTTCCTTTTAACTGCCAGTGGGTGTGTGAACTGATTGGGTGGGAGCTTGGCTGTGTTCTGATTGGGCGGAGGTGTGTTCTGATTGGTTGGGGGTTTGGCTGTGCTCTGATTGGATGGGGGGTTGATGACGAATGAGACTTCGTCGAAACGTTGCCAAGAAACCTCCAATTTTATGCGGGAGAAAACCCGAATAACCAAAGACCTACATACAAACACCCGCGAAAACCTCAGAAAACATATATATATTTATTTTAAAAAAAAGAAAACCCACAGTCATGTGAAATCAACTTACGGGCAAGTCCTCGACGTACGACCGCGACGGGGCCCCCCCAAAAAATTTATGTTGCTCGGCAAGGAATTTGCGAAGCGAGTTTTGCTCCCGTTTTGCGACCTCTCTCGCCACATCCGTGAAGGGAACCGCTGCGGCGGCGGATGAGCAAGTAACCTGGTTGTTTAAATGGAATCTGGCTTCCCCCGTTGACTCGGCTCGTCGGAAGGTCGCAAAAGGGGATGGCGTGACTCAGGACACTGACCGTCGTAAAGAGGAGTCAGTTGTTCAAAGGTCTGAATTTGGATCGGGGGTGACCAGGGGTGGGGAGAGGGGGAGGATGCCGCAAGGGTCGTAAGAGTGAAAAACGGTCGTTAACGGTTGTAAGTGGAGGACTTTCCGTGAAAACGGAAAATTATTTCTGACTCGGGAGCCTGGCTGAGTCTTGTCATTTATGAAACAAGTGAGGGGGGAAAAAAACCCCCAACCAAGCCGTACAACAGAACCCATCAGGCTAAGCACCTCAGGGCCCACGGTGGCTTGTCTCTACCCAAGCTGCACAATCCTGAACCTCACCAAGGGCAGTGATGATCCATCCGACGGACGCAACGGTGACAAATCTGGCAGTGATGAGCCCGGGGAGGCCGGTAGGTTTCGCACCGGTTGCAAACGGTCCAGTCCTCATTATTCTAAAAAAATACAATACAATACAATACAATACAATACAATACAATACAATACAATAATAAAATAATACAATACAATACAATACAATACAATACAATACAATACAATACAATAAAATGGGAATGCTGAATGAAACGATGGAAGAGCTGCAGTATGGAATACTCCTCCAATTTGTTTTAAGTCGGGAGTCTCAAAACGTGGCAACTTTTAAGACTTGGGGACTTCAACTCCCAGAATTCCCCGCTGGGGAATTCTGGGAGTTGAAGTCCACAAGTCTTAAAAGTTGTCGAGCTTCGAGACCTCCGATTTAGGCACAAGAGTGAAGTTCAACCAGGACTTGACAGCTGTAGGATGAGGCTTAGTTACCATAGAGTGTACCTCCTGGAGAGAACTCCAGGTTTCGGAGAAGCTCTGGGCCAAGGACTCGATGGTGGGACAACACCCCACCCCCATTTTTCTCCCGATAATCTCGCATTCAAAAATCTCAGAACTGGTTTGATCTGGTGGTGGAAAGTGCTAGGCTAGAAACCAGGAGTGAGGGAGTTCTAGTGCTGCCTTAGGCATGAAAGGCAGCTGGGTGATTTTGGGCCAGTTACTAGGAGACTGGGAGTTCTGGTCCTGCCTTAGGCATGAAAGAACTGGGTGACTTTGGGCCAATCACCAGGGGACAGGGAGTTCTAGCCCCGCCTTAGGCACGAAAGGCAGCTGGGTGACTTTCGACCAATCACCACGAGACTGGGAGTTCTAGTCCCGCCTTAGGCATGAAGGGCAGCTGGGAGACTTTGGACCAGTTACTAGGAGACTGGGAGTTCTAGTCCCGCCTTAGGCACGAAAGGCAGCTGGGTAGCTTTGGACCAATCACCAGGAGACTGGGAGTTCTAGTCCCGCCTTAGGCATAAAAGCCAGCTGGGTGATTCTGGGCCAATCACCAAGAGATTGGGATTTCTAGTCCCGCCTTAGGCATGAAAGGCAGCTGGGAGACTTTGGACCAATCACCAGGAGACAGGGCGTTCTAGTCCGGCCTTTGACACGAAAGCCAGCTGGCTGGGGAATTCTGGGAGTTGATGTCCACCTATCATAAAGCTGTCAAGGTTGGGAGATCCTAGGTGGATGCACACAATAAATATCCATCAAGGAAAATAAAGGAAATAATGTGCATTTCTCTCTCTCCCCTACAACCCAAGATTCATGGCTGTCAACAGGGCCGGCCATAAAGACTTTGTGGGTAGAGAAACCGGCTGATCTGACAACTCACACGGCTGTTCTGATGCGCTGCGTTGCTGCTGTTGCTGCTCCTGAGATCGGAGAAATCGAGGGCGGTGTCCGGCAGCGGGACCACCCCTGAAAAACAATTCCAAGGTCTTAGGTAAACCGAGTTTAAACTGGGGCACGTACACCTCGCCTTGCTACCTTCTGGCTGGAGCGCCGGAAACCCAAAGACCAGCTGGCTGAAGCGCCGGAAACCCAAAGACCAGCTGGCTGGAGCGCCGAAACCCAAAGACCAGCTGGCTGGAGCGCCGGAAAGCCAAAGACCAGCTGGCTGGAGCGCCGGAAAACCAAAGACCAGCTGGCTGGAGCGCCGGAAATCCAAAGACAGCTGGCTGGAGTGCCGAAACCCAAAGACCAGCTGGCTGGAGCGCTGGAAAACCAAAGACCAGCTGGCTGGAGCGCCGGAAACCCGAAGACCAGCTGGCTGGAGCGCCGGAAAACCAAAAACCAGCTGCTGGAGCACCGGAAATCCAACGACCAGCTGGCTGGAGTACCGGAAACCCAAAGACCAGCTGGCTGGAGTACTGGAAACCAAAGACCACTGGCTGGAGTGCCGGAAACCCAAAGACCAGCTGGCTGGAGCGTTAAAACCAAAGACCAGCTGGCTGGAGCACCGGAAATCCAAAGACAAGCTGGCTGGAGCGCCGGAAACCCAAAGACCAGCTGGCTGGAGCGCCGGAAACCCAAAGACCAGCTGGCCGGCACACTCATACCACTTAAGTCTTTGGGCTTCCGGCACGCGCATGTGCTCCGGCCAGCTAGTCTTCGGGTTTCTGGCGCTCTGGCCGTGCGCGCGCCCATTCCAGTTGGAGCCCTCGGTGCCGAAAAAGTTCACCATCACTGCCCGAAATCCTTGTGCAAAACTCACTTAGCACGTCCCTTTCTTCCTCACACCGACCCCTTTCGCGTTCCAAATCCCTCTGTTATTGGAACGTTATTTTTTGGGGGAAAAAAAAGACTTCTTCCTTCTCTAATAAATAATAATAATAATAATATCTTCCAGATGACTATCTATCTGTCTGGGCTTGGGCCAGATCTGTCGATATATCAGGGGAGGGGTCTCCATCAATGACATCCCCCTCCCACACTCCTTTTTTTTTCCTAATGCTTCCTGGAAGAGGCAAGGGCTGAACTTTTTCTAAATCCAAGAACATCTTTTTGGGGAGGACAAATATATATTTGGAAAAATAGGTGGCTTTTACGTCACGGGCCTGTTCGGGAGCATCTGTTTGGCCAGGGTGCTAGTTCTCGATCTCAGATCCCATCCAAGGAGGCCATTAGGACATCTTTGAAGCAAACAAACGGAAAAAAGCAAGCCGGCTTTTGCCAGGGAGTAGGGGGGAGAGCACAGAGAGACTCATAATCTCTCCCCCCCCATTTCCCTTCGTCATTTGCACACACACAAAAAAAGCCTCTCTCCAGAAAGAAGGAACAGAACAAATTCCTAACGACGGGACGATTACTCAACCGAAGATGTTCTCCTGGCAGTGACGCAGCTGAAGAATTTCGGCCTGATAAATATTTTGATTTGGGATCACGAAGGGAAGAAGCGGAGATTTCCATAAATCAGTCTCGGGGAGGGGAGGGGGTTGGGGGGGGAAGCAGCCAGACTAAAACTAACGGACGGCTTGTTCGGACTGCAGTTTAAAAAAAAAAAACCCAGCTCCACCCCATTTTCTAAAGATGAGCAAACTGAAGTCCAGTTGCCGAAAGGACAATAAATCCGAAGGCACACGCCTGAAAGAAAGAAAGAAAGAAAGAAGCGGAGATGTCCATAAATCAACCTTGGCAGCCAAACTAAATCTAATGGACCTTGTTGCTTTGTTCTCTTTGCGATTTGTATTGTTTTAGTTGTTTCCTAGTATGATTTGATTGCTTATTTAGTACCCTATGACTATCACTAAGTGTTGTACCTTATGATTCTTGACGAACGTATCTTTTCTTTTATGTACTCCGAGAGCGTATGCACCAAGACAAAATCCTTGTGTGTCCAATCACACTTGGCCAATAAAAAATTCTATTCTATTCTATTCTGTTCTGTTCTGTTCTGTTCTGTTCTGTTCTGTTCTGTTCTATTCCATTCCATTATTTTATTCTATTCTATTCCTTCATTCC